TTCTTTATTATCGATAGTTTAAAAGACAACCTATTATTTTTCCGACTGAATAGATATTATCAATAGAATGAAGTATAATCCTATCGGATAGTTTCAATAATCGATAGTTTCGATATTATAGGCGATAATTTCTAGAAACAACGGAGTAAATTGATTATTTCGAGTAGTTCGATAGTTTTCACTTGGTAGTGCTCATTACTAGTTCCAATATTCCATAAACTATGATCAGTTGATGGCCTATTACAACAGCCTACCGCCCAAACATATCGTCATGCAGCTATGTAGGCGATATTTTTTGGCTCAAGCCTTATGTATTTTAGGACCTTATTTGCGTCCATGGGCCTATACCATTACAATCAATAGTAAGCAATAATTGAATATCATATACAAATAACAAATAGATGCGTTAGACTAATAACTAATGTTTGAAATTATGATTGTTTAAATTATAATAATATAAAAATTACTTATTTATATATTATATTTATTACGAAATTGTAGCATAATTTTCTACCCCCTGTAAATGTATTCCCTATATTATAAGTTATCAAAAATTGCCTATATACTGACTACAATACAAGACAATGGGTAAAAGTATACGATTGAGAATATTATAATTCTTCATTTTTCGTGTCCGGAATCGCCAAATTAAATGCTATTTCCCCAAAAATCAGCAATGTATATTGCTTTGTCGTTTGCTAAAATCAGATCGTTTTTCGAATATTATAATTAAACATATTAGACTGCGAAAACCTTTTCAGTAAGTGATACTCTATCGTATGACATATTGATATATATTCTATGACCATTAAATAATTTTTTATTAATTAAATATTTGTGAATCTATTATATGAAAACCAACGTTACCTATATCTGTGTCAATCTAAATTATTCCCAACATATGAAGCACCTCCCAAGTAGAGATATACATTATTCAACGGACGTAATATTGTAGAAACAATTTATTATATTAAAATTATTATGCCACGAAGCATTAGCTATACAATTTTAAGTATCAACGATTCTTACAAAATTTTAACCACCTCATTCAATAAATTATTATCCATTGAAAAAAAAAATGAAAAATACTTCACACGTAATTCTCGCATAAGTATACTATTACAATAGTTGAGAAGTTAGAAATGTAGGATATATACTATATAGAGTAATTAAATTGTATGACAAATCATTGCAAACGAAAAACGATACTGAGTGAAGTAGGATGTTAAATATTTGTTGATAATTAAAATTTAAAACGTTATTAATTTGTAAACATAAAATAAATTACAATTATTCGTGTATTAAAAAACTTTATCATTACTTTGAACTTGAAAAACTGATAAAATTAAATTACACAATTTGTATTCATGTAACTCAAAATAAAAACTAAAAAATGCTGCCCTAGGATAATAGAGATGGGTGCAGCCACTGTTTTAAGTAATTTGATGTATACCTGTTAGCAAAAATAAATCATTTCTAACGAAAAAACGATTCTGAGCGTAGTTCAGTTGATAATGATGCTTTGTCAACTACTTTGTCATATTTAATTTTTTTTTTTTTTAATTTCTAACAAATTGCTTTTTATGTTGTTTTTTAACACTTGTTTGGTTAGACAAAAGTGTTAATTTTTTTCACACAAACCTGAAAAGATACGGTATTTTTATAGCATACCAAACATACCAGATATATCTACACAGATTTTTTATACATTTAACAGTTTTTACCACGGAAGTCGAAGAAAATAATATTCGAACACCTGAAATAATAATATAAATATTGAAATCGCAACTTACCATATTATAATATTTTTTTTACCTCTAAAACGTCATTAACTTCATACCATACCCATATTTATTGATCTAGATTTGCCACGACAAGAAAGTAACATGGATATATTTATATACATATATACATGTGCATATAATGTGCACCGAATTTGAGGTACACATGCATATCTACAATCTACATGTATTATAATACGTTCATAAGTATTAGTGTATTACATCCGACATTGTAAATGTTATTTTATAGGAATCCGTTGTTTGAAATTTGAATGGATCGGTTGACGGTAATCGTTCGAGATTTGTACCCGAACGGATTTATGACGGTCAATGTTATAATCACCGCCTATTATTCCGTACCAATATAAAATAACGTGGACTTTTAGTAACATTTACATAATATGAATTGAATAAGCGTATTAATTCTTTATTAAGTAATATTATCCAATATAATATATTGAACATACAGAAAATAGTTTGATTTTTTTTTTTTACTTTATTCGTATACGAGTGCAATCAAAACAAACGGCGAGTAATCATGTAATATTATCGAAATTGTCGCGAATTATAATTTAATACCATAAATCCGACTGTACGTATTTTAAAACGAAATGCCGTTATAAATTATATTTAAGTATAAAATACAACAAATATTACATGCTACTTTTTTTTTCTCTTTTGAAAAACCCGACGGGACATAATTCGCACTACGGGTACGGTGTATAATAAGAGCTAAAATTCAGTTTAAATGTTAAAGCAACATCATTGCAAACAAAAAACAATTAAAAATCTGGGGTAAATATTTTTCGATTAATTTAAATATTGAAAATTGTATTCATTTTCAACTACAAAATAATGTATAATATACATTTTTCTTGTTTTCAATAAACTATACAAAAAGAAATGAAATTTAAACACTTCAAAGCCCCCTCCCCCCAATAATTTGGACGGTACAAAACTGAAATATAAAATTTTTAAATCCGTAAAAATCTGGACGGTATAAATTTAGAATTTAATATTTAAAAAAAGCGCTGATATTCGATAGACTGTCACTAACGCAATACTTGAACATTTAACACAAGGTTAAATATATTATATGGTTTTGAAAAATATTTAAACTTTTGTTCAAATAAAAATTTAGATCAAATTAGTCTGTATATTTTCTTCTGATGTTCTGATGTTTTTCTGATTTTTTTTTTAATATGTATCTATTTAAAATATTTCTAATTTTTTATTTTTTCTCTTTCTCTCATTTTAGATTCTCAGTGTAGCGAAGAATGTATTGGTTTTACTAAAATGTTTGTTTTTTTTTTTTTGTGTACAAAAATTCTAGAAAAAACCAGGATAAAACGTAAAAATAACGGGAAATTTACGAAAATAATGATTTTATGCTTTTATGCTATTTTTCAATTTAGTTATTTGTTGTAATTCAGTTAAAAATATTCGTAAAAACTTAAAATTTAGACAAAAACTTAAATTTGCCTTTTCTAGACGTGGTAAAATGTTCAAAAAAATGAAGCCATTTTTGAGGTATTTAAAGACATTTTAATTTTGAGAGTTTTGAATTTAAATTTTTTTTATGTATGCATTTCAAAAACTGTTTTATTGACAATAAATATTATTATTTTTATTATTATATGATAGTCTACAACATTCAACGTTCAATATGTTTTGCGGATACATTAGGTCTGTTTATAAAATTACGTCTCCGACAAAATGTAAAGGAAACACAAAACAGCCGCATGAGTGTATAGAATAAATATGGTGTTGAATTATACATCGTCACATCGGCATTGCGATACAACTACATCATATGCAAGTATTTATTATTTATTGTGAATGAAAGTTAAGGTTTTTACGGAAGGAAGGCACAGCTAGATTCGCTATAATCGATTATGTGACGAAACTAAAGAGTCCTTAAACCATATTAAATATTCTCGTACAGCAACTATCATATTATTATAGTATAAAACATCCGGTATTAAAATACTTGTACAATACGTATTCACATGAAATTAACATTTACTCATACCTATAAAACTTAAAAATTCCGTGTACACGGATGTATACGAATTTCCGAGTATCGAAAGAAATTTTCGTGTGGAAGATTCTGTATCCCTGATTACTGAAGGCAGTATCCCTTGGGTAAACTTTACTTAAACCAGCATTTCAAAACGATCCCAATTAATCGAAATGATCGAAATATTCGTTTATATGTATAATACGGATTCACAATAATAATTGTTAATCAAATCTAGATTTTTTTTTTTTTTTGTAGATTCTAATAGTATAGATCGTAAAAAAAGCTATTATAATGCTGTTTTACCATGTTTTATATTAACTTACTCGCAGAAAAACGCAAAGAAATTTAAAGTGTGTGATCGATTTTTAACCCACTTCCCGTGGTCCGATCAGCTTAAAGTTTTAATGCACTCCTATTTTCGATGACAATACACAAATCAATAATCAGATTTTCCATTTTTACCCCTGTTTTCAAAGAAAGTGAAAAACTGGTTTACACCTTATACAACGATAAATTTTAAAATATCGAAAAATGCCTCATACATTTTTATTCGTGTGACTTTCGCTATAAATGATCCGTGGTCAGATTTTAGATTTTCTCGAAGATAATTCCATAATTGATTAAAAATCACACAGTTATTTTTAAATACCATCATGCTCGTAAAACGAAAACGCGAATAAAAATTTTTTCTCGTGTATATTTCGCGATAATATCGAAATTAGGGCGTTTTTGGTCAAATATGAAAAAGAATTAATTTACAAAAAAAAAAAAAATCAAAAAAGTGCTGTATTTATAGGACGGACTTCTTCGATACGTAGAAAGAACTTTATGCTTAAGCGCATGCATGTTATCATTGACTGTATACGACTGTCTATACTCTTACTCAATTTCAATGCTATCGTGATCTATACGAGAATACGCCAGAAAATATTTTGATTTTCCGTTATGATTTACATTTTAGTTCGTTTTACCATCATGGTATTTCCTGCTCTTTTTTCCGCCATTTGTATTACGTAACCTAACCGTACACACACACACACACACACACACACACACTGTTGTTACGGATAGACCACTGTGGCACTGTTACAGTAAATGAGTCTGTTCGTATAATATATTATTATGTTGGCCAATACCACCGGTTGGCGCGCTGCGAGTCCTGCACCGGGACGCGGCCCGACAGAGCGAACAGCGCGCGCTCGCTAACGTATATCGTTGCCGTCGTCGCGTGATCGCGTTTCCGCACGCCGTTACCCGGTTAGTGGTTACCGGTACACAGTACTAGTGTGACAATTGGCCATGGAGCATTTGCGTCAAAAACCTAACGCACGTTCACCCGACCTGTACGCCACGTGACATGTGCTGGACCGTAGCGAACGCATACCGGTGTTAACGCACGAAACATGCTGCTGTTACCTGCCGAACATTATAAACACCTGTTATCCTCACTCGCCAAACACCGAGTCGAACAGGTAAGTCGAATACGTCATAATTAGCTATTCTAATCTCTATTTAAATTTTTTATTTTTTTCATTTCTATCGATATATTCTGTGCATATTGTGCGTACATAGGTATTATTCGAATTTTCTTATACTCGCCGAGAGTATCGCAGAATCGCGGGAATTGTCGATTTTAAGCCTACCGCGGATTTTAGCGGTTAAAACGGTTCGCGCGTGAATTCAAAATTAACACCGGTGTAAGACCCCCCCTACCTCCCACTACCATGCCACCCCACTACTACGCGTTTAACAAATCTTGAGCGCAATTTTATCAATAATTTCTAACGTTGCAATTTATCATCATAACTCACAGGTCAGTAGTCACAATATCTAAGTAGGTACATAACAACTACATCATCAACCAGGTGATTCATTTAAATGAGAACACTCATTATCTCGGAAACTATTAACTTTTTTCGAAATTTGTTTTCCAGAACATTTAAGAAACAAGCTGCACCATACTTTTATATTTGTGTTATCTTTTGTCACCCTTATTTTTGGGAGTAAAACTATTAACTACTTCTGATTTACAAACAAAAACCTATATTAAAAATTCCATAAATAAATGGAGTATTAGTTAAAATCAATTTTAGAGTTAACATTTTTGATTTCCGTTGATCTGTTGACGATTTATTCCACTTTTAAATTTGGGTAGGAGGAAACTAGTGGGGTGTGTTGTAGTAAATTGTTTGTGTGGCGGTACGGCGCGCGACTTCTTATTAATGCATCACTACTTTCCTCAAACTTAAAATTGAAAGACGACTTGACAGAAATAAAATATGTCAACACTCAAATTTATTTTAACTAACATTCCATCTATTAATGGAATTTTTAATATAGATCGCCATTGGAAAATCAAAAGGAGGTAGTGGTTTGCTCCCAAAAATAAGGGTTATACAAAATAACATAGATATAAAATTGTAGAGCTGATTGTTTCTTAAATATTCTAGAAAACAAATTCCAAAAAAAGATAATACTTTTCGAGATAATGATTACTTTATTTCATTATTTCATTCATTTTCTCACTCTATTTCATTAAATGAATCACCCGGCAAACCAGTGTTTTCCAACTTTTTTTTTTATTCTACACCCCATCCCCCTTTTAGATATTCCTTATTATATTTCTCTCCCTATTAATTCAAAATATGAACTTATTGTTTTTAATTTCAGATATAGTAAATTTGCACATTTTATTCTTATAATTACATCACCGCTATATTATCCGCCACGCAGTACCTGAATTCCTCCCTTCCACCTAACCTAACCTAACCCTAGGGAGGAATTCCCCCCCTGTTGAGTGTTCGTTGGTCTATACTTACATAGTCGGCATATTGGCTGTACCGATTAATAAATTGTAATCAATAATCATCGAATTTATTATAATCATTCATTTTGAAATTTCGTTTTTTTCCCTCCCAAGAAATGAAAATATAAATTAAAATAAAGTACTATAAAAAAAAGTCATGTCTTTTAAGTAAAATACGATATGAAAATGTTAGACCATTTTCATACTAACCGGCAATGAGCTTTCTGATAAAAAAAAAAAACACACATAACTTAGGTAATAACACTAATAGGTTCTTCGCTCAGAATCTAAAGTGATATGCACAATATTACTGATAAAAATTATTGTTTGTTTTCATCGCGTAATAATTTATAATTCTCTCCTTTCGGCCTTAATAGCACTCTGAGAGTTTTCACCTTCAACATTACCTCACGCAATCGACACTTGTCTTGAACGTGTCTTATCATCCGTCTACTGCCAACATTCCAATTCTTCTAATTCATCTTTTACAACGAATCCCTCCGCGGTTTCCGATCTAACACTGTTTTAATAGTATCACGCTCTTCTTTTATCGTATACTCGTATAATATTTTATGCTCATCATATACGCCCTAGCCGTTGTAGCACTTTTTGTCGTTTTATAAAACTATTTATCGGTTCCACTTCGACCGTATCGTACGATTAGTTTTGTGTATTTTTTTTCGTCGATTATTTGTTATTTCATCGTTTTAAATAGATTATTCTTCATATTTTGTTTTCGAACGTATTCTGTAAAAATACATTCGAATTATATTTGCATATACATCCGCGTTTCAAGCAAAATAAAACGAAATAAATGTAAATTATAGCTGTACAATTCTATTGAATATGGACTTTATCGGGGTTTTAGGTAAACATTACGATTATTTTATCAAATCAATCAGCTCAATGCAATCCTAGGATATTTACACTTATTTATAATATAACGAATTATATATACGTCATATACAATGTCTACACTAAAATATAGGTCGCCAAAGATTGGCGGTACTTATACGTTATTTTTTTCAGACGGGTGCGGCGTAAACATGCTACCGTGCGTATAGCTGATAAATTATTTTGTAAGACAAAATATACAATCGGTATATAGGTACTAATAATAATATTATAATGCACGTAAGTATATTATAATATTACATGGCATTTATACGTATACATATATATATTTAAATAAGATAGGTGTATAATACGGGCGGAAAAAAAAATGGAAAAAAACAACGCAACAAATTATAAATAAAGGTGTAAAACGTCATTGGTACGGTCGTACCACACACGAACTATTGGCTTGCCGCTGTCGTCGTCTGTTTTACGACAATATATTATACGGCGGCGGTGGCGAGTCGTTTCGTGTCGGCTTTATTAATTAAAAACGAATTATATCCGTGTAACCCGCGTAGTCCGGTCATCCGCCAAGAATTTTTTTTTTTTTTTTTGGTTTTTCGTTTGAATCGAGAAAGAAAATTTAAAAAACGCGCCGCATTTTGATATAATATACAGGGTGATTTTTTTATCACGAACCGCCGCGCCGTGGATTAATATCGGCTGTATTGTATCCATCATGTACACAACACGAACACGAGGAGTTTGATTCGATTTCGGTTTTTTTTTTTCTATTGTTACTGTCCACACAATTTTTATAGAATCATTTAACGGTCCTATATTCATAGGCGAAGCGTGATGTTTTTTTCGTGGAAGGAGGAAGAAAGGAAGGTAGCCCTATCAAAATTGTTTACATACGTACGCGGCACGCTCGTGGGTTCCGTTACTCCCACAACCTCCTTAAAAGCATTAGGTTTTTTAGAGTGAAACGCAAGAGGAGATTCTGAGAATCCAAAAGCCCTTCACCCTCCGAAATATAAAGTATGCATTATTCTTTGTGGTAGTTAAACGAAAAAAGACAAATAGTATACTAATTAACAGTAATTTACAACGATAAAAAGAATATATCTGTTTACGATTATTGTATTGTAGAAACGAGCCAACAATTTTTTTTTTTTACTTTTCACGCAACTCATCAAAAAATTGGCTCCTCACAACGCTTAACATTTTAGGTATTTTTTTCATTAACGAGATACAGTAATATGCCTATAGTATAATTTGTAAATTTTTTTATAAAAAAAAAAAAGGGGGGGGGGTAACAAGAGAAAACTTTTACCTGGGCGTTCATTTTTCATAGGAGCTGCAGAGAATGTCGGGATCCAAACATCGCTTAGTTCTCCCGTTCTACGATTATATCTATAATATTTATTATAATATTATATATTTCAATATTCACCCCTCCCTATGATTAATTAGAACACGGATTTATGCACTAAAATGTATTGGACTATGTTATACAGTAATATATACAACAAACATACAGTAAAATAATTGTTATTCCGGTGATGGCTAACATTTTTTTATGGCGACGGTGCATAATATTTTTATTTAAACATACAATATAAATATTAAATGAATTTTTTGCAACTACGGTAAAATATGTGAAATTCAATATTTTGCCTAATATGATTCGTAAAAGTTATACGCGAAAATCTTCGTACATATAATGTTCATGCATACGGTTGCAGCGGCGACGGGTTCGTAGCGGAAAAAATCATTCGGTACATTATATTTTTAAAAAATCTGATACCCGTTTTGATTGTTATTATGATGTATGTTTTTTTTTTTTTTTTGTGTCTGTGAACAACTTTTCTACCAAAAATCTTGCTCCGAACTATCAAGTATAGCACCTTTTATAAAAGGTAATTTTATCTAGTTGGTGCGTTGGGGAGGTAATTTTTTGATTTTCCACTAGGGGTTTTCAAAATAATTGTGAAAAACCCGAAAGAAAATTATCGGTAAAACGATAAACATTTACGCCTCGGCGTCACCGATTTCATTACTTTAAATTTGTATACACGATGTTTTCTGCCAGAAATATTGCTCCAATCGAAAAATGACAAGGGACCAGTTTTGGTACTTTTGACCTATATAGCCATTGACAATGAAAGTCGTTTATTGGTATCTAAAGTATTTTGCATAGTAATTAGGAAAAACCAAAAAAGACGAAAAACGTGATTTGTTTTTCAAATTCCGGCGCAACGATTTTTCAGCGACATTTTAATTTTACGAGTTTTTTACGTACATAAAATTTAGTAGGTGCTCTGCGAATACGATAATTGTTAGACTGAACAGAAGTGCTCGAAAATTTGACAGTAAGTTCATCGTAAGTCGTACTTAGTGATCGATAACAGTGTATAAGAGATTAAATTTTGACGAAAATCGTGAATAATAATTGTACGGCCTTTCGAGAGATTTCGCACCGGATCGTTTTTCGTCAGCAACGGTTTATCGTTACGGCCGTACGGGCGTAAATCGTATAACTTTACGTATCCGTGCACCTTCCCGAACTGCCCGCCGGTGGCCGCACCCGTCCCCGGCGTCAACTCTTTCTGATAACGCGCACCGCCGCCGTGTACCTGTATATTATTATTATTATTATTATTATTATTATTATTATTGTTATTATTATTATTATTATTACGCGTTTTATAGACCCCCGTAACGGTGCGATAGGTGCGCGCGTACGTCATATTATATTATATTATACGCGAGCCGAGTCCGGTGGCGGACGCGGCGACTTTGGGGCGCGGCGCGGCGCGGAGTCGGCGGGCGCTCGCCGGACTGTCGGCGAACGGACGCGGACCGACGGACGGAGGAGCGAGAGGGGAGGAAATGTAAATAAACAACGGCGCCACTCCGTGCGGCTACGCACACGAGCGGCAGTGTAATGTTGCCGCGGATAAGAAGAACAGCGCGGCTACCAGAAGAAACCCGCTCGCTCGCTCGTTTATCGGACCACACACGTGGAACACCCTCGATTGTACATTATACGCCGTACACACTCTGTATATTGCGTATATTATATATTATATTATGCCGTGCGCGTGTGTCTACACAATATTTTATATACATATACGCGTGTGTATTGCGTGCGTGTGTGTGTGTGTGTTTGTGCAGTGCGTGTATAGAGCCATCCCGTATATTGACCACCCATCGGCCACTTGTTGCGGCGATTCACAACGCCTTCTCGCAGCGGTATCGCATCGAGACGACGACGGCGTATATTATACGCGCACTTCTATTGTGGACGTACACGGGGAATCGCATAGTGTCTTTTATCGAAATATAACCGTATATAATATTATAGAAACAGGACCCGGTAAAAAGAACCGCAAAACATAGGGGGGGGGGGGTAGAGAGAGCTTTAGCTGCCCAATGATTTTTTTTCAAGCCGCGGGGAAACGCGTAGTCCCCCCCGCGTTCCGCATTATCGCTTCTCAATCAATTTCCCCGTAACGTTTTGGCGTACGGGTTTTGGCGTTTATCGATATTTCGCAAAACGTAAGATTTTTTTTTTTACACATTTGTTCTCGAAGTTGAAAATTGGTAAGCGGTAAGTTGAAGCGTGAACTGTTAATCGTGCGGAATGGGTAGGATAAATTTAGTCAAAAAACCTCCCCCCCCGCCCACCCCCAAACGTGATCGAATATTCGACTATACACTACCGGGCAGCATAATAGAGTTAGCGACTAGCTCTGAAAAACGTCTCTTCAAATAAAATAATCGAAAATGTGTTTTGGCCGGCAATAACGCATTCGAAAAATGTGTAAACAACGAAATAAAAGTTTCACTTTTAAAATACTAAGTTTAGGTTAATTATTCCGTTTACCTACTAATGGAATGTTTATTTTATTAAGCCACTAATAAAAACAAAAATGCACATTGCATTCAAATCCGGACACTTTTAATAATTTCGACGAGCAAACACTGTTTTAAAAAAATAAGCCGGAAACGTTCTGTGATTTCACCAGTTTCTTGTTTTATTTTTATTATTTTGTCTTCTACGTAAGTACTCGTACGGACAGATAGATGCACGGATAATAATGACACCATTCCCATTCGACTTCCGCTCGAGAAATCACCAAAATATCCATTATGACGTAGACATATCATCGCTCGTACGGTTCTGAGCCGGAAATACACCATTCAAATAAAAAACCGCCCTCCTCATAAATGGAAAAATGTAAATTTTACCGAACGATATGTTTGTATGTATTATTCTAATCCGTGCTCGTACCTAATATAACAAATTATTCAAATAATAATATACCTTTGTTTAATGCGTATACTGGACATTCTTAATATTTTTTGACGGCGTACACATGTATCACTACTGATGATTAAAGCGGCCGCTCACATATCATAATAATATACGATATCTGGTTATAAAGTTCAAGTTTAAAATGTCCAACATCAAATATAATGTACAAGAGAAATTCAAGTACAAAATAAATACAAATAAACATTATGGCCGATAAGTAAAAATTTCAAAGATTTAAAAACGAAAACAGGTACTTAAAAATATCCAATATGGGTATACACGCCGTAAAAATTGCCAACTAAATGTCAATTCTGTATTTCATATTTCGTCAAAATATAGGTATAATATTTTAAAGAAAGAATATCAACAGAAAGATTTATAATATAGGTATGTCTGCGATTATTATATTTTATTAAACTTGAAACATAACTATGTATTTTAATAATACTTGCATACCTATACGAATATATTATTTATGTAATACGGGCAAGTATAATAAGTATATTGTATACTGTATGGGATGTAAAACGCGACGACGAATTTAAACAATTACTCTGCGTTCATTTCGTATAAGATTTTTGTCGAATTTTTCCTTATTATTGTCCTGTATTGTGCACATTATATTTAAATAGCGGGTTCAATGCTTTCAAAAACAGAAAACAATACAAATATTCTATTTAACAAGTTTCCCCGTTTCTAATCTTATCCCCAATGGCCTAATTTATCTTTTTAGAAAGGTACTTTCTTGTCTGGGACAATCAAACTGTTTTGTTTCACCCGTATTGCCAAAATAACCCATAAATTAAAGAAATATTCAATTTTCGTTTAAAGAAAACCGAAAATCCGTTGTCAGCTTTAGGAGTTAAATTTCGAGAAAAAATTTAGCAGCGATCGTTGATAGAGGACTCTATCGTTTAGAGGACTCTTGTTATGAACGCACATGTGCAACGTTTCATCAAGATTAGAATAAAACAGATTATAGATTTATATAGTTGACAAAAAAACAAACAGACCCATAGATACGCCACAGGTATAAAATATGTATACCTTTTCCCCGTTACTTTCGGATACTTTTAACGATCCCCTAACAAATAATCTCAAACTTCGAAATTAGAATTGTTTTATAAGCAAATTGAAATGATAACAGTTAGATTAAATTTAAATATGAATTTCACCTCGTTGTTGCGGGAGGAGGGTATTTTTTACCCTTACAGGCCCCTCCCCCTTCAAATGAAGTCAGAGGAATGCAATTTTGTGTATACTTTAGAATTAGTATTCACTATTCAGGATGTGCTATTTAAGGGTTCTGACTTTCAGCATCCACCTCCACCGCTGTTATATGATTAAATTTCACCATTTTTTGACAACTAGTATGTAATATATACATATATATATATATATATATGTATATAATACTATTATAGTACTCGGTTATTTATTATTTAACCTGCAAAGAATATTTCTATGACACAGAAGAGGTTGGGGTAAATTCGACTATAACGACGGATCTCACGGATGTATTAATTTATAATATGCTATAGGTTATAAAGCTATTTATACGACGAAACTGGGATTATTTTCAAAAAATCGACTGTACATTATAACAGAAATATCGTGTATATGTTATTCTATAGAAGACCGCGCCAAAGACGGTTTGACACCGCAACAAGAGACCCATAATAAATATAAACGCAGCGGATATAAGTATCAGAGGAGAATCGGATAGGGATAACAATGGAAGAATGCGGGCGTGGAGGAAGCGGCGGAGGATCCGAACAGTCCACGTGTATATTATATTAAACCTATAAAAATAAGAGAGAGACAGAACAACATCTATAGAAAACCGAAAATTATAAGCCATTAAAAATAATGTGTCTGTGTATTACAATAAAGTCTGGCCAACGTACGATGGGAACTTTATATTACAATATTTTACTAAACGGTTTTTTTTTTACATCGCTATGTATAAAACAATTTTGCTAAAATATAATGATATGCGAAGGACGTCCGGTGACGAGATGAATTTTACAAAATCCGTACGATTCTTATTTTCCTTCGCTGTAGGTTTCGCTATCACGCGATCAGAATTAAGTTAGTTTTTTTTTTTTCCAAAACTTGTATAGAATATATTATATTATGTAACACTAACCGAGTGATAAACAAGTCACGTGTGAGTATATATATTGGTACGTATTCAGGTGCGTGAGAAATTAACTATACACATCTTATATCTGATTACGATCACCCCATTATTTCAGGAGTGAGAACTATCCGGGAAATATGAGAAAACCCATAACCCTAATCTCTAATCTTCTCGCGTATTCGATTTCACGTTTTAAAAAAGATTTAAACACGATTTTTTTTTTTTTTTTTTAATTTTTCAGGCGACCGACTTTTTAGACTAATAACTTATTTTTTTTTTTTTATTTAATTTAAAGGTTATGAACACGTCACATTATAATATATTTCGTAACGATTATGATGTTCTAATATTTATTTTATTGGTTTTTTTTTTTTTGTTTGTTTTCGTTGTTCGAATTAACATAATCTTGAGGGGATTTCTTACCTTTTTTTATTTCATACGCTGCAGTATAATAATTTACAAAACGTTTTTTTTCCAACCAGTGAAACGTGTTATAGTGAAACGATAAGAATTTTAAAAATTGATTTGAATTCAGCGTAAAGTGTACACGACATCCAATTTTTATCAATTTTATTTTACATACTTTTATTGATTTTCAAATTTTGAAATTTAGTTTTTCAAATAATTTCATGATAATATTATACTGTCCCCAGTTTATGAAAAAAATAATATTATACTTCCCATATAAAAGAAAAAACTGACTGACTGACTAACTAGAAACTTAACATCTCGCATAGAGGTTCCTCATAAAAAGTAAACGACCACTGAGAAAATAATTTCAAAATTCAACATTTAAAGGATTAAAATGTGGTTAAAATGTTGAATACGTCGAGTAAAGAGTCTTTCAAAGTTAAACACGTTTTCTTTCATATATACTCCGTAGAGAAGGCATTATAAAAGTTATAGCCGGATTAAGCGCGGAACCTAGACGCTCGAGCTTCAGGTCCTGGATTTTTTATTTGGACATGTAAATAATAATATTGAATATGATAAAATGACTCTTAACGTATTAAACGTTTTTCAAGAGATTTATATCGAGTTATCGGTAATAAATGTTGTAAGGGACCTTCTGGACTATCGGACTCCGGCCCAGGTCTTAATGCGATCTTGAAAAGTCTACGCGGACCTATTATAACCGCGAGTGATACAGCTAGTTGTACCAACAATAAAATCAAAAATCTAACCGACAAGATAAAAATGTATATACTCGAGCGTGTAACTTCGATATCTATTTACTACGAATAACATAATAATTATTGTTCGTCTCAATAAAATGGTCATAAAAATCTGTTACTTTGACGTTTTTGAAATTAGTATATATTATCAAGCAGCACCGCGGGGATAATATCAAATATTAAAATGTTCATTACACAGCATTAGGTACCTATATTATAATAATATAATATATAACATTAAATGCCCTCGTTATATTTATTATAATAATCTTTTGGCCAACTGCACGACTTTCAATAATTTATTATATTTGCAGCCACAGTAGAAGATACTATTATGTTATAATAAACATGTCATCGGTATCATAATTCTATTCGATAAAAAAGAAGAAATAATATAATATTATTTATATACTCGTGAGCGTATAAAATAATGTACAATCAATAATTATTATTATAATACTGGATGATTTTTTTTTATCATAAACAAGCAATTTTCTCTGAGGGTTTTAAGTAAATTTTATTTCTGTTTTTTTTTTCTTTCTTTTGTTTAATCATCGTGGAATCGCTTAAAGTTTATTTTAAAACCATTTTTTAATTTTTATTCCTACTCCATATACCTTAAATAGTTGTTTTCCAAATACAGGAGCCGCCCTTTTTGAACACAGGTTCGAATATAGAAAATATTTTTCCTGAGATGTTAATATGCTAATATCAGATTTATTGTTTATGAGTTATAACCGTTTAACGTTTAGACCAGAGGAGTAAAGAGGAGTTATCAATACATCATTTAAAAATAGATATGCAATTTACTATTCTTCCCTACTCCTCTGGTCTAAACTTTAGACAGTTCATAACCTTCAAATTAAATAAATAAAAAAAAAAAAGTAATTAGTCTAAAAAGTTGGTTATAACTCAAAAACAATAAATATGCATATTAAAATTTCGAAAAAAATGTACTACTAGTAGATTCAAATCGGTGTACCGTGATGTTTAAATAAAGAAGACCCTATTTTAAAAACAAAATTATAGAGTTATTTTTAAGTATATGAAAAATTAAAAACAGTTTTAAAATAAAGCTTAATAGATACCATAATGATTAAAAAAAAAACCAAAATCAAATTAATTTAAAATATCCGAAATAATTGCTGGTTCATGATGAAAAACAAATTCATTACTCTGTATTGAGTATAGAAATATGAAAAATTGAGACAGGTAAATTCATTTAAAGTAACATAATAGGTCTTAGTATTAAATATATTATACATTTATTTCAATTTTATTGGAATTACTCTGCAAAATTCAATCAAATATAGGTACTTATAGGTGATTTAAGACTCAAATAAAAAACAAAATTTGGGAAAATTATTACAATAATCATTACAATAAAAAAAAAAGCAATGTATCGTCATTTTATAGATATTTTTTTTAATTTTTTGGAAAAGCAGTCGGGAGTCTACAAAATTTGTTTAACTAAAGTACTATATGACGAAAATTCCACAAGGACCGTGTGAAAAAATCCGAGCAATTTCATAAACCGAAAAAATGTTTTCCGAGAAAAAAAAAACACGTCTCATTAAAATTAATGTAATATTTGTATATAGCTTCTTCACGCCATCTAGAATCTCAAAACTAGAATATTATAATAATAATTGACTGCACACGTATGAGTTTAATTTGTTTTAACGTTTTTAAAAGGAATAAATAAAATAAAATAAAACGTGAATTATAATATTATATTGTACGCGCGTTAAACGTCGCGGATTCAATTCACGAATACATTATTATTATACTGCAATTATTGCAATAATATTATGAAAAAAAAAAAAATCAAATAAATAAATAAAAATATAAAGAGGAAAAAAAGAACAGTAAAATAACTGGTCCTTTTTTACCGAAAGAAATGATGCATCGGCCGCCGCCGCCGCCGCCGCCGCCGCTTCGCAGAGGGGGTCTGGCGACGTGATGGTAATTTATTCGGATTGCTGCCGTGCTTACGGCAATTTGTAGGTACACACACATAATACGTAGGATACGATATTACTTTTTATCGTACCGCGTCGTATATATAAATAAAAAAAAAAAAAAAAAAAAACATAGAGATATACATATAATACAACTATAATATAATATACTACTCTATACCTACCTACCAGTGTGATGGCTTTCAATTATATAGTCGCGGTCGCATTACGCGCGTTTAATAACGTACTGTATTATTTTCTATTATTAAAAAAAAAATAATAATAATAATAATAACGCGTCCGCTTTCAGGTCGCGGTACCTATCTTATAATAATAATGTGTACGCATTACATGTATAGGTAGTACCGTCGTGTATTCATGCGATGATATTATACATGTGCATTTATATGTATACGTCGGTAATAGTATAATACCTACTGCGGCCGATGCACGTGGTGGTGAACATCACCGGCGGAGCGAATGCAACGTAGGTGCCTAATTATTGTGGTTTTTGGTTTTCGTTTCTGGTAAAACACCAAAGAAACGGAAACCCTACACACTGGGACACTGCAGGCAACGCACCGAGTTGTTCCCGACGTCTCCGGCGGGACGGCTTTTCCGCCGGTTTAAAATGTTATACGGCGAGAAATTAAGTACTTTCCTGAATGCTGTGTACGATGCGTATAAACGATCATTCGAGGAATTCAGCGCGACAAGAGTACAACTGACAGACACCGCGTTGTCGAATTTGTTAATAGACACGCGGGCAAATTGGACGAACGTACCTCGAGCAAGTCGAGTGAACTTTGGTAGGTTAAAAGCCCGAAGACTCAAACCGTATTGTATAAGCATTTTTGGTTTTCCGCGTCGAGGCCGATTTTTTCATATTCACGCCACTGGCTGAGAGGTGAATACATTTTGCCGTACGGCGATCCGGGTACAGAGTTTGAAGTCGACTCCAGACATATTCAGTTGACCACGTGCGATACCCGCAACCTCCGCCGAACCAATCATTCAACGATCGCGTACAATAAAAGTTCCGCCGTTACAATGGCTCCGGAACGCGAAAGCGGTTTATTACAATGAATTTTGAATTTTTAAAATAAATATTCGTGTACATTGAGCCGGTTAAGTTTCTCGGAGAAGAATGGATAGAATATGAAAACGAGAAGTTGATGATCGGAACTGACGTTGGTGTACACTTTGAAGAATAGCGAATTGAAGAAATGAAATACTGCGACTGCAACAACGTCACGCTCGAACCTGAAACGACGAATAAAAGCGTAATTTAAGTGAAAAATGTACATAATGCGAAATTTACAATTACATAATAACTGATTTTAACAATAAATGTGTTAGACCAAACTAAAAATGTAATGCCTAATGGGGCTTTAACACGAAGTACCATCTAAAAAAGTACGCAATATTCAAACATTTTCAACGAAACTTTATTTTAGATCCTAAATGGAGCAAAGAAACTTATTGTTTTACAATGATTATTTTTGTTTTTTTCTGTGGCAACTTTTCTACCAACAATTTTACTCCGATTTACAATGATAGTACTTTTTCTAAAAGTAAATCTGACTGGGGAAGTACTTTAGAGAGGTAATTTTTTGATTTTCCTAGGAGTTTTCCCAATAAATGGGAAAAAAGTGAAAATAGGTACAATATTAAACAAATATTATTAAAGAAAATATTTAATGCATTTTACCATAATATGACATATAAATTGTTGACAAAGCAACACCATCAACCGAACTCCGCTCAGAATCGTTTTTCGTTATCAATGTTTTATCGTTGCTCTTAGTTTCGAGTCGTGAATAGTTCAAAGCAACTGCTAATAAGTTCATAAATTAATTGTATGCAAACGTCTTTACTGCAGTATATTAAACACCGTAACCAATTTCGCCATTACTCTGTTTTGATTAGTATACAAAGTATTGGGTATCTAAGGTACAAAGACCAAACATAAAATTAACATTTATAAATTAATTTATTAAAAGTATTCATGCACAATTGTTTTTCATTAATTATTAACGACAATTAATTACGACTAGACGATTGAAATCGATTTGTAAACGTGTGTCAGCGTTTTTTCACTCTTTACAAGTTAAAAATACACACATCTTGTCACAAAAGACACTTGTTTTAACATGAAATATGTATTGATTCTATGGCTAAACCTTCAATTATTAAAACAAATTAAACTAATAATAATAACATAAAACAATTATTCAGTTCTTTCATTATATCTATCCATACATAACTTCAAAACTTTGACCGTCATTAAGGAATTTACAATACGAATTTAACAACTCTGGAGTGTACATACACTCAATGTATTCTTGTTGCAATGTGTTGAAAATACCCGTTTGTAAATTTGTTGTTGATGTTACACCGGCATTGAACAAAAACGAATTGTTGATGTCATATGAACGACTATACAGAACCGTAAAGTAAATAACCTAATTGTGAATCCGTTAACTAACCGTCCCTGTTTTTAAAACCTGCCTATACTTAAATCGAATCGATTTTATCATTTAAAGTATCTGTTATCCGCGATTTAATATCATTATGCGAATTGTCGAAGACTTAAGTAAGTGAGTTTTAATTATATTGTACGTAGAAGGAATGTACAACAACCGGATTCGAGCGTTAGCGTGGGCGATTGAACAAGAATGTCACAAGCTTTCTGGCCTACGACCGCAACTCAAGGCGGTAAATGTACATTTTTTAGCAGTGTGAACAATTTTACACAAAGATTCCCGTCATTTAAGCATACCGACATTGATGGTTCGCCGCCTATGGCCGTCACTGCAGTGCAATCTTTACATTAATAACTATCAACTCGTAAACGTTTTAATTCTTCATTTTTTTTTTCTAAAACTGTATCATATAATTATAATTAAACATTAATGGACATTCTCGTTTAATTATTTAATTAGTTATAATTTATAGACGGAATGAAAATTGTTTTAGAACGCTGCCGGTGCAGATATAGATTACAAGGTGTCCGTCAAGATATATTTATAATCGTATTATAATAATATATAAGACATAATTGTAATCTCCTGTTCAATATTCGTATTCAACTTTAAAGCAATGGATACATTACTAAGTTCGAAATTATGAGCAGACGTGGAAACAATTTGAAAAAACTTAATAATTCAGAAATGGCCATTTTGCAGAGTTATTGATTTAAAGTATGAAGAAAAAAACAATCTTGAAACCAGGTGAATTTCGATTAAAGACACTTCTATTTCCAAAAATACAGCATGAACAGCCGTGCACCTATGCTTTTTATTACTTTTGGACTAGCGTTACACAATTTTACAATATTATGCTGTATTTTTAGAAATAAAAGTTTCTTTCATTCATTAAAAATTCACCTGATTTTAAAATTGTTTTTTTCTCCGTACTTTAGATTAATAACTCTACAACATGCTCTGTTCAAAATCTAAAACGATACAAAAATATTATATTGAAAATCATCCCTACACCCACGAAGTTATTTTCGTCACCGGTAAAACGGCCGTACTACCTCCCCCTTAATGAGAGTATCGCGGAGTAGATTCGTAGAAAAGTGTTATCTACAAAGTGATAATTGAAATGTTAAACGTAATTTTCAAATTGTATAAAACTGAAGAATATTTTGAACCCCGGAGTCCGTCCTAAAGGGAGAGTGGGATCGAATAAGGTTCGAGCTATTATATTTATTATTATATTTCATGGCCTCGTGCTCAAAACAAAATACGAATCGCATGAAATATAATAAAATATGAAAATATTTCAAATATCATCCTGCACCTCGCGTGGATTTAAACGGCGTATCGGCGTATTTCGTAATATAAGTTTTTTTTTTTTTTGGGGGGGGGGGTCTAACGCGACATTTCGTTAATGTATTACTATTCGGATCCCGATGACCGTGTTATAGCGATACGGAAAATATAAAAAAAAAAAAAAAAAAAAAAAAAAAAAAATGAAAAAAAAGAATCGCCTTGTATATTGTAATGATCAGTATTATTATTACTACAGTTCTTGGCGGAGACCGCGGCGGCGGCGGCGACTCCGCGCACCGTACGCGCGGCAGCATCCGTACGGCCCCGGTCCTGCGTACACGCGCGGTCCTAATGACTGAAAACGGACAATCACAAATTACCGTGTATATCTCGTGTATATACATATATATATTTAGTATTATTATTATTATTATTATTATTATTATCATTATTATACGTGTATACGGTACACGCCGCCGTATATTTTATCCGCGGACAATGAATGACGGTCGGACGGCGGCGGCGGCGGCGGCGACGACGAATAAACGGACGGTGTTGTGCGCGTATTATACCTGTACACGTATAATATATAAAATTAATACACGCGTATATATATATACGCATATATATATATTATATGTGTGTGTGTGTGTGTGCGTGTGTGCGTGTGTGCGTGTGCGCGCGCGGTATAAGAAAAATTCAAGAATTTATATCGGCGGCGGCGTCCGACGTCAAAAGCGGTACATTTGACACGGTCCGTTGGCCTCGCGCGCGTATATAATAATAATAATAATAATAATAACACGACCGCCGCCGCCGCCGCCGCCGCCGCTCCGGCGCACGCACGCGCACCCGCGACGCCGACGACGGCGGAGACGCGGGCCTATGCGTTATTACGAATTTTTTGTTTACCTTCTCACTCAATCTCTCTCTCGCTCTCTCTCTCTCTCTCTCTCTCACTCCATTCCGATTGTGACGCGAGAGACGAGAAACGCGCGGTTCCGGGCCCGCCGATAATCGCGGAAATACGATTACCGTACACTAGTGCAACAACACAATAACGTCAATATTGTCGTTACGCCGGGGCCGGGCCGGGCCGTGCCGGGCCGGGCGACGGCCGACGGACGCGCGCGCCGACGTGCCGGCGACCCAAACGCGCGAGCTACCGCGATGCGGCCGATGTATAACGGGGACGGGCGCGGGCCACTGTTCGTGTTGGGTAGTTAAACGCACCCGCCGTAACGGTTGACCGTCGCTGACGGACGAAACAGAAACGATTCTTAACGGGGGGGGGNGGGGGGGGGGGGGGTTCGGTTGATAGTGTTGCTTTGTCATCCGCGTACCCGTGTCGTAATATTACGGTAAAATAATCACACACGCCCGTGCGTTACACTATAATTTCTTTAATAATATTCGTTTAATATTTGTACCTGTTTTCCCGTTTTTTCCCATTTATTGGGAAAACTCCTGAGAAAATTACTTCCCTGTCGTTGTAAATCGGAGCAAAATTGTCGGTTGAAAAGTTGACCACAGAAAAAAAAAAAATAAAATAAAATAGGCGTCATTGCAAAACCAATACATTTCTCGCTCCGCTCGGAATCTAAAATCATAGCCGAAATAACATATTGTTTTACAGACTATCAAACGAGCGAATTATCCGCGAGCGATATAACGAGCGAACATAATAATACATGGCTCGTGTCCCCCGCTACTGGGTAATATCCTGGATTTCGAATTCGTCGTTTATTAACATTTCTTTTTAACGCGATGTTTATTACGGTGTTTTCGCGCTCTGGACATAGACGCGCTCCCTTCCAACGGCCCCGCGCCGTTCGTTTTAAGCATACACGTGTACGCTAAAACGTTCGTTTAGAAAAATTGCCGAGTAACACGTTTTATTTAAGAAAATTCACATCAGCAAATGTGTGTGTGTGTGTGTGTGTGGTCGGATTTTCGGTGTACTTATCAGATCCCGGTTATATGCAAAGTACGCACGCACACGAGTTGAGTTATCTTTTATTTACTACCCCTTCCGAAGGTGTGGTTAATAACACACCGAAAACGTTTGTCTTAAAACGGCACACGACTGTTTAACACCTGAACGCGATTATGACACTCTAGTGTACACTGTATACACTGTGTTTTTAAAATAAACAAAGCTATTATCTCTCCCGTGGATCTGCGACGCCGTTGAATCCCAGGATCCCACGATACGGGGACGCGTTACCCCGTCGACCGTTGGAATCGGTTCCCGAAAAACGTATAGTGTCGCGAGATTTTCAAGGAATCCGTGTCGATCGTAAAGGTTTACATACCAGAGGCGCAGATATAACGAATACAAGATGGGGGACGGGAGGCGATTGCCAAAATCATTATTTGTGTCATTTAAAAAAGTGGTTTTATATTTTAAGGGAAAGTATATTACAATATATACAGAGTGATCCATTAAGCATGCTTACTCCATTCTTATGGTTAAATTTTGCATACATTCAAGTTTTAAATTTTGCAATTTTTACGTGTATAGTTAAAGCCGATATTTTCGAATACTTAGATTTTTCACAACATTCCAGGAGTATCCCGTGGCAATACCAATTTTGGTTTTCAAATAAAAACCTATGTTAAAAAAAAAAAAAACAAATTGATGGAGTATTAGTTTAAATAAATGTTGATGTTAACATTTTTGACAATATCACTTGTGTGACAACACGGCGCATGGCGTTTTAATAGTGCTCCACTACTCCCCTCCTACCTAAACTTTAAAGTGGAATTCGTTAACGAGATCAAAAATAAAACATTTTGACAAATAGTCCATCTATTTATGGAAATTTTAATATAAGTTTTCATTTGAAAAACTAAAGTTAGTATTGTCATAGGATACTCCTAAATATTGTGAAAAGACTAAATATTCGAAAATATCAGCTTTAACTATACTAAAAAATTCCAAAAAAGAAGAATTTGAAAGGTTAGGTTACCCTGTAATGAATCACTGTAATGTATACTTATTTTTAATTCAAAGCATGACGAGGTTGATGGCCACTTTAATCTCTATGATTTGCATCATGGAATGAATTTAAAATTTAAATAAAAACAAACGGACATATTTCGCACGATGGGTGGGCCACTGTTGTAGGTGAAACGTTGGAAAGGTAAAAAGGAAATTATCGATTAATCATTGCTAACGAACAACGACTCTGAGTGGATTTCGGTTTTACGTGTTTTGAAAGACCGTAATATTTACGACTTGAAAAGAATACATTTCGTTAATTTAAAAAATAAGAATCATTGTAAAGCTTGATCCACTCGGAATCTTAAATATAACAGGAAAATATTAGAGGTGTTACGGACTCTGATTTTTAAGACCAAACCGAACTCTCCTTAAAATTAACAAACCCGTGTGATCTTAAAGTAAATACAAAAACATTTACAAAATTAATTTTTAAATTAAGAAAGCTCGCCTACCCTACTGTTTTAATTTTTAGGAGGAATGAACGTGTCGATTTACACAAATGAACAGTGAATGTTATCTTTTTTTCATTAACTTAATCGAATAACATTAAAATACTCGCGCAATCGCATCGTCAATCAACAAAGAATATATATAATCTAAATATAAATCAGCTTATGGATTTTAAGTCATATATTATCTTTGGTCCGAGGAAAGAAGTACTTAAGTCTATTTTGTATAGTTTTAAATGCAAATTAAAACTTTGAAAATATATACATTTATTCAATTTAAACCGAACATTAAAGGGGCAAAAAATATATAAGATAAAATTACACAAAAAAAACTATTATAAATGCCAAAATTTACCCTCCGTGGACCAAAGATATACTAAACGTTTCTTGTTTATGTACTAATTCAAAACCGTCTTGACTTTACTATAATATAACATGTTTATTATTATACACGTCTAACCGAGTACCTCGGGAAAAAAATAAACTGTATTGTATACAAAAAAGAACAAGGGGAAACATTATAATACAGTATAGGTGACCTGTTGCTGTGTGACGCGTTGTTTTCACTTGTTATTTTCGTGTTGTTACTCTATAGCTATGAATATTTCGGAGACATTATTGGAATTTAGTCGTTCTACGCTATTATAATAGGTATTCGTGTATAGTAATAAATAATTATGTACAAGACCACACACGCTCCTTTCCCTTTTAATCGATTAGCATATTATTACAATATATTATTTTCCGCTATAATATATTGGTAGGTACAATAAGTTGTTTTCAATACTTATAAGTAATGCATTTTATAATAATTTGTCGCGTTCTGTATATTATGTCCGCAGTAGTTAACAACAAATTACACCGAGAAAAAACTTTATAGAGATTATTCGCAGTTATTATTGAAATGCGATTGCCTACAATACACACGTACATATATCTGATATCCACAGTAGCTCTATTCTGTAATTCTGTGGCCTTATCGAACGTTTTTGATTCGTTAAACTATACGTACCTATCGATATTGACGAGCATCATCGACACAAATAGAAACGAGCTTTTCTGTAAATAATTGATCACTAGGGTCAACATTTTTATGCACTTGCATATTTTTATTGGTTCGTTAAAAAAATAGCTAAGCATTTAATACGAAAATGTATTTCATAGACTATCTAGTCTATATATCTATACAAAATTTTATTTTGCATATTTGGCGTTTTAAAATTTTCAAAGCAATTTTATGATTTTGTGCGTTTTTAGAGCATGTTTCAAGGATTCGGTAAATTGTTAAGAAATGTTCAACTTGACGAATAGAGAATCACAAAATAATTGTTCGAGATTTACAAATATCATCGTTGAATGTCGAAATACTATCCGATACTGTATCGAACTTTTTATATGGCCTTTCGGTCTTACCGAATGTTATCGTTGTTGGTAATTTATATACATGATAGAAATAACAGTTATTTGTATTAATTACAATTTCTATCGTGAGTCTATAGTTGTTTATTCGTATTTTAATGATTATCATATGATTAAAAGAAAAAAAAATATATGGATTTGCGCTATTTGGGACGTAAGACTTAGACTTAGATGAAAGAACCCGGACAGCTGAGAGAGGTTAAATCCTGACGACACGCTGAAGCAGCGTAACCAATGTTAGATTCGGAGCGCAAGTTTAATACGTATATAGTATAGTTTCCCAATAATGAGTATTTTTATTATTATTATTATTTTAGTTGCCCTATTATATCCGCGAGTGGCGGCAGCGATTTTACGCATTAAACTGTTCATTTAGGAATGTTTACAACAGAGTCTAACACGGATGCGCCCGCGATAAAAAAACGTGTACTCGTATATCATTTCACCGGGTCAGTTCAAAAACGATTTCGAAAAACGAAAAAACCTGCAGGTTCGAGTAGGGTGTACCAAAAAAAAAAAAAAAATCACTATAAACACATTATTATCGGTTCCCTTGGGGTTCGATTATTGTTTTCCGAATGCGATAAATATTTTCCACCCACAATGTTATTTTATTACAACACGTATTATAGTACCATGCACTGCAGTGGTCGCGATCGTGCACCGTTGCAGCAGACCCGCGGGTAAACGCATAATTAATACAAGACTACTAATTTTTTTTTTTTTTTCACGAACATTACCTATATACTTAAATATGTATAAATAAGAAAAACAAATAAATAATATTTCAATTAATTATACATATATGTGTGTATGTGTATGCGCGCGCGGATTTTAACTTGTAATTATTATATTACGAATATTAAGAATACCGGCTCTATACATCACTATATTATATTATCCTTCCCGCCTCTTTATTTATCGTATCGGATAAATAATGTTGACCTTTATGGCTTTTTATCTGTATTACATTATAAGTTATTTCTATATACGTGTTTCGGATTGAATAAATTATAATAGCGCGTAATTAAAATCGAATTTTCTTAATATTCAAGTAATACATATATGTATTATAGGTGTATTAAGTACCGGATAATAATTACTTAATTTGTATATACATACGCCGGTGTAATATTATCCTACAGTTTCGTAATAGCGGTTTTTTTTTTTATATTTTTATTGCCAATAAGAATTATTAGCCCATAAACATTATAATAGACTTTTTATAACATTGTTTTAAGTACCTACTTACGATTTTATGTATTTGTATACGGGCGGATAGTATACAAAAAATATAACTTATGCAAAATGTTCTTGAAAGTATTACGTAAATATAGTATTTTCCAAACGCTGTTATTGTAATATGAACTGCATTATATATCGTGTACACGTGGAAAAAACAGAAAAGCAATGTATAATGAGTTAAAAAATATTGTATTTTTATTTTATATTTAAATAATTGTGTGTAATGAAAATTGACTGTTATTAACACCACGCCACCTAACATATTAAACATTTTTAGTATTCTGTATACAATCATTTCGTTATTTTTTTTTATAAGGGAAAATTGAATTATTGGTGATAAATTGCGAAAGGGCCCTTTTGATAAACTCTTAATCCGATCCTGACCATTTGTTACCGATCGAATGAAACGCTGCAGTGTGTTTAATATATTGACATCACGGTGTAGTGTTTTATGGAACTGTTTTCTGTGCAGCAGTATATTATAATTATACTATAGGTATACAATCCGTTTGTGCCGCTAATACATAATAATATATGGATTATATTATTAAAAAATTATATAGAATATAGACAAAAAAAAAAAAAAAACTCGTTTCGAGAATGTTTACGTACAATATATTATTATACTGTCATATACACGGTATACGTATATAATATAGACACACCTAGTTTGGGTGTCTCGCAGACAACTTAAAATAACGACATGCCGTACCCTTGGCTGTTCGCGTTTTGTTTCGTTTTGATTCATCAGTTGATTTTTTTTTTCTCTCTTTCCATTAAGCCGCATTAATAATATTATAATATAGGCGCCATTTCGCCGGTGCGTATCGTGCAGTGTGTAGCGTATAATAATAATATTATTATAATACCCTCCGGCTTCGTATACCCAAAAACATTTTTAATTGACATTGTATAATATGTTTTCGAGATTACGTTCACTGCACTACCCGCACTATAAAGAAACCTTTACCGTTTAAACTATTAAATTGTATACTATCGTGTTATTAATAATTATTGTGAGCATACTCCCTATCTAGAAATTTCGTAAATTTGCGTTTGAACTGTCCAAATATTATTGTTGTTCTCATTATGTATACGACTATATTACGTGCATATTAATGTATTAAAATAATAGACTAAACATTTTTTTAAAAATAACCACAGAAAGTCAAAAATAAAATAATTTTACGATAATTTTTTTCTTTAAAATTCATTGAATTCGGCGGCAAATTAACAATAATTGAATCATCTATAACATAGTGGTGTATATAACTGTAGTAATGGTCGGTGTTACAGTATTACGTGCATTTTTAAAGTCTGATTATTCAGGTTAGTATATATCTCAAAGGTAAATACAGGAGTACGGTTAATTTGTTGACTAAGTCGAGTTATAAATTAATTACTTGAATTAATACGTGTGGTTAATTTTGCGCAACGGTAGTTATAATAGTTATTAGACTAGTTACTCGACTGGGGGCACTCAATAGAAACTAAATGCAAGATATTAAAAATGTCAAACGTATTTGAATGTCACGGTTTGTCATTTGGTAATGAGATTGCTATGGACCTAAGAGGTAACATCGTTGCTGTCTTATTGTATGGAACTGAAACCTGGATGTTAATTTAAACATCAAGCGGGAAAATCGAGGCTCTATAAATATGACTGTATCGATGAATTTCAAATTCCCCATGGACAGATCGTGTATCCAACTTGAGGGTATTTCAACAAGCGTGAAAGAAAAAAAAAAGAATTACTGATAAATATAAACTCTCGGAAACTAGAATATACGTATCGCATAATAGGAAATAACCAAAAGCAGTGGAATACCGGTAGGGTGGCATGACGGAAAATGAGCTACAGGCCAATGACATTAGGACCCCCAGTCAAGGCCTAATGCATTATTTTAAGTGGATGGACAGGCGATGAACTTTTTTTTTTTTTGCTCCAATCTGCTATACAATTGGTCCCCTCATTTGGTTATTTTGCCACAGACTTTAGAAATTTTGGTTACATTACTAACCATAATATATATGGATTGCTACAACTTATAGTTCAATGGAAAAGAAGAAAACCGTGGTTGAAAGTCCTCCACGATTGGTTTCACGCAATATCAAGTGAATTATTTTGTATATCCTCGAAAAAAAATTATAATATATATTTAATATGATTTCCAACATCCGAACGAATATATAGGAACATTAAAAAAAAAAATTATTCCTAATCAATAGATAATACTATATCTCTATGTGTGGCATATACCTTACGAATTATTGTATTGTATATTGTTGGACAGGGCAAATGTATATCGGGATCCGGATATCTTTAAATGGCAAAAAAAATCGACCGAATTGACTTGCCGGAATTATTTGAACACATAAATAATGAAGAAAACCATACGCGTTGCAGAATGCGTCATAATCTCTTTCTTTTTCAAAGTGGCGGTCGGTTAAAAAATACGTAATTTTTAAATTTAATATCCCGCATAGTCGACATCACGGCTGTTCGAAAAATTGTCCGACCTATAACGTATTTAACCAATAGATAAATAGGTCACGGTCGTATACTATATACGGTGCATGAAAATTAACACGCCGCCATTCACGAATCCATCGCCCGGATATGTTTAAACTTTTACAAACGTAAAGGATAATCATTATAGATATCTATGTGAATTTCAAATCTATGCGGATAAAATCATTTTAAAACACGGGGAAAATATTAATTTTCGACGGAAAACGAAATTATCGAACTTTTGAAAAAAAAAAAAATAATAACAAAAATATTAGCGGTAACGAAAACGATTTTTACATATTTTAATTTCGTTTGTTATAAACGAAACAGTTTTGCCCTAATGATGTTGGTCACTACCGTATAGATTTGTCCGGGGAAAAAACCGAAATGTGACGTTTTGCCCAAGTATCGTGGACATTTCGCGTATTGCCCGGGCATTTCAGAGATTTGCACGATTTCGGCGTTTAACCGTAACGGCCGTAACATAATAATTCATATCTGTACATTATATTACATTCACATCGAACATATATACACGAAAATATTTACAAAAATTTTAAAGCAATATTAATATTTTTTTCTCCCACAAACCACAATCTCTGACGACTACCGTTCGGACATCCACATCGATATCCCTATACGTATTGTAAACAAAACATTCCGCCAGTTATACCGTTATCATTACTTTTTGGTAACGCTGATAAAAATACCCAAATAACACGGTTATAAATACTATATTATTTTATCGCCTGCGGCCTACAGCCGTAATTGAAAAATCGCAGTCAAAATATTCCAAAGGGGGGGGGGAGAGGCGATCCACCCATCGCCCCATCCCTTAAACACGCCACTGGATCGTCGGCATACCGCAGCCGTTTGCTTTCGTTGGGACTCTACTGTTATTTTTACCGATATCAAATTGAGTTTTTAGTACTACGTCGATATGCCGGCCAGAACCCATCATTGACAATAATAAAAGACATGACGGACAGGCCGCGCCCATGTTTAATGTATTTGAGGCCGCGCGCCCGGAGGGAAAGCTCGGCGAAAGGCAATTATCGAGGTTTCAATTGACACCTCTGTCTATAACACTATTAAACGTTTTTTTTTTTCTGTCTAAATAATTACGCCCGTAACATTATTATTCACGTTGTTTATAACGTTTAAAAAAAAAAAACGAGACGTTGGGATATTCTTCTCGTTAGGAACGCCGATTGTGACGAATGGCCCATCAGCGTCCGTTATTGTCTACGGCAGAACCGCACGCGATAACGATACGGCGACAATAATGACGCCATTCCATCGTATTTTCGGCCCAGTCACACGGAATAATAATAATAATTGTACGCGCGCGCCGGGGCGGGCGGTCGCGGGGGGGGGGTTTCCGTTTCCCCCCCGGTGCGTTTGTCGCGCGGTTTCGGGCGCGCGCACGGAAGTCGTGTTTTCGCGGAAACGCGAACGCGCCGCGGCGACGGCGCACGGCGGTCGGCGGAGGCGGTGGCCTATAGTGGGAAAACAAGGGCGCGCGCCGCGCCGGTCCGTGTACAATATCGTTATCATCGTAAGTATCGCCGTATCGTGCTATAGTATTATTGTTATTGTGCGCGCGCGCGGTCATGTCGTCCGCTCGCTGTGCGTACGGCGCGATCGCCGGCCTCGGCCGCCGCAGAAAACGGTTGCCGGGAGCGAGCGAGAGTACGCGACACGGGAACATGACGGCCGTCGACGGAACGAGCGAGCGAGACGCCGCGCCGTCCGGCCGGCAGCTGCGGAAAACCGGGCCGTGAGCGCAAGCGAGAGAGAAAGAGAGCGCAGCACGCACGCACGGTTATATCGTCGTCGTCGTAGTCGTCGGGCGTACGCACCGGGTGGGAGAAATTCGGCCATCTGCCGGGCGGACCACCGTGATAGCCTGTTGAACGCGCGCGCGCACACCGCCGCCGCCGCCAGTCTACGGGCATGCGGGAAACGGCGTTCCTTCTTCACCGGTCTCGTACTCTCGTCCCGTACCGCCGCCGCTGCCGTGCCGAACGCGACTCGCATTCCGCGCGCCTACGACCGTCGCGCTGCCATCGTCGTCGTCGTCGTTTACTCGTTTCTGTGTGCGCGCGCGCGGGTGTGTGTGTGTGTGTGTGTGTGTGTGTGTGTGTTTGTGCGTGCGTACGTGCGCACCGTGCGGTGAACTGGTGAGTGTATGTGCGTCCGCCCGTCCGAACGAACGCGCGTGTTGTTGCGAACGCTGTTATTTTGTTTACGATCGTCGTTCCGCGTTGTACCCATTATTTTATCAATACTCCGACGGCGAAAATTTCACTGACGATTCATCCGAAATACGTCGGACCGTCGTCCGGTTAATATCGGCCCGTCGTCGTAGTGTCGCGTTCGCTCGCTGTGACGACCGTTGTTTTTTTTTTTTTTCTAAATTCGAGTTCAGTCAGACGCGTAGTTTTGACCGTTTTTTATTTATTATTATTTTACACGACTCTACCCGTACCCGCGCCGTCGATAGTATCGTGCGAAACCGGCGGAATATGAACACCGTTGCGTGTCGGGGTGGACACTACAATATTATCGTGCACAGTATTATCACGCATTTATCGTTCGCCGGCCGCAAAACCGTCTGAAAACAGCCATAACACATTATAGTGATGTACCCCGCGAAACCGTTTTTCCTATGACGTTTTTCGTATTATTTCCTAATGAGGATACATTCGATTAAAAGTGATGCAGTGGAGATATGGTCGACCACGTTGCACTGGACTTGTACGTGAGGACCACGTTTCAAGATGCACAGGTCGCACGTAGACAAATCGAAAAGGTACGTGAGGGACTATTGAGTGGTATAATAGGTTTACCTACCTATTGCCACAGGCGCGTGTTGTTGTGGTTTTAGCGCGGATTTCGATACGCATAGGGTCTAAGGCCGGAAGTACACACGGCGCTATTACAGCGCAACGGGGAGATAACTTCCGCGAAACGCTCGAGACCGGCCGCCGCGGGGCGGTGAAGTCTCCGGCAAACTCTTCACGCCGTTCGTTATCAGTCCGTAGACAAGGTTATCGTCCGCGTCGGTTTTGTTCCCTTTTGTGCCGGAAGTGCGTGTGCGGCGCGTACACCTGATCGCCCCGCTCGTTCTCGTTTGCCGTATAGTTTTTGTTGTTCGGGACACGATTCTACTTGTTTCTCCCCCTGCGCCTTTATCCCACGCGAGCGGCCGAGACGGTAACCGTTTTTCTACTCCGTCTCCATCTCCGCATAACGTCTCTCCCGACAACCGCATCTGGTCACCGTATCTCGCCCACCTTCCCGCGGCTATCTCGTATCTGTCCCGGAGAACGTTTTCCGACAAAAACCGAAACAAAACTATTAGGTAGGTGTATCACAAACGCGCGAAACTCGGACAAGCCGACACAAATCAAATCGTTGCTGATTAAATACCGAGTGCACACGTTCCTGGTGTCCTTTAATTCGCGCACGACGGCGTCACCGACAACGACCGCGTCTCATCAACCGCCCCGTGATCATCGAGGCCGTGTCTGATGGCGCCTTTTCACGGACGAATCAAAGGCCATTGGGATAATATTGCGAGGGTGTTCACCCATAGATAATAAAGAAATGGATAGGCCACTCCTGCAACAATTGTAAGCGAGGCGATATTGCCGGAGGGGAGGTGAATTGAGGCGATTCATCACTATACGTACAGATGAAACGCCTCGCACCATGGAGCCGGTATCCGTGGCTCTTTCAACACTGATACGGTACGGATACCATAACTTTATTATCTATGGTTAAACCGCTCCCCCCCCCCTCCCTACTAGTTCCGCCTATGAACGCGGCGGACATCCGTTTTCCGTTTCGATCTGTACACAACAATAACGTGCACGTTAATTCGGTTCACGGCAAACGCTGCGCCCCCGAGACGTCGCGCACACCCTCCGCCCGGCCCTCGTCGACCGTCCCTCGTCGGCGAGCGGTATTACAGTCTCGCGGGACCGGACCTCCCAAGTATATCGTTTTAACTATACGCGACTACGGCGATCCGGTTTCGTGTCTTTCGAAACGTGTGTCCCATACGGCGGCGGCGGCGGTGGCAGGACAATTTGGAAATCGGCCAAAACTGCCCATTATATTATTGTGCGATGTCCCTTTGTGTGTGTGTTTTTTGTCGGGAAACGTGCGCCGGTTCATTAAACACGTTTTATACCCTACGCCCCTATGTATAATATCTTTTGAAACGTCAAAGCGCTCCGACAAACGGTTCGCGCCGCGCCGGTCTTACAATAGTATCCGGCGGATACCTATACGCGGAATAATATTATATCCGAGGAGCCGTTCCTCCGGCACGGTTACCGCGGTCACGGGCGTGGGCGGTTACCCGGTCACCGTTTCGAAAAGGAAACGATACCCCGTGTATTGAGGGGGACGCGGGGGGGGGAGGGTTGGACGCGGCAAAAATGCGTGTCGTTTCAATTAAAAATAATGTACGACGCGACGTCACGTGTTACAATAAAAACGTAAAACGAAATAAATATTCGAACGCCGCGAAATCGGTTTTTTTTTTTTTTCACTCCGCGTATGTGTTCGGTACCTGCAGCGTATACGGTTTCGGATTTTTTCGCCGCAATAAGCCGCCAACGTGTGTATTTTTTGTTTTTTTCGTTTCTCGGAACTTTTCCGTAGTTACAATAAAAACGTAAAACGAAATAAATATTCGAACGCCGCGAAATCGGTTTTTTTTTTTTTTTTTTTTTCGGTTTCCTAATAAAAATATGGCGTAATTACTCATAAGTCGTAATAAAAAACGCCTTTCGCTTTTCGAGCGCGAGCGCGTGTATTGTTACACTCGGCGAACCTTATGCGTACAACTGTGTTTGTACAGGGTGTTGGTCGTAAACGAGCGTCACGAAATATAATAACCGCTCTGTATACGAGCATAATATTGTCGGTTGATAATGTCGCGCGTCTCTTCCGTCAATGGGGTTGGTGGTGACTTTTCCCACCGGTCCATCGCGGGCCGCGACGTCCAGAACAAAACTGCGGCAATCGCGTTTGACCAATTTCAATTTCGAAAACGCACTGTTCGTTAGATTCGTTGACTGTAGCACAGGATACGATGGGATTTTTTTTTTTTTGAATTTTTATTATTTTTGCCGTAAGCGTAAAGGGAACAAATACTCTGAATAAACGATGTTCGGACGTTTTTCAGAAATACGATCAAATTTTTTTCACGCTTTCCGTTGAGAAAATGTCCGTCACCGACGTATCCCAGTTAAGAACCCGGGGAATTCAAAATTGAAATTTCGTCTGGCGTTTAAGTCTAAAATGTATACCGTGTTACCAATAACCTTAAATTTATTTATCGCCTTTACTACGGTTATTGTTATTAGTGTTTGGTTCGATAAACGATTAAAAAAAAAAAAAAAAAATTCATCAGAGAAAATAACCGTATAGAACTCGACTCGATGAATTCGTACACGACGACGTGTATCGACCATCTGGCAGTGTGTAATAATAATATAATATTTTGTAGGTACCGTTACGCGCGTTCACATTAACAAAAGGGCCCGGGGGTGGCGTTTTTTTTTTCTACATACCTACGTCTATTTGTTGGTCTTCGTCTCCTTCGCCTTCATCCCGACGTTGTGGGGTCGGTCACCCTCCATCGAAACTTCCACTTGACCCGATCTCCCACCTCGCATACACCGGCCGTCCTCGTATCATTCTCGATCGCAACCAACCGCCTCTTCTTCGGTATTCCTCAGCCCTTTTTAATCCTACGTTAATTTTCCTTAAAATTCTTACCGTTTCCGATTACTCTCCCTTCGTGACATGCCCGAACCATCTCCTCCTCGATCAGTATTATCTTTCATTTTTTCTACTATAGGAGCCACGTCCGAGTTACCTCTTGTATGTACTCATTCCTTATCTATACTCTCGTCATAACACATTGTTAAATCTAAACGTTTACTTTTACCGTAATAATAGTAAACCGGATAGTTATTGCGTGCGTGTGTTTTTTTTCAATTAGTAGAAACGATAGTTGATATAGTTGCTTAAACGAAAGAACCTATATTATAATATGGGGAATTGAAAACGATTATTGGTCTTAGGGTAAAAATAAGAATGTCGAACTATGGAAAAACGCCATATTTATTTATTTTCCGCCCTACCAACGTCCCGCCGTCCAATTTTCCTATTTCCCGCCTAGATGCACGCGTTCGTGGACTCAAGCTGTCTGGGTCTCGGGGTCAAACATATCTTCCTGCCATTTTTCTCTATTACGAATTCTGCAAATAGATTCGAATTCGCCGTATACTCTAGAGTCTTTACACGTAATTTTATTGGGCGATATTTGATTAGATAATTGACGATTTGTTGTTTAGGATTTAATTAATGCGAAAAAGATCGATCTCGAGTCGGGACGGAAAAAGTTCAGATCCGCTTTCTGCCGAATATTCGTTTCGCTATAGATAAAACCGCCACCGTCTCCAATCTCTATACAAGTACGAAAGTAATTCGATTTTTTTACATCGCCTCCTCACTTCGCCCTTATATCTTGCACAGCGATTCCGTTACTTTTACTGTTGACCTCCGCGTCTCTTCCAACATAATAAATAACCTCTATTCTCTATATAGCCACTTTTGTTCGGCGGTTTACCCCGTCTACTGTTACACACACACACACACACACACACACACACACACCAAACTTGTATCACTGGAACTTCTCGACTGCCACATAGTCTCTTTCTATCGGCGTGTCCACGTAGGTATCGGCCGTACTGCATATGATGCTTTCTTTCGGTTTTTCTCCGCTACACCCGCTACTCTTAGACTCCATTCTTAATTCTATCCGATTCGAAGCGGATTGGGTATACTAAATCCACCTTAGCGTTCGCTAATACTCTGGCCGCTTCCAACACGTTTTTATTCGCAACGCGCCCAAGCACCGTGTTCCCCGTGTACACGTCGTCGGTAATGCTTTATGGTGATGGGAACAACTTCGGTTAAACCGTTCGATTGTCGGGGAAAAAATATTCGATAGTCCGTTCAAACTATCGACAGTGTAAAGTGCCCATCGTGTCTCAGCCGAGGGGTAAATCACCGGTCGTCGTGTACACCGTATTCCGGAATACCGTTGATTTTTCGTTGACGTTTCCTTCCCGTGAGATTTCCGCGCGCGATTACCAAACATTTCGATCGTCAATCTCCGTCGTTAGCGATTTACCGTCTCGCGAAAAACCCGACCGTGGACCGACACTCTCGACGGCGCCGGCGCTGTGGTTTGCGAGGCGCCCTGTGCAAATTATAAACGTTTTTAAATTTGTATAGGTACCCCATAAAAGCGCGAGGCCCCAGAGCCAAATCCGGTAATTACGAAGTAACGTTTAAAACCGGCAGTGGGTAAATCGACGTACAAACGTTCGATTAATAATTACGGAAATCTTTGGTAATCATCGGGGACAGTATTCGAGAATCCGGTGTGCGTAATGTAATATTAATCGGTGATTTATTCGATTTTTTAAAAAAACACAAATAATACAAGCGCGACGCCTCTCGTGCGGTAGTCGTTGTCTAATAGCTCGTCGCCCGCTTAAACCCTGGGGGGGGTGGAGGAGATTATGATTTTATCGCCGTTGTTAACCCGTATCTGCAGTGGTGTAGCACCGGTGATAATTTACGGCCTTTAAAACGGGTGGGTGGGGGATATAACGCGACCGATATTATACAGGCACGCTGATTTTTTTTGACCCGAATCTCTTCTTCTCGGGCGGCGGCGGGCCGTGTTTTTATATATGTATATATATATATATTTTTTTATTATTTTTTTTTTTTTTAATACGTCCGTTCGGTGTATTTACGCGCGCGTCGCTACCAAGAATGATTACATGTTGCGCGACCAAGCCCCCGGTCTGTCGCTCTCTCTCGCGGCCCGTATATTCCCCCGTAATTGAGGCGTCTGGGTGGTCCCCGTGACTTCACGCAACACAATGTGGTCCCCGCACAACCGTATACGTACATTGTGTACACGCATATACGTATACCGCATACGTACAGACTATTATTTATATATATATGTATACGTATGCACGTATAATAAGTGCGTTGAGGAAGTAACATCCAGCTGGCATATCGCTCCCACCGTTCGTGATACAGGGGTTCTCATAATGTCTTGTCGAAACGCGCCTATACCGCCGGCCAGTTCAAATATTTCCTCGTGTTACGCGCGCGTGGATAATTCGTCGAGACGAATCGAACGTGATAAGAGGGCTCGGTGCGGCGGCAGAGCGAGTCGGCGTATTTTTTATTTTTTTTTTTTTTCTGCGAAAAACGACACTTGTTGATAGTTTCGCGATAAACGCCGTACGTTTACAATGCGCTGCAGTCCGTCTACTAGACACGGAAAAAATGCCCAGCTATACAAGTGATAAGGACTCGTCCGGTTCGACCGGATTCCCGGCGAAAAACGGACCCGTCCTGTTTTGTCGCGCCGAGCCCTCCAAATCGGCATCGCGCGAAATTCACAAAAGTACCACGGTTAATAACGACCTACTGGACGTGTTGCAGGGCAAAGCTTCGGGACGTTTGTGCGCTGTGCGGTTTAGAGCTTGGGAACAAAAGTGCCTGGAGCGGTTGGGAAGGTCGATCCATCGCAAGACACATGTGTTCTTCCTGCCCCTGTTGCTGGGTCTCGGAGTTCTGTTGGCCGGATTCAAGGCTTTCGACCGGAACTCGCAGTTCGATCAACTATGGGTCGAGTGTAAGTCATTTGTCGATAAACACGAATAAATCTTTGGTCCCGGGGAAGAAGAGCTTAATTTTCGGCATTTTTGATTTCCCCTCCCCCCTTTAAATTGCATGCGTATGTATGTATATTATCAAAATTTGATTAGGACGTGTCGTCGTCTCATTGGATACTATGTATATACCCATACGAAATTGACTCAAGTCCTTCTTCTCCCCGCGGGTCCAAAGAAATGTTATACCGCAAACGCGGATGCAGTGGACTTAACCCGAGTGGTTTTTTTTTTTCAAATTTATTTTTTCGACTCGTTTAGCGGGAGGACGTCTGGAAACGGAATTGCGTTATTCGGAATCGGCGCTGGGCGAGACGGAAAGCGTCATACACTTGTTGGTCACGCAAACAGCCAAAGAGGCCACTTCTCCGGAAGTGCCTCGACAGCGGCTTCTCCATAAAAAAGCGCTGCTCGCTCATCTGCAGCTCCTCAGAGCCGCCTCTCATGTCACAGTCAACCTATTCGACGTGTAAGTTTTTTTTTTTTTTTTTTTTTTTCGTAAAATCATCGCTTGTCTATTATCGAACACGTTTGACGCGGGATTAATTGACGTTTATTTTCGTAAACAGGACATGGAGTCTCAAAGACATTTGCGTGTCGCCGAGCCCTCCGGATTTCGAAGTCCATTATATAGACAATGTGAGTAGTTTTTATATACATTTCCGCGATCTCAAATTGTTTTATTAATAGGCGTTATGGTTTTTTTTTTTTTTTTAGATATTTGAAAGTATGATGCCTTGTGAAATAATTACTCCTTTAGATTGTTTTTGGGAAGGTTCCAAACTGTTGGGCCCAGAAAATCCTATAAACGTCCCGTAAGTAGCATATTTAATCCCTATATATTATACCGACAATATATTGTAACATTAGTAATAATTTCGGTACGTTTTTTTTTCAGTAATGTCGGAAACGGTATTAAATGGACAAATTTAAATCCTCAAAGTCTAATGAAATCTATTAAAGCCATGGGGGACTCGAATTTTCCATTCGATATGCTTGAAACTTACATGAAACGAGTAAGTAATCGTTGGTGGAATAGAAAATCGCTTTTAAATATAATAGCATGCTAATTAATTATTTTACGTTATTAATGTTTACGTTTAGGCAGGAATCAATTCAGGTTACCAAGATAAACTGTGCTTAGACCCGGAAGATCCCGACTGTCCAGATACGGCTCCGAACAAAAAAACCAAAAAGGTAAGTTGTTTTTGTCACTTGTATTGCAACGAAATGTAGTAAACATTTAAGGCTTACACGTGTAGTTTACACAGGACGGCCTGTGAATCGATTTCTGGGTGGTCTAATACGGGTAACATACGAATTGGTTCCAATGAACTGTCATTTTTTAATAATAAAACAGAATTACTAACCGTCATCAATTTCCCTTCCATTTTACATAGATTTTAACGGATTATTTTTATAGGGCGTTCACACGGGTGGTTGATTTTTTTTTTAACTTATTACTCAAAGCTCGCCCCTCTCCAATCCGCTGTTCAGTATGTTTCAATATGTTTGTAACGGTTTCGTTCGTCGGTGTAACTTTTCCTCGGTATTATTTAAGCCGTGTATTTAAAAAGGAAAAAAACACACACACACATACACATGGTAGTAAAATGATTTACAACGTCTCTTTGTACAAATCTACCGGTCGACGTTTCCTTTCCCGGTAGTTTTTTTTTTGTTAGGGATCTGTACATAAAACCATTAGTCACGTGGAATTTTTTTTTATTTGTTTCACTTAACATTGTGACCATATTCACTTCCATACACTACACGTAAGTTATAACAAGTACTGCGCGTGTGCCCAACTGCGGTTAGTTGACTGATGTCTGTACGGAACCCAATTCGAACATTTTTTTTATTTTTTGACCCGTGAAACCCGATTCCTTAGTTTGCAATTTACAATATTTACCCCGGTGTCCGCGACCCAGCTACCATTGACACGATAAAATAATATAATTCAACCCGTTGAACTGGTATGCGGCGGCACGTGGTGGTCTGCATTAGATTCCGGGCGCAATTAATTCGTAAAGTGACGCGGCCGTAAATTTGTCAGCTCGCGTAACGTTTTCGGTGTTATTTATGGCGAACCCGTGTGATTTAATTGTACTAATTACGCGCGCGATAGGAAGTAAATAATATTTCGATTCGTGAATGTTTTTTTCTTACAAAAAAAAAAAAAAAAAAAACAAACATTTCCCGAATATTTTGTTTATTTAACATCGCATAGTAAACACATGCGATTATTTATAGACGCAAACGAACGGGGAAAAAAAATACGGGCTTTGCATAAACACGCGCGCGCGTCCGGGTCGCGTATTAACGTTATCTACTTTGAAACGAGTCACAGACACACGCAAACGGAACTCTCCGATTGGCCAGATGAGGCGTTGTTAGTTTCAAACAGACACCCGTCTTATCGTGCGGCCGGCCGGACACGCGTTCTGGTGGTTTTTCTTGAAGGATTTCCCGAAGGGTTTCGAATACGACGGTCATGGACGTTTGCTGTTTTTTTTTTTTCGCTGCTTTATCTTCACCACCGCGGTGACTTTTCGCCGGTTAGCTAACAGATGATCGGTGCTCTTATAGGGGACACCGACTCCCTTCGGTGCAGCATCGTGTTCGCCGGGCCATCGGGGGAAAACGCTCAATAACAGAGCGGAATGTTTGGTCATGAGAACGGCGCCCGGGTAAAACGGAACGAATGCGTTTTACAATATTGCGCCGAGTTATTCCTGTATTTTTCTACAAACGTGGCTGTTTTTCACATAATAGGTTTTATAAATAAATGAACTCACTGTTGTTATTAATTTTATTTTTTTTTTTTGTTTTTTAATGCCAATCGATGTGGATTATTCTATGTAATCTACGCGAATATGCAATAATAACGAAAAAATAACTATCGTTGAAATCTTGTGTTAGGTTAGGTATCGATTCTATACGTTTGCATCAATCGGATCTAAACACCGTCGCGATGCCAGTGGCGTATTTGGAATTTCGCCAAGGGGGGAGGGAGATATAGAATTCTGAAATATTGTATAATAGACTGTACCCTATAGACGTAAAACAAAAACAAAAGATACGATTTTAAATCCTTGTATTTTTTGTATGCAATTCGATTAATCGATAAACATCGAAATGTTATAGTAATTATAATTATGAATTAGTTTATTTATCCTATTCCGAGCATAAGGAGAAGAAGAATCTCCTTTACAGAAAGTTTCGTTTCGAAGACCCGTTTCGTTTTTTTTTTTTTTAACAAAGAAACGTACCTGCTGTTGCTTGATTTTTTATTTTTTTATTGTTATAATTATTATTTACATGGGGCCGACGAATTTTTGATTTTTTTCGACCAGAAAGTAAAAAAAAAAAAAATCGAATTTAAAAAATGCCGACGGGGGAGATTTATCTTTCGATTTTCGAGTGTCGTAGGGAACGTTATTACGCGTCCGGGGCTCGTAATTACTGTAGAAAAAAACAAATAAAAAACGTACCGTGTACGGCCGACAATATCGTCGCGGACAAACGAAATCGGGAATTCCTTTCGTAGCCGTCGCCGTGCAGCAGCGCGTTTTCTAGGTCAAGCGCGTTTGGAAGAAGAAGAAAAGGAAAAGTCCTACGCGTCGTGTTCGCGGTCCAAACGCATCTATTTATCCGCGCGTCTGTTCCATAACAACTCCCGCGCGGCCCGTAACGTGACGACCGCGTCGCGTTCATCCCGCCGCCGCCGCCGTTCCTACTCGGCCGTTTAATAATAATAAATAACAATATCAGAACCCGTACCGTGTAAAAATAACATTACATTATCTACCTGCGTATACGATCCGGCCAATATATCCGTAACATATTTAGGCTCCGCACCCCCGCCGCCTCGTTAATATATAAAAATGTTTGACTTATTTGCATAACAAAGACCTCTTGGGAGGCATTGTCGTTCGCCGGCAAGTCTCTGCGTGCAGTGCGGCGTAAACTACCACGGTCCTGTCATACGGCCGAACGCGGCGGCGGCGGCGGCTTGTATAGGTATAGGTACCTACACACGCGAGCGCGCGCGCGCGCGCACACGCACGCAACGCAGACTCTCACTCGTTCCCCCTACCCGTCCCGCCCGCCCGCCTTCTCTTTATTATTATTATTTTTTTTTTTTCATTATTATTATTATTATTATTTCTCCGGTGCCCAGGGTAATTGAAGTCGGTATACCGGCGGACCCGAGGAGACCACACGCGCGCGCGGCCGCCTGCCTGTGCGCCGCCGCGTGCACACACTCTGGAGCCATCATTCTCGGGCCGGTGATGCCTTCATTACTACGGTCGAGGCACATAACCCACCTACCTATGTATAATATGATATAATAGGCCTTGGGCCGTACACAATGGCTCCGCAGCGCCCGGGCATTCCTTCGCATAAAAAAAACATACACACACACACACACACAAATACCGCCTTACTTTTGATTTTTATTACGGCCGTATTCGGTAAAAAAAAGGTGAAGGGGGCAGGGGGGTTCGGGAATGTTTACCCGTCCGTGTGCGTTACCCCCGTGGATGCGGGCCGATATCCGCGATAGACACTATATCGTTCGTATCTTATTTTCACTGTGTATACATGCGTCGTGTAATATAAAATAGATCGGAGAATGCGCGCGCGATATTATACGCGGCATTGTAGTACACGTGCGGTACAATAATATAATCGACGTGCGTGCGCGTGTTGTGTTTTCGTCCAATTATAGAAAAAAAAAAAACGCAAACATTTCCTACGGAATTCGGTAATTAATAAATTATGTTATTATTATTATTATTGTTAATTTATTAAAAAGTGCCAAGTGGCATTCGGCGGATTACGAACGCACGCGGGCCGTATGCGATTTCGACGGGGGTGGTCCCGTCGATGTCGGTGGGCCAATTTGTTGGCCGGGGGGGATGAGGGGAAAAACCGATTCCCCCCCCCCCCGCGCGCGCGCGCGCGCGCCGACGCCCACTGCCGTTTTCCGCGACGCGTCGCGTCCGACGCCGCGGCGACAACGCGCGCGCGGAACAGCGCCGCGCGATAAATCACGGAATAATAATATTTCGTGCGTTTTTATTTTTGGCGTTTGTGTGTCGCGGCGCTGCTCCGCGGCCGCCGCGCGTAAATGGCAACTCAGCGCAGTCGCCGTCGTCGGTTCGCGCCGCGGGTGGTCCCCGTTTCTTTCGGTCCGCTCGCGCGCGCGCGCGTATATTATAGCGGGGCCGCGGTACGCGTATGTGCGTGTCCAATGAAACCCGAACAGCTTCATCCTCGCGCGTCTTTATAAGTATTTATTTTTTTTTTTTTTTCTCGGAACCGCGCGACGACGGACCCCGGTCGTTCGCAACGGCGCGCCGGGTTCGCCTACCTGCGTACGGCCGGCAGCGGCTCCCATCGTGACTTTATAACGTGCCACCCGATCGTAACAATTTAACGGCTCGTCCGGCCGCGTCCGAAGCCACCCGCCGCCACCGCCGCCGCCGACTCTCACCCGTCCCCCGTCGGTCGCGATTCGCGCGCGACCGACATAATAAACGTTCGCGAAAAAAAAAGAGAGAAAAAAAAAAAAAAAAAAAAAAAAAAAAAAAAAAAAGAACAAACGAAAAAAAAAACCGTTCGTTCACCTGCCGTCGTTCTCGCGTCACTGCGTTCTCGAAGGGCCCGCACGACGCGCACCGCAGTTTTTGTTCTCATTCTTCTGTCGCGTGAAAATAATCTCGTGAATAGAGGAACCGCCGAAAACGTCTTGGACAAAGCGAAACGATTTCGCATTATTACGCCACCCGAATCAGATCGCGTTACACCGCCGCGACACAATGCGAATAATGCAATACAATAAAAATATGATAAATGGCATCCGCGACCGCCGGATAATATACCGCGGGGGTGACCGTACGATAATGCGATGTTTTTCCCGATTGTTGCCGCGGTTCGAACCGTCCGCCTACAGCCAGCCACCTAGGCAGTCGCCGGTATTTCGTCTCCTGCCGCCGCCACGCGTTCCCCGTGCGCGTTTTCGATTTTAAACTGGCCGTGCTCTCCTGCGCGGTTTCCTGTACCCGAGCAAAATTCCCAACGCGAAAAATGTAAATCTATGTTACGTAATATCGTTAAACGCATAAAATATCGGTGCGATAGGGAGGTCCGGGACTCGGTTGAGTGAGGAGGCCCGTGAGATTTTGAGATGTGTCGGAACAGAAAAAAAACTAATTGGTTTCTCGTGGGCGAATAGGTAAATAGGTGAATCATAAGGTGAATTTTCATAAAAAAAAATCCATACGTGAGCCGTCTCTGTTGTAAAATTAGAGAGTTGAGAAGGTATAGGATTGGATAGGTATATAAGGTGATTTAGTTTATATGACTGTACGCAATGGTATTTCATTTCAAACTTAAACCGATTCTGAGTTGAATAATAAACTAGGTGTGTTTTTCCATTGTTGCCAAGGGAATCCAATATCCAAAATAAAAAAAAAACAGGATCTATAGAGTGAAAAGCCGATAATGACGATAAATATTTCCGTAAGATGCGACCCGGCGGAAATGCTTATGAGGTACTGCGTGAAAAAATTTGAGCATTCACGTATCGAAGAGCATTTTCACTAACCGAGAAAATGTATTGAGAAAGAAAATATTTACCTGAGCGGCTGACCGCAGTGGCTCGGCGTTTATTTTATTTTGATCGCTATAAATACAGCTTGCGACGAATCACTCGTTTAAAACATTTTTACCGGGCCAAAACAATTGTATTAGCATAAAAATCAAAAACTCGAGCGTAATTTCAAATAACCATAAAGAACTGAAAAGTCTATATTTTATGTAGGGAAAATTATCTATTGTTAGGGGTTTTTTTTTTGATTTTTTTAACTCGGTAGGTTAGGTTAGGTTGGTAGGAACACGCGCGTTTTCAATATTTCTGACTAAAAAGTAATGAAATTCGAATTCGCAAAACACGTATTTCAGTATTTGTATAAATAATAGCTACGAAAAAAAAAAAAAAATGTCGAGGGAGGACATGTAGCTCCCTGACCTTCTCCCTTGAATACGTCACCGGAACACGATGCGGACACACGTACCGGAATTATAATACTATATTGGTAATATTTCTTTTGTAGTCACTGGTAATTCTTCGGTCGGAAAAATAACCAAATTCTGCGAAAAACAATACGTTACCTATAAAAAAAATTATTACGAATTTAATATAAGTAATCGTTTTGCGCGTTTCGCGTTGCCTGTCGTCGTGGTCGACAATTTACGTTTTCCTACCAGTGTGAAACAAACGAAATACTACGGTCCTGTTTGTAGGCAGGTCAAACCCGACCTACTCGGACCGGTTAAATTTTCAACTCTCAATATCGATTCGTCATTTTTCACCCATTGTTCTAACTTTTCGTAAACGAAATTTTCCGGACAACACCGGCAAAAGCGAAACGAGCGAAGAAACACAACGCGGGAACGGATTCGTCGGACCGCGCGTTTTAGACGTGTTGGCGACGCCGGCCGTTCGGAGAAATTCATTTATAACCTATCCCGATTGTCGTTTGCGCGCGCGGATTTCGTCAGTTCCGGTCACGTTCGACCGCGATTTATTGTTTTCCTGCAAATCCGACGGACGGCGTCCATAACCGGCCGTCGGTTGTTCGTAAACGGTTACCGGCAAACGAATTCGAAAACACAACAATAGTTCTGGGTACCGCCGCCGTAATATGGTCGTATGCGTTTTACGATTGTTCGCGAAAATCGTCGAATAACCTTTCCCCGGGCGGCACGTCGATTCTCCGGGTACGGGGCACTGTCCGCCGACGGGGTTTTCGCCCGCGCCGCCGCGGTCTGCAAATCGCAAGTCCCGTAGAAAAATCAACGCGTAACCGCGTGTCGAAAAACAATAATAAACGCGTCTAAATAGTATTTCGCTTGAACGCGATTAACAATTTCACTGTATTTTGTGATTTCAAATGGCCGGGGCTCTGTGCGCCGCCGCCGTTAATGACTACGAAACTGATGAACGCGCACCGTACACCACTGTCTTGAAACATAATTAGAACATTATATGTTGTCTTAAAACACCGGGCGTTTATGACGAGGGGAACACAATCAACGCCCACATTTCCTGTACCCACATCCTTTTTGTAAATGATAACTATGTGTATGCATTTCAAACAAGCCGTCTGTTGTAAATGCCGTCGTCGTACGGGTTAAACGTGTAAAAATAGAGATTTGTTATACAAATAAAAATAAAAAATAATTATTTCGAGTTTCGTACATTATCCGTCGTCAACAATTTAATTGAAATAATATCGATTTGATTAATTTACAGATACCGGACATCGGAACGGAATTGGCTAATGGTTGTCGAGGATTTGCCAGTAAATATATGCACTGGCCTAAAGAGTTGTTATTGGGTGGTATGGCCCAGAACAAAACTGGATACATACAAAAGTAATTTACATCATCAAATTGTCGGATGTTTATATTATTATTTTGTATTAATAATGATTTAATGAATATGCGTACATAAAAAAATGTTCACAGTGCTGATGCATTGCAGTCAGTATTACAGTTAATGGGCGAAAAAGAACTATATGAATTTTGGTTACAAAGCTACAAAGTATTACATTTCTCATGGGATCAAGAGAAAGCTGCGTTGGTGCTCAAAACTTGGCAAAAGAAATTCAATGAGGTTAGTATTATAACACATTTAACCAGAGCTGTGTTAAGCCATTTAGTGCCTTAAGGCAAAAATTTAATAGCATCTTGCCCCCTCAATCTCTCCATCTGTTCATAAAAGTGCGATCCCCAAAATCGAAAACACTGATCTCTATATTGTGTAAGAAATAATTTATATAATCACACCTTCCCCTTGAAAAAAAATAAGGCACACTGTTGAAGATGTACTAATTAGCCCCCCTCTCCTAACACAGTTCTGTATTTACCTATATTTTACTTAACTTGTATTTATTATAATACCTATTACAATATTATTTAATATATTTTAAAAATTGTTTGTAGGAAGTCAAAAAAGTTCTCAAATCTCCCACAATGGCTCCATACAATTTTTATACTTTTTCAACTATGTTACTGAATGATTTACTTAGTCAATACGATTTCTTGGAACCTAAATTAATTTACATTGGATGTTTCATAATGGTATGTTTTTTCAATTGTTTAAAAAATATATAAAAACGGTTCCATTAATTAAATTTCAATTACAGGTCCTTTATGTTTGCATTATGCAAATAAATTTATTTGATGCTGTCAGGTCTCAATTAATCATTGGTCTATTTAGTCTCCTATTAATAATGTTTTCAATTGCATCTGGCATTGCTTTCTGTTGTCTTATTGGCATTCAAATTCATTCTGCTACCATACCTGTATGTATAAAACAAAATATACTCTTATTTATCCACATACTTCTATAAATCAAACATTATATTTATACTATCAATGTATTTAAATGTTATAGGTTGTTATATCAATTTCATCGGCATTAGGGGTAAACAACATGTTTTTATTGATGTTCAGTTATGAACGATTATCAACTCAAGGATTCGATCACAATGTAAGTGTACTATATATAAATAAAATAAATTAAAGATAACAATTTATAACATGTTTGTATTTATTTATTCAAGACTCAGACATACAATGGTTACATGGGTAAAAAACAGGTTGGAATGGTATTGAAGTCTACTGGAACAAATATACTAATGACAACTCTCATCATTGTATCAATTTTTTTGACTGCTGCTGTAGTGCCAATTCCTGCATTACGAGCATTCTGCTTGCAGATCGCTATATTGGTCATATTTGTTTTTGTTACTACATTTTTTGGCATTACATCACTTATTAGCTTTGACGTACGTAGAAGAAGAAGTGCGAGGATAGATATATTTTGTTGTTTTCCGTCTGAAGACTTAAAATGGCCGTTTTTCAACAATAATCATTATCTTGGAACAGCAAGTACAATTGATGATCAAATGAGACAATTTACTAGAAAACCAGATTCACCTACTCCTTCAAACAATACTAATCTATTAATGGTAAGTTACATTCTACCTAGTTAAATATTTTGAAATTTGAATAATAATCTTTATTTTTCCATCAGAGAGATCCTGGTTCAGATAATGAAGATGTACCTATAGAAATAACAAAAAACCATTGTTGTGATTGGAGTCCTAAAGATATCGCACAGAGATATGTCCATTATTTGACAACTAGTACTTGTCGCATACGTGTCATTTTAATGTTTATTTTGGTGTTGGGCATTAGTGTATGGGGTATTACTAGAATACAAGCAGGTTTAACATTACCTGAAATGGTGCCCAATGGCACTAACGAACAAAAGTTTCTCGGAACATACGGTCAGATGTTTGGCTTTTACAACATGTATGCAGTGACACGAGGTGATTTTGAGTATCCAACTAATCAAAAATTACTGTATGAATATCATGATGCATTCATGCGTGTTCCAAATATTTTGAAAAACGATAATGGTGGTTTACCTCAGATGTGGCTTACATTATTCAGAGAATGGTTATTAGGTAAGAAATGCTGGCAATTTTAGTTATTAGATAATAACACAAAGGAAATATTATTGTATTCCATATTTAAGTGTTTAAATTTGTCCTATAGGATTGCAAAAAGCATTTGATAAAGACTGGACAAAAAAGTGCATTACTCAAGAAGGATGGGAGTCGTGTGCATCTGAAAACGGTATCCTCGGTTATAAGCTACTTGTGCAGACTGGTAACAGTGATAATCCAATTGACAAATCATTAGTATTGAATGCCAGATTAGTTGATGAAAATGGCATTATTAATGAAGAGACATTTTACAACTTACTGACTGCTTGGGTGTCTAACGACATACTGGCATATGGTGCGTCACAAGCCAACATCCGACCAGAACCTCGTCATTGGACACACGTTGCTAATGATTATGATTTGCAAATTGTCAAGTCATCGCCGATCATCTATGCTCAAATGCCATTCTACGCCAGTTATTTATATGAAACACCTGTTATAACAAAATTCATATCAACAGTGCGTGGCATTTGTAAACAATATGATGAACGTGGATTGCCCAACTACCCCTCGGGTATCCCATTTGTGTACTGGGAACAATACCAAGAACTTCACCAATACTTATGTGTAGCCATGACATTTGCATTTTTGTTTTTATTTTTAATTTGTGGATTGTTTCTGTGTAATGTACGAGCTGCTCTTATAATATTATTCATGGCTGCTGTACTTGTTATTCAAATTTTGGGCTTCATGGGATTTGCTGACATTAAATTCAGTGCTATACCAGTTGTGCTATTAATTGGTACAGTGGGCACTGGAGTACAATTCACCATTCACCTTTGCTTGGTGAGTGTAAAAATAATACACTGTAATAGTAATATACATTTTATGGATAAAAAAAACTGTCTATAAGTAATAAATACCTACAAACCAACCTATGGGTTGTTAAGAGAATTTATAATTATTAAGATGTCATAAAATATACAATTCAAAGTTTAGGTTTTTTTTATACCAATTTTGGTTATGTCAAGTCTTACACATTCAATATCAAAAATAATGTAATTTGTTTAATTAAAATATCTGTAAACATTTATTTCTACTATATTCCAAAACAAAATATTACTTAAATTTCTTCAAGATTTAGAAATAGTTTTCAACTATATTAAAATTAAATGTTGAATATTTATAATAATAATTTATTTCTTATAATGAACAGAGTTTTGTTACGAGTATTGGTGATAGACACCGACGAACCCATCTATCTGTGGAGCACATGTCCAAAATGATTCTTCAGTCTGGTGCTACATTAGTTATTGCAGTTATAATGCTAGTCTTTCAAAATAACTATGTATCAAGGTAAAAATTTAAATTATTTTAGTTTTAAAAAGAAATCATATTTAATTTTTGTTATTACAGGTCATACTTCCTTATATTAATAGCTAAAACAGTGTTTGGCTTGTTCAATGGTCTTGTATGTTTACCAGTTTTCTTATCTATGTTCGGTCCTCCACCAGAGGTAAGTTTCCATGAAAAAAAAAATTATATTCATTGTAATAATATACACCTATTAATATTTATTATTTAATTATACATAGATAAAGCCATTAATATATCCTGATCGAATAAGTACACCATCACCTGAACCGGTTAAAAAACGGGCTCGTTATACCAGCATCAGACAATCTGTACCTCCACCACCATCTACCCGGACACATCATAATCAAAAGAATAGTCGTCCAAAGAATAGTCCTCGAAGAAGTAATTCTCAAAAACAACAAGGAAGTAAAAATAGTGGTAATTATCGAACGCGTTATATACCTAGAGACAGTTCATTGTCTACCATTGCTGAAGAATCGGGTTCCTTTCACTCTACGTCTATACCTCACATGGAAACAACCAAATCACAAGTAAATTCAATATTAATTTATATTTACAAATACTATCTACAAAATTACAATATTTTTTCCTTCATAAAATTACTCCAATATAAACTCAGGTATATTAATCTATTTTTTTTATTTTCAGATGTCATTATCAAGATCACCATCTCCATCAAGCCAATCTGACTATAGTTCAGACAGTGGATCCGATATTGATATACCACAGCGTCCTCCATCTTCAGGATCTAGTCGAGCTTCTACACCAACCAGGTGCATAGTGAAAGCCAAATTTGAACTAGAACTTGACGGCAACGTAATGAGTGCTGCTGCACAACCGTGTGTACATAAATCTACGTCCAAACATCATCACAACAGTCGTCAACCAAAAAGGCATAAACGCCATCATAATGCTAGGTACTAATATAATCGTGCAATTTGTGTTGTTTTTTTTATTTATTTATTTAAATTTATTAACAAGTTGATTTATTTTTGTCTAGTAAAAATGCTCAAAACATTGTATACGTATAAATGTATATTTTTTATATATTTTAAAAATGGCGATTATAATTTGACTTCCAGAGGTAGTTTTGTGATTGGTAGCTCTCTTTGTAAGCTTAAAAGACTGAAATAATATGAGTTAAGTCTTAATTATGACTTATTGTTAAAAAAAACCTGCTCTACTTTTTATGTTTTTTAACCAAAATTTGTTTTAGAAGGTACAATTATTATTATATATGTGTAATTGTTAAGTTAATTAAATGAGGAAAGTCCTTCACTTTCCTTACAACTTAGAAGAAATACTGACCCGAATTTATTGTGTACCCCCTAGTACATTACTAATGCAACACGATGCTCGGTTCAAATTGTATTTTGTTAAGAATTAAAATAATTCTAGTCAACATATAAAAAATTTTTTTAAAAAAAACATTACTTTATTTATTTGTTTTTGTTCTAAAAAATAAATAAATAATATCAATAACAACAGAACTTGACAAGTAATTGCCACAATTTTCTTCAATATATTATTTGTACAAATTGTTCCTAATCGTTTTTATTGCATCATCCGTTGATTGAGAAAACTTATAATTTATTATTGTATACATTCCTCGCATAATAATTTTTTATTATTTATTTATGTGTACTACAACAATTGATTTATGTTCGTAAAACAATATCAATCAGTTGATTGAGTGATTGACTGACATAAATATTAATCTTAGATAATTCATTGAAATGTTGTTCTTGTTTATATGATTATTTTTAAACCATACAATCACTTATATGTTATATTTTTACTATATATGTAGTACATAATAATATTATGCATTTGTATTTCAAATTACATTACATATTTCTAGAAAAAATATCCACAAACATTTTTGTACCTACCTAATTTCTGAATTTTGTTTTTTTTTTTAATTTTAATTATCACATGTCATTTATGAAACTAATTTATTTTTGTATTTATTTTAGTGTACAAATTTTGTAAAAAAAAATTTAGTTTATGAAATATAACCAAAGGTTTATTTATAATTTGTATCCATAATTATTATACAACAATATAGTTCTATACACAAATATACATGTGCCAAATTTTTAATAATGTGAGCATGTAAATAATTTTGAGTTTAAAATGTTCAAAGTTTATAGAGAAATGTTATATTAATTTTACCAAGTACCTATTACAACTATTTAGGCAACATGTACTCTGTAAAACCAATTTGTCCATATTTTGTTTTTCAATTTAATTTTAAAATAGTCATACTATTTTTATAAGTTAATAATCTTGGATGAAGCAAGCTAATATAAAAAAAATTATTAGTTCTCAAACTCTATTTAAACTCGATTTTTACGTACACACTAGATCAAATTTAATACTGGATAACCATTAAAATATTGTAACACTTGCTGGATAAGTACACAAAAAAGTAAATATGTTCAGATGTATAAAGTGTAACAACTTTTCTGAAAAGAAATGTTATCTAGTTAGTGAACTAAAGATAATGTTTTTTTATTTTCTGAGAGTTTTTCAAAATAATAAAGGAAAAATCAAAAGAAAATTATAGGTAAATGGCTAATATTTACAGCGCGCCATACCATTACCGATTTCATTATTGTTTTCAATTTTTCGAAACTATGTTTTCTACCAGAAATATTACTCCAATATAAAAAAGGATAAGAGACCTTTCTTGTTGAATTTTAAGTCTAGATGCTCACGAAGAAAGAAAGTTTTATGATTTTCAAGTAGTTTTGATAATAATTGGAAAAAGGCGAAAAATGAAAAATGAACAAATTTATGGCGCACAATTTCATTATTTTAAATTGTTACTACTTATTTTTTTACCATTGCTCACATTGTTCCAATAGAAAAATGAAAAAAGACCTTTATTGTTAAATTTTGAATCTAGTTGATGACCAAGTAATTAGGTTTTTGAATTTGCCTGTAGTTTTTTTTTAAAACTGAAAAAAATATCTAATTTTTATTTGACAGATATTGTGTGGATTAAATTGTTAGGCTAAACAGAAACGCTTGAAATTTGACAGGTTCATTATAAGTCGTGCATAGTAGAAAAAAATAAATTGTGTGTCATCTCATATTTTTTTTTTATGTTTTAAAATCTAATTTTGATAAAAATCAATAATATTAAGGCTTTTCAAAATATGTAAAACTAAACTTTGATCCGAATCGGTTTTCTTTATCAATGGTTTATCATTGGTTGCAGGTATAAATTGAATAACTATGTATTCTACCTACCCGACTTCCCATCTACAAAACTGGTACACCTGTCCCCAGTATCAGCTCATTTTATATCATAAATATTTAATTTTACTGATTTCTTCATCTGTAGCCTGACCAAACCAAAACTCATTAATAATATACTTAATTGTTTTTACATTCATCAATATGTCCTACATTTTTTTTTTTTATAATTTATTTATTTATTTATATTTCAATACGGGCCACGGGTCAAGTACAATATTTACATAATTTACATAGATTTGAATATGTATGGCCAACATAGGATAACAATACAATACGTTTAATAAAATATAGCAGATGGGTCTTCATTAGCAATATGCATCATTCTGCATTCGATTAATTGGCCAGTTAAAGGAATAGTTTAACATACACAGTGGCAAAAACAAAGGGTAACAGATCATTAAAATTTACCTTAAAAATAATACAGGACAATCAACCAACCCACCTATACGTACGATTATGTAGGAAGACCTTATTCATTAATACTTGTTACAGTTAAAAACTGTAAACCTAATCTATTTAACATCAGTTCATAACCATGAAGTCCATGTTTAACAAATAACAAGTAGACTTCAAAAGTTTAAAAAGTTTCGTTAAACTCTTTAAATCTTTAAATCCTCTGCAGTTTTAATAAAAACAAAGAGATTTCAGCATTGCATAGATTAGTATTATTTACAATATTATTATTACTACCGTGGCCAGCATTGTAATTAAATTTACTTCTTAAAATATTTGTTAACAAATTTTAAAGATTTAAAATTATCTACTAGGTTTTACAAAATAAAACAATTAATAAAATTTCCATTGGTAATAGAAAATCTAAAGAAGAATTTAAATTGATTTAAGTAATAATTTAATATTATAAAAATTATAAATTACAATTAGCCAGTGTCCGTGAAAAAAGTTATAAGTAACATTTTAAAACTTTCAGGAGATATAAAAAAAAAACTCACATTGTACACTATCTTTACGAACATTGATCGCGTTGTACATTATCTACATCTAGGACATTGACTGCGTATTCTTCTGTCGTAGGTATAGTTATGTGTATAGTACAAACCAAACCCGATTTCTGAATAAACTATTTTACACCAGATGTGTTAACCTTTAAAAAACACTGATACACCTATATATGTAGGTATATAAATTTTATGGTCTAACCGATTCAGAACATTAAATCTACTCCATTCGGGAAACTATATTTTTTCAACAATAATAAGAATTAAGTAATTTTTAGACGTCAAAAAAATAGAGGAGAATAGTGTAAATTGCAGCTGCGGTAAATGTTTTTGGTGTAGATAGCATACAACACAAGTCCTCTAAAATCATACTGTAATTACATGATATTTAAAAAGGAGATTTTATTACCATCATTTGATTAGTCATGAAATTTTCATAAAATTGATGTATGATGTAAAATTTAATAAAATGACATATCATTTTTCACAAACACCATCTAATTTGTGGTTACATGTATATAGAACACATCTCAATTAGCTGTAATATTGACTAATAAGTGACTATTTTGCATTAATTAAAATTTATTACTTAAATGTTATTGAAGTGTATAAATATGAAAACAATTTACATAAAATATTAATAAATTCATCATTGCGATGGAAAAGTATAAAAAAAATGTAATATGCTAACAAAAAAAATAAAATGAAAACAAAATTACTTAAGTATTTACCTATAATGGTTTTTTTTTTTTTTTTTTGTTTGTTTTTGTTTTCAACTACTATCCAATATTGTATGGCCAATAAGATTTGTATTTTGATCTTTTTGTTCATGTACAAATTTTTCGTGTCTCTTTAAATTGCATGTTTGACTGAACAGTTTACCACAAAATGTACAGCTATAAGGTTTTTCACCCGTATGTGTTCGGCCATGCTCGACTAATCTTGTTGAACTTGCAAACAGTTTGCCACATTCTGTGCATTTGTATCGTTTGTCACCAGCATGGAGTTTCTTGTGTTCAGTCAAATTAGATGAATGGCTAAACCGTTTTTCACAAAGATCACAAGCATATGGACGTTCCCCGGTATGCATTCGTCTATGGACAATCAAGTCTGACTGTCTAGTAAATTCTCTTTCACATGTTTCACATTTGTACGGTTTTTCACCAGTATGTAGGCGCTTATGCGCTACTACATGAGCTAACTGAGTAAATGTTTTTTGACAAAATTCACATTCATATGGTTTTTCACCAGTATGAATTCTAGCATGCGAGTTCAAATCAGATGATCGATAAAAATTTTTTGGACACTTTTCACATTTATAAGGTCTTTCACCAGTATGCACACGTCTATGAACTATTAAATTGGAACTCAATGCAAATTCTTTTTCACAAGTTTCACATTTAAAAGGTTTATTGCCGGTATGTAAACGTTCATGCACAATTAGGTCAGCAGAACGCATAAAAGGTTTTTCACAGAATTGACATTTGAACGGTTTATCTCCTGTATGTATTTTCTTGTGTATTTTTAAATTGGACTTACGATTAAATCTTTTTTGGCATATTTCACATTTAAATGGCCGAGCAATCGGGTCAGTTACTTCTTCAGCATTTACACACTCATTTGTTTGTGTCCCATTATCCTCCTCACAGGCGTGTTCAATTTTTAAATATGCTGTACAATCAGTTTCAACTTCAGCTTCCTGAACTTCATTTTGTTCATTGTCATTATCACAGTCAGTATGAATGTTTTTTTTACTTTTTAGTTCTTGTTTAATGTTACGATTTTTCTGGTTTAACAATCTATAAAATAACAAATTCAAAATATAGGTACATAATTGTATGATTATTTTACAGTATATTGTCCAAGTAAAATTATGTATACACCAAGTTTTAAACTAAATCAATATGTATAAAAAAAAAAAAGATTGATTGTTTTAGAAAAAATTATTTAGAATTTATTACCTAATTTATAAATAGTTATATTATTTTTCAATAATTTCAAATGTAATGTAAATCAATAAATAAATATACAATTAAATTAATAAATATACAATAATGTAGGTGTTAGGAATGTTTTAGCAAAATGACCTAAATTGACCAGGTCGTAGTAAACTTCATCATTTTGATGGGAATATTTGCTCATTTCAGCACGACACGCTTATTTAACTATCGAAATAAGTTTTTGCAATGTTTGGAAACCAAATGTCATAGTAACAAGATTAACAATCAATGAACAATACAAAATGGCAATGACATAAATTTACTAAAACAATATGGAAGATCTGGTCACTTATGTTCACTTTATGAAAACAGGTGTATTCAGTGGTTCTGTTCTGTTTTAATGACAACTACTACATATCTAATGGTCTTATTATTAATGAGTCACCTGAGTTTATGTCTAATGTATATTAGTTTTTTTGTTTGGTTCTCAAAAAAAACCTTTAATGTTTTAGTCCATAACTATGAAAATGTTGCTAACTAATCTATCAACAATATTACTGTAAAAACATTGAATAATAATTATCACTTACTTTTTCATCGATAGATCAGTTTCCATATTAATATTTTGTTCTATAAATGTTTAAAAAAACATAAATTATTATAATTATACACAAGTTGAACACATTTGTTTAGTTTAATAAAATGGATTAATTATTTATAAAAAAAAATTTGTGATGAATAAAACAGGCATTTTGTTTTTTTGTTATAGGTGTTTTTTTTTTACGGTGTCAATTTTCAGAAACTCAATTTTAGTGATAAAATATAATGATAAAGAAGAGTGTATACAGTGCAACCTAAAATAGTATAAACAGAAAACATAGTACTACTGGAATAAGTTCCGGTAATTTTTTTTGTTCACTTGAAAATGAATCGATTTGTTGTGCGTTAAACTGTTATCGACAACCGTTTATCCAGTATTTTATTTTAGTTTGTACACACACATGCACATACGCATTTTACTGCAACACTAACTGTCCCGTTACCCGCACATAGACAACTTAACCATATGTCTACGGTCCGCCCGTGCCGTTATTTAAGTTACCATGGTAACTCGCCGTTGGATATTGATTTATACCGTGTTTCTTTTTCTGCCCATCTGTATATACATATAGGTATACGTATACAATGTATGTTACGGTAAAAATAAGTTAATATTCGAACATAGGTACGTTTCGGCCATTGACTAATTGATTTCGATAAAACCCAGAATGTACGTGATAATTTGGTCGAATCCCGAATAACTTTTGTAGTCCGGACTTTTACGAACGAGACATGGTAAATCTTCGGTTAAAGTATTGATGGTAAAGTCCGAAATTTCATTTTTTTTTTTTTTTTTGTTCTCTCCTCTACCTACCGATCGTGCGGTTTTTCCTCTCGGCTGGGATACTTCGATATTAATACAATATCATATAAGTACTCACCTAACTCGATGAATTATTCAATTATTAAATGTCAGCACAACAATTATTATTCATTTGGGCAGGCTCGGCTTCTGCGGCGTCTTGAATAATTCAAGTTATTACATTTTCCGATCGACGTTTTCGTCGATTTGTCTTACGTTTTTTGACACAGTCTCATTTTATTAGGTGGGTAGGTACCGTTTTTCATATCCACCAAAAAGGAGTTACGATACCGCTTGACGACCAACGTATGTATTCCAATTTTGCTATCGGGAATTGTATTTAATTCTAAACAATTTTCTACGCATAAGGATTCCCAGTAAAAAGTTGAGTAAAGCTTTTCCGCTTACCCAAGTGATAAAAATTGCCATCCGCAAATTTGAACACCGCAACAACTCGTAATGCATCCACTTTACTGCGATCAACTTCTGGAATTTTAATTTTGACCGTTTTCCAATTAATGTACTTGACATTTATTGTCATGATTTAAGTCGAAATAAAAATCGATCGCAGTAAAATTAATAACAAATATTAGTACCTATTTAATATGTATTCAATTTGTATAGTTATATTTAATAAAGTTATGTTATTAAATAAAGCAACAGAAAAAAAAACAACATAAGTAGGAAGCAAAATTAAACTTCGAACTTTTACACTACCTACTTACCTAGTTTATTATTTTAGGATTTACCGAATCTCGTTTGTTAAAGTCCAAACCATCATTTGGGGCATGATCAAACTATTTCGTAGATATATCCTAGGTTTTACTGACACTATACTTATTCATCACCAATAAAACTCGCAAAATTAAAATGCCCATAAATAACTCAAAAATCGCTTAAATGTTTCAACATTTCACTAAGTCTAGAAAAAGCAAATATAAATTTTCTGTCCAAATTTTAAATCTATCTACGAACGTTTTTAACTGAATTACAACAAAAAACAAAATTGAAAATTATATAAGCATTAATTTCGTAAATTCTTTCGTTTTTCTCCAACTAATTATGAAAACGGCTTGAAAAATCAAAAATAACCCGAAGTACCAATTAGATAAAATTTCCTTTCTAAAAAGGTGCTACACTTGAAAAACAAAGCAAGATATTTCTGGTAGAAATTGTGTTCACAGTATACAAAAAATAAACATCAATACATCCTTGTAAAAGCGTTGCTCAGAATCTAATAAATAACCTACGGATATGCGGCACGTGACGAGAAACAGAGGCTACACTTTTTTGATAGATATTAGCATTGATTATAAGTACTAATATAATAATACTAATAATCAATGGTACTGGTAGGTACCATTTTTGGTATTTTTTAAGTTGTTACTTTATGTTTTGATTTAGGATAGAAAAATGGTTAAAAATAACGAAGATACCTAATGAAAATGTAAAAAAACGACCACGGCAAAGAAATTGTTTATTTAATAAAGCCAAGAGAATTCGCTGGTTGACCATCTGAATAAGATGATCCTAATATTGCGTAGGTACCTATTGAATTTTTTTCATTAAATTAATATAATGAAATCTTGATTACTATTTTTTCCAAAAGAAATATTAGTAATTATTTTTTCTATAGTTAATACCTATATTGTATAAGAAAACATTACAATTTTAAAAGACTGGTTTTTCCAAAAGCGTAGTGGGCAACACTTGGGAGAGGGATAGGGGTAGGAACATCTCTATGTTATTACATACCGAATGAAAAAGACATTTATTTTGAATTAGTTATCTACCTACTTTTATGTGTAAATATTTGAAAAAACTTTATAATTAAATTTTTTACTTGGTTTATTAACAATAACATAAAAAGTAAGTTCGATTTAATAATTTATACATTGTATTGTACACATATATTATTATTGTTATGGAGCCAAATAAATAAAATAATAAATAGATTAGCAAAATGTTAAATAAACATTAAACTTAAAATAGTATTATGAATTTGTAACAAGAAATAAGGCCCTTTTTCAGGCTCTCAATACTTCAAAGTCAGGTGCCCGAACTTCTAAGCTCAGTGATTAATCTCGTCTTGGTAGTTGGTAATTTCTAGAATAGACTGGGAAATCCTAAGTTTCACGGGTATTCTTCCCTTTATCATAACATACCTTTTATTCAAAGTAATAAAAATATGCATTCACGATCTATACAATGAATACAATAAGCAAATAGGATCAAAATAAAGGATAAACAATTTAAAACAAAGAGTAGGGAAAATATCCAGTGATAGGACCCTAAGGGATAACATAGATAGGTACTTATATATATAGGTACCTATATATATAGAATCAAGTTTAATTCTTGTTGCCTTTTTACACAAATTTACAATTTTATTCTTATCTTCATGAAAATTTGCATTCAAAACAAGAGGAGGGGTGTTATTTATTATTTCTCTTGACATTTTGGTGCATAAATTTAATTTGAGTTAAGTGCTTTGGTGACCAAATGAAAAATTCGGATACTTATAAAATACTATATAATTCTATATCTATGGTCATTATGGGAAAAGAAGTAAGTACCCTTTTTAAAAAGATAAATCTCTGGGTAACAACAATTTACTGTGATAGGGATAAATCCGATTATGATGAGTAGGTACGGAAAATACCTGGTAATTCAGTTTGTACAATTTTCATTTATGTTATTTGGTAATCATGTCATGGTAAATCAATAGAGATAGATCTAGACTTTTATTATTATAAATGTTATATATTACACAATTTTTTTTTTTTTAGAATTCTTACCAAAAATGGCAAAAACTAGAATTAGAATAACAAACGTTTGTTCACAATTTTTCTCATTTAATAGAACATCAGATAAATCTTTATCATTATCTTTTTGATATAAATACTGATGATATAACAAATATTATTCCATAAAAGTAAATATATTACAAGCAATTTTTCAGTTTATTTTAAAATTCAAACAAAACTATAAAACTATTTCTCATCAATTTATTTGACATAGATACCTAATACATTTTTTAGGACAACCAATTGAATTTTAAATACATACTTTATCAAATCCAATTAAATTATAATTTCATACTTTATTAAAATGTATTTATATTAATACAAACATGTTTACATTAATGTTCACTGACTGTTTTAATGTTACTATTTACAATGTCTATAACTCTAGGAGTTTTTACTAACATTTACTATTTTTATATTATATTGTTAGTTAATACAAAATGTCTATTGATGTTTATTAATAATGAACAATACAATATGTAATTAATAAATATTACAGGTATTAATATGTAGAGATGATATTTACATTGTGGTACCTACTTACATTATCAATAATTATAATGGCATATATAAATTTATTATTTTACAATAAAATTAGTTAAGTATCTATGTTTTATATAAGATAAATAGACCACAACTCCCCTAGATGCAGACAAGTGTACATATTATTTAATAAATATTATATTGTAATATATTATTTGTAATCCTCCTTATGAACTCTAAAAATCATCTCTCTCTCTCAAAAAAAAAAAATAAAAACACTATAATATACTGTGGTTGGGTAAGGAAGTAGATTGAATGATGACATGTAGTGCCAGTGGCACCAGAATAATTTTTGAACAGTGGGCTGAAAAAAAAATATTTTTAAATGCTTACCAAATTTGACATAAATATTTAAGATATTTTTCTAATGGGATAACTGAAATAAATATATATAATTAATAAAAATAGTACAAAATTAAAAGTATTTAATAAAACGTTTTTTTTTTTATTTGAATATTGTTAAGTTCCTACTTACAATTTATTTGTCAGTCTTTGACAAAATGTTAATTTTAATACATAAAATTGCAACATTGGCAAGTTAACTAATTTATTTAACTCATTAAGTAGAGTTAATATAGACAAATTTAAAACTAAAAATTACTTCTAGTTTTTTTATTTAACTTATAAAAGTTAATTAGAAAAATAAGTAACTTAACTGAATAAGTTATTATTTTAAATTAATAGTTGTACTTTTTGTTAAAGCTTAAGAAATATCATAATATAATAAGTATTACAATTTTTAAAAACTGTGTAGTAAAATTAGTTAAAGACACAATAGTAGAGTAATAATTTGAGTAAAATTACAGCCCAGAAATCAATGAATACTTTATTCATAAAGATAATATATTAATCTACCAGCTGCATTGATAAATAATTTGTTCATTTATCCATAGTGTTGGATACATAAATAACAACAGCTATTAATAAATAATAAATGAGTAAACAACTATTGTCATTCTGGGTAAAAAAGAAATTTATTAATTTTCTCATTAATGATTACCCCTAGCGTCATATAACTTTTCTGTTTGATATCTATACTACAATTATACCTATATTTTGTGAATTTTATATTATACATTATTATTTATTACTTATAATAACATAGTCGTTTCACATATTTTGTAGGTAAAAAGTTGTATTTATGTATGTTATTTTTGATAATTATTTATTATTTATAATTTTTATAATTTGTCAAAATAAAATGTAACTTTAAATTAAGAAAATAAATTATCTAACCAATTAGATCATCCAAAAAGTTTATAACACAAAAAAACCACACAGTAAACCAATACATTCCTAACAACTAAGAATCTAAAACAACAAATATATACATTTCAAGTGAAAATAATAATGCCCAGAATTACAGGAAGACAAGTGCACAGAATGAATATTCAAAAATTCATTGGAGAATACTATACAGTACACCTATATTTATTCTGTGCATTAATTAATTGATTTCAACAAGATTTCTCAATCATAAGATCCAGAATAATATGAAGATAAAAAATATACTATTGAGTGATAATTATAAAGATGGTAGTTTTATAAGCCATTCGTTATTATCTACTAATTACAAATTATGACATAGAATATTAAAACACATGAAAAACTAACAGGAAAATACACTTTAAGCTATCACTGAATAATAAAAAATTTACCAAAGTTCAGATCCTTCTTACAATACCAGTCATGCATTTAAATTGAAAATAGAATTATTTAAGTATTTATAATAGTTTTTTTTTATTTTCGGTTTTAACTACTATCCAATATAGTATGGCCAATAAGATTTGTATTTTGATCTTTTTGTTCATGTACAAATTTTTCATGTCTCCTCAAATTACATGTTTGACTGAACAGTTTACCACAAAATGTACAGCTATAAGGTTTTTCACCCGTATGTGTTCGGCCATGCTCGACTAATCTTGTTGAACTTGCAAACAGTTTGCCACATTCTGTGCATTTGTATCGTTTGTCACCAGCATGGAGTTTCTTGTGTTCAGCCAAATTAGATGATTGGCTAAATCGTTTTTCACAAATGTCACAGGCATATGGACGTTCCCCGGTATGCATTCGTCTATGGACAATCAAGTCTGACTGTCTAGTAAATTCTCTTTCACATGTTTCACATTTGTACGGTTTTTCACCAGTATGTAGGCGCTTATGTGCTACTACATGAGCTAAATGAGTAAATTTTTTTTGACAAAATTCACATTCATATGGTTTTTCACCGGTATGAATTNAAATTGGAACTCAATGCAAATTCTTTTTCACAAGTTTCACATTTAAAAGGTTTATTGCCGGTATGTAAACGTTCATGCACAATAAGGTCAGCAGAACGCATAAAAGGTTTTTCACAGAATTGACATTTGAACGGTTTATCTCCTATGTGTATTTTCATGTGTATTTTCAAATTAGACTTACGATTAAATCTTTTTTGACACACTTCACATTTAAATGGACGAGCAATCGGGTCAGTTACTTCTTCAGCATTTACACACTCATTTGTTTGTGTCCCATTATCCTCCTCACAGGCGTGTTCAATTTTTAAATATGCTGTACAATCAGTTTCAATATCAACTTCCTGAACATCATTTTGTTGATTTTCATTATCATAGGCATGATATATGTTCTGTTTACTACTCAATTCCTGATTTTTGTTAGGATTTTTCTGGATCACCAATCTATAAAATAACAAATTAAAAAATTACATAATATTATGAACATTTTACAATTTGCTATTTTAAAAATAATAATTTAGGTATTCACATATAAGACATACTGGCATAGGTAATTTATACTTCTCAATGTATAATTTCAATTGTTTTCTAATCAGTTTTAAATTGAATACACATTTATTAAATATACAATGACATATTAGTAGTATTTTTGCAAAGAACCCTAAATTTACTAAGTCACTGTATTTAAATACGACATCACTTTAATGCTCTAATTGCTTGCAATATTTAGTTGCTAAACAATATTATAGGATCAACAATCAGTGAATATGACAGATAGTGGTGCCATAAATTTACCTAAAAAATTTGCCATAAATGGGACCTAACAAGTCTTAAAATAATCACTATAATAATATATCCTAAACATTTAAAAATAAACTATAGTATGTCATAAAAACATTAAAATTGGCTAAAAAGAAAATGTAATATTTTTTTTTAAATATATAGGTATAACTAAAAGAAGTCATAATTGTGAATTGTTTAATGAGTCAATATATGTAGGGCTATTTAAAAATAAATTGTAACATGAAATAAAAATGTAAATATTTTTCTTATGGATTCACATAAATGAAAGATTTTGTCTACAATTTATGAAAAATACAAAAAGAATTATTATATTACCAAAAAATAGCACTAAAAATCTAAAATACTTCAAATATGCAAAAAAAAAAATAGCAATATAAAATTTCATATTTAGAGTTCCTGACGCTTAAAACAAATGCAAAGCTCACTTTGCTATTTTTAATTGTATCCTATAATAATTAGTAAATGATTTATCATTGTAAACTAAATTAAATAACTACTCTAACTATCCTACATTTTCAATTTTACCCCTATAACAGTGGCACACCCATCCGCAGTATCAGATTTTTATTTCTTAAAAGAAGCCTCAACCCAAAGGGATTAAACTAACTTGTCTTAACGTTTTAGTTCGAACCTATACAAATATCGTTAACTAATATAACAGTAATATTACTAAAATACAAAAAACAGCAATAATAATTGTTACTTACTCGTTGTGGTCAGTTTCCATATTATTAATGTTTTGTTCTATTATTGTTTTGAAAATATATTATTATTATAATATATAAATTGTACACGTTTTCTTTTTTTAAATTTAAAAATTCACTAAAATTAATTAATTATTCAAAATTCAAAATAATTAATAAAATGGCATTTTTTTAATAAGTACTCTTATTATGGTGTCAGTTTAGTGATAACAGAAAATGATAAAGATTAAAGAGTGTACATAATATACATTACATTATTGATCTGAGAGCCATATAAGTATCGAACATTTTCAACGAGCCTGTAAATGCCAAACATCCGGTGGGTTTTTTTTATTGGTGCTGTTTCATATATTTTTTCAATATCTTAAACCTTGTAACACTGATAATCAGGGTTCGGATTTTATAGCATTTGTTAATTATTATTGGCAGGAATGCAGGAAAAAATGTCGGCGGAGGGAGGGGTAAGGTTTTTGAAAAAATGTAAAATATTCATAAGTATCACTGTATTATTCTTTATTTTGGGATTCAGGCATGGTTAGGTTACAAACCTAACCGCCCTCGGAAAATTTATCAAAATGGGTCATAATAAAATCAAACACCAAAATGTAAGTACATATTTAAAATAAAATTATATACTTATATTTAAAATTTTGAACTTCGAGGTGGAGCAGATGCCCCGTCCTTCACCATTTCTCTCCGAGCGCCCATAGATTTAGGTACTTGTGTATTATACATTATACAAATATGTAGTCATGTAGGTCAAGCAATTTAATTTTAAAATTTTCCTGATTTTTCGGTGGTCGGGGGGTGTTCTAACAGTTTTCTATAGATAATAATTCAATGGCTTGAAATTCGTTTGATTAGTTAAAATTGAGGTATCTAAATGTTTTTGATTCTGAGCGAAGCAAGGATGTATATGTTTTTATCTATAAACGACTTTTCTACCCAAAATTTTGCTCAGATTTCCTAGTTTAATAATATGATATAAAATCATATAATAATTGGGAAAAATGGGAAAATTTACGAAATATTATAAAATATAAAAATATTTCCAAACTTCAAATTTGGACAAAAAAATTATATTTGCCTTTTCAAAACATTTCTGCCACTTTTTGAACTATTTATAGATATTTTAAATTTGCTTGTTTTTTACGTAATTTTTATTTGGTAGGTTCTCTGTGGATAAAATTTTTAGACAAAATGCTTGGAAATTTAACTGGAAGTTCAATATAAGTTGTACTTAGGCAGTGGTCAACAAAAAAAATTTGAAGTATTTTAATACTAAATTTTGACGAGAATAGTAAATATTAGGGCCTTTTAAAATATGAACAACCAAATTATTAATGATTAATCATTGTATACAGATATACATTATATTCCCCTCAACAGGACCGGCGTTAGAAATGGGCGACCGGGATCTACAACCAGGGCTCCTGCTGTAATAAGGGTGGCGCCTCAACGATAATAACTGTACTCGATTAATTGGAGGGAGAACGCAAAAACATGGTTCCGCCCAAGGCGCCAGCATGTGTAACTGGCCCTCAATATCTTACTTTCGCAACTTCTCACCTACAACAATGGACCATCCATCGTGCGAAGTATGTCCGTCCTTTCTTTTTATTATGGTTGTATACGAATAATTACACGGCAACTGTTATGGACGATTTGGAAAAAAAATATTTATGGACTTTATTCTTTCTAAAAATCAATCCGATAGCCATTTGATAAAAGTGCATTTGCCCACAAAAATACGTTTAGTTAGCATTATTTAATAAGAAAGTCCAATGGTTCCCAAATTTGTATACAATGTTGCCTATGCAATTCCTGTAATTTGTACTGCTACTAGTTTTATAAGTTGGTCTGCCCAACACCTAAAAATAACTTTTAACCCATGTTGTCTATCCAATTCCTGGAGGGTTAACCTAACTTAACCCAATTCCTAATATTGTTAACTTATCTGTTTATTGCCTATTTAACGTTCAAAATTCTATTGTTGTTTTAAAAAATATTTCTTTACCAAAAAATAATATAATACAAATATTGGCAATATTCAATTCTGAATTTTTACTAGTGTTATTAAAGTTCTATTTAAAAAAAAAATTTGTTACCGTTTCTTAAAAAAAGAAATTGTTCCTGTAAGTCTTTTTTCTTTATGAATACCTAATGCAAACCAAATAAATTTTTTATATTCTCAATTTGAAAAAAATATCACTAATGATTTTGCTTTGGAAGTATTCAAATATATACAATTAATTTTACATTGGCGGTTTTCATTTGTTTCTTGTGTAGATACTTAGTTTTCATAAAAAAAACAAGTGTAGTGCAAGTTGATCAAGTAAATTAAAATTGGAAACTATTCTTTCTTCTTAAAATGAGATGTTTAAAATCCTAATAAATTAAAATAATTTCTTTGCAAAAAACAAAAGAATTATAATATTTTCGTTCCTATTCCTAAAAATAATGAATTGATTCACATTCTTATTCCTTCAAAAATGAATTGAATTAATTTCTTCGTTTGTTTCTCTAAAAAGAAATCAATTCCAGGAATTGTTCCTTAACACTGGTTTTTACATAGTTTTGCACAACTAACTCTTAAATTATATTCTTATTTTATTGAACTTTAAATTATTATTTCACCATGGTTTGATATTTTGATTTACATAACATGTATGAATCAGTTATAATATAAATGTAGGTATCTACTTACTACCTAGTACCTAAATAATAGGTATTATAAGTCATTATTAATTATAGGTGGGGACACACAATCCACTACATCGTCCTTGTATTATTCTCAATCACATCTAACCATCTCTTTTTCGATCTCTTTCAACATTTATTTTTATTACAATTTTTGCTGCTTTTGATTGCTATCTTCTCATGACATGCTTAACAATTGCAGTCTAATTTCTCTTATTTTACAAATAATTATAATTTAGTTAAATTTATCTTTTTGGATTTCATTTGTTATTCAAATACCTATCAATAAATTAATAACTTTTAATAATATTAATTGTATCCATAAAGAGTAACTTATTGAATACAACACATTTTATGATCCTAGTTATACTGCAAGCAGTTTCCTATCTGGAACTTTGATTGAAAATACCTTTTTTTTGTCTCGCAACAAATTCCTCTGAATATCCACTATGCACAAAGTATCCAACCAACATGATTTTTTTCTTTTTGAAAATTAACTTTCATCTATCTCTACAACTAATCCTGGACCACCAGGATATATATTTCCTAGTGGTTTATTTTCAATAGCCATCGCACATACTTCACGTAAGTAATTGTTCCAGTCAATTTTTTTATTTAAGTTTTAACCATAAAAACACAATAAAACTATACATAAATCACACGAGAATTTACGCGGTTTTTCTAAATTGTACATAAAATTGAAAATCTAATTGTATTTACGTGGTAGTTTACATTTATATTCATATTCAGCCGAAGTATCTTTGCTAGTTGTTTTTTCAATCAAATTAATTGAGGCCCACATTATATAATACATCCATTATACTTATTGTACATTCTTTGTATACAGATTGTATACAATTTTAAATAAAAAATAAAAAAACAAATAAATTCAATCAGACGAGTGTAAAGCTATTTATCAGATTTCTTAAAGAAAATAATTCTATGACACAGCTATTCTTGTTGTATTAAACTCGCATTTAAATATGATAACAAAAATATTAAGAATATACAAATAATGTACTTAATAAATTGAACGTGTTTTGAAAGTTTCCTAAACAGGTTTCTATTAAATATAAACCTAAATAAAACTGGTAATACTACCATTATTGAAAATAAAACTCAAGTTTTGTTAGGCAAATTTGAAACCTCTGTCCTTGTATGCTACTTGTCCAGTTCGGATTAAATCTTCACGACGGTCCTAAAATAAGTTATGATAAAAAATATGTTGCAATTAAAATTGTCTAGAAAGTAAATATTTTTATTTAATACATACGCGTTCTTTTTTAATACAATACGTCAATGTGCAATATGGTATAACAAGCAATAATACACCTAAAATTGAAGTTTTTGGATTTGGCTTGAAAAATTCATATCTTGTTGCTTTTAGAGACATATATCTTTGAACACCTTCATCAAACTAAAAATATTATACATATTTAAAATATTATTATAAATATAGAAAATTAAAATAACAATCAGGAAAATATTTCATGTAAACATACCAAAGTTCCACCATCCTTTTTAATGTTACGGAAAGGGTTTGAAGTATGCTTTATGTACTCTTGAGCAATAGCCTTACGTATTTCATTTTTTTTCTTTATTAAATCCGGATCATTAATAGTTTTATAAGGAGACGCATGAGCCATGTTAAATCTTTTTATTTAAATTTCAAAATCTATTAACTTTAATTTTCCAATAAATATAATTAAAAATGAAAAAATTGAATCACTATTTTTTTCTTATCAGTTTCACCTTTGAACCAGTGCTACCTTATCTTAGATCATATACAAATATGCATAGAATAATGTATATGATCTAAGAGTGTGACCAATGTCAAAAAAAATTAATAATAAAGAGGATTTACGCCAAAACACCAACTAAAAAAATAATTGGTTTTTGAACGAAAATAGAAACATATAACCTATTTAATAAAATAATGAAGTAAAAAAAAGTTCTTAAATGGTTAATACTCGTAAATAAATAATTTACCTAACTTTAAACTTTTAGCAAAATATTTTGTATGTAATAGGTATTATACCGGCAGTTAAAAAAAGTAAGATAAAATAATGGGGACGGGTGAAGCCACTGGTGTAGGTGAGAAGTTGAGAAGGTAGGATACAGACGGGAATTTAATGTATATATGCAAGCAACGATAAACCATTGCTAACGAAAAAACGATTCTGATGACTTCTCTAAAGTACCTCCTCAGTGAAATTTCCTTTTAGAAAAATGACTATCATTAAAAAGTTGGAATAAAAATACTGATAGAAAAGTTGTCCACAAAAAAAAAATATAAATAATAAACATCTTTGTAAAACCATAAGCTTTCTTCGCTTCACTCAGAATCTAAAAGAATGTATTTAGTTTTCGTATCGTTCAGTTTGTCACCGATCATGCTAGTGACGTATTTATGGGGGGGGGATATAGGGGATAGATCCCCTCCCTTGCACTTTTTTTTAATTTAGGTATAAACATGGCTATATGGCTGCAGTACTGATGCTATTTATAATTTTGTTATCCTGTGGGCTGCGAATAATATTACCCAATAATAACAACAAAATTAAAATAGGACCATATTCGGGAGAAGCCGGGTAAAACCCGCTAGTACCTAATAAAGAATAAAGANTCTAATCATTCCGGTCGTTGTGCATCGCATATTCCACACTCGCACCTCATTCCACTTTCCCGCATTCGTTGCAACGATTTATCCGCATTGCCATTGCACACTTGTTATTTTTATGTAATTCTTTTTTCGGTTAATAAATAAGTTATAAAATTGAAAAAGTTATATTTCAATGGCATCAAAAAAACCAAGTAGTAATAATTTATTATCATATTTTACAACGAATAAAAAAGCACGCACAGATTCATATGAAACTAATGAGGTAAGTCTAATTTATTAAATTTTAAATGCATACACAAAAAAAAATTTTATATCCCCCTCCTCAAGAAAATCTTATATACGCCCCTGGATCATGCCAGTGTATTGAGTTCTAATTATTAATTTAGTATATAAGGATTATAAACATTTGAAATTTTTAATAGCATTATTCATAGTACCTAAGTAATCAAATACGAATTCAACTAAATGCAAACATATTATTATAATATAATTTTTCTTTAAAGAAACGCGCGTTGTTTTGCAATTGATAGAATTCATATGTAAATCCAAATGGCAGAAAGTTTAACAATACCGAGTCCATAATACGTAAAAAATTATAACCGATTGTTATTTTTCGAAGTTAATGATTATGTTTTATCGGAAAATGATTTTATTTTTATTTGATTTGATTTGTTCTTGTACAGTTGTACAAAATACAATTTAAAATAAAAAAAAGAGAAAATAAAAATAAAAAAAAACACATTTTGTATATGTATCTTCCATGTCTAATTTTTAATAAATTCGATAGGTAATCTGTGTTATATAGTTTTTGGATTACTTTTCCTGAACAAACGCGATCATAGGTCAGTATCTGAAGTTTAATTATTTTATAATTTTAAATTTACGATTGCAAAATAAACGTGTAAAGTAGTTAAGGTTTGCATATTTTTTAAGTATTTTAATTTTGTGAAATATTCAAAAATAAATAAGTTAGTATTAAATAGTATGTATTCATTGCCCATACAAATATAGGTACCTATGTTTTTTGTTGTAACGAGGTCATACTTATGGGTTGCGTGGTCATTTAATCATGTTTATGATGATCTAAACCCATTACAATTTCCATAGGTATAACATAAGTTTATAAGTGTTGTGTAAACCCTTTCCTTTTATATTATACAATTTGTATAATATGTAAGAGGGTTTTGGCCATGTCTGGTTAGCTTGTTGTTTCCTGTTTATAAATATGTTCCTATAGGAAACCTTTTGAAACATATTGTATTAGAACAATATAAGAAAAAAAGTCAAGTTCATAATGTTCATTGTCATTGTGGTAATGAAATTATAATTCACTTTTTTTCAACATTCTTTTAAAAAGTTTATAAAGTAAACATAGGTTTAATTTAAATAAATTGTAAGGACTGTTATTCTTATACTAAAATGTATTTAATAAATTAAATTCAATATAAATAACTTTAAAATTATATAAAAATAACAAATGATATAACTATATTGTGTATATTGTAGGTATTTATATATCTTTTTTTTTTGGATTTAAATATTTGATCGCAGTAAGTTTTCAATAAGTCAGAGTGAATTGTTATATTTTTTTAACAAATATTTGATTATTATTGCATTTTTAATTATACATAATATCAAAGTTGCAATAATCACGCCATGTATTATTAATTGTTGTTTCATGCGTTTATTTAGTTTCAATCAATTTTTCTTAAACATTAAATAATAATTGATGTCATAAATAATTTCAAATTTTTTATAAGTGTAAATTTTCAATTATTTTCAGGTCACATTTACAAAAGCAGTTGTATAGTCTAAGGCCGTGGTGAGTTATATCCAGAATGAACACTGATACTAGAAATATTTCAGTAGAGAGGTTAGAAAATGATGAAACAAAAAGTAAAGAGGTAGTAAACAATCTTTTGAAAGAAACCACATATTTTTTTGGAAAAATACTGTCTTTTTGTTTTTGGTATTTTACAGATTGATTTAGAAGGGATCTTAGAACTAAATCCTCAACTACATTCAAATATTCCTACCATTACTAATTTGGTTGCTCAAAATGATTCTAATATACCCACTACTAGCAAATTAGCGAGTGTAAATATACCTAACTTTTCAAAATCAAACTAAATTTGTCATGATTATTTAAAAAAAAAATTTTTTGCTTATTTAGCTACTAGTTTGATACTATGATAGCTCGACAATCACAATATTTTTAAGTTTTATAAACTTTGAATTATTAGTGTAATTTTTATTTAAACTTACTTAGTTTATTATTTCATATTCAAATCAAATTGTTAGATTTTTTTCTCAATTTAAAATTATTTCTTGAGAATTTTGTTTGTTTTAAAAGTCAAACAGTTTTCATATAAAAATTTAATATCATAACACATAAATAGTTTAAAAAGATATTTAATGTAAAAAAAATAGTAATCAGTTAACTATTTTTTTTTTTTTTTTTTTTTTTTATGATTCTTTTTATACTTCATTATTTTTTTATACATTTATTGTAATATATTTAATTGATGAATGGTAATAATCCAATGTTTATTTCTAGTGTTCCACAAAAACTTCAATACAAAAATTTAGTAATAATAAAGGCAAGTTTTTGTTTTATTTGTTAAATTTAGATATTTCTATATAGTTATGTTGTTTTATTCATATTATATGTTTGTATTGTATTTAGAAAATTTTTGTTTTTACAGACATTATCATAGGAAAATGTTGGTAGATGATTTCAATATTAGTTATCTAAAAACTAAGTACTGATTAATTTATTTGTTTAAAAAATACCTAAATAAGAAAACATTAGTAGTCTAGATTTGTTTGATTGTTATAACTAATGTTTAACAATAATACATTTTGTTAACATTTATTTTAAGAATAATAAGTTTTTTTAATCATCCAGTTGACATAGTTTTTTAAAAATTATCAGTGCTTTATGGTGTCGATTCTTAGTTATGTTTCTCTGAATTAAAATTGTACAAACTATTTTTTTCGTTGACATTAATTAATTACAATTTATTGATTTAATTGATTTAGGTTCATATAAAGAAACAAAACCAATTAGTAAACAGACCAATCATTATTCACCAGACTCTGGTGAAGTTTTATTAACAACAGTACCTTGTACACCTTTAAACCCTCCATCCCAATATCAACAAATACCAGTATTAAAACCTGCTGATCTACCACCATCTCAGACTCGACCAACATACATTGTCGGACATAGCAATAACACTGTTGAAATAACCAGTGCACCTAATACTGCAATAACAAATGTAACAGCTGCTACAGCGAAAGGCAGACATAGTAATGTAGTTAAGGAAGTAGCAAAATTAAAAAAAAATCGTGAAGAAAGGCGACAGCGACAAGTTGAATTGAAAGAAGAAAAAGAAGCTTTCATGAACATAGATCCTGATAATCCAAATTGGGAATTTCTTGCTATGATAAGGTTTGTTGACTAATTTATAATTAGTTTTATCTAATATTTATTAAAAACAATAACAAATAACCGATATTTGTTGTTATATTTTAGAGATTATCAATCTAATTTAGAGTTTAAACCCTTAAGAGATTCTGAAGTAGTTGAAGATCATCAAATAACTGTATGTGTTAGAAAAAGGCCGCTCAATATAAAAGGTATGTTTTAATTTTAAATATATCTTGATGGATCGAATTTTGTATCACTATTATAACTTACAGAATCAGACAGATCGCATAGAATATAAAAAAAAAAAAAAATTATATCAATACACTTCTAATAAATGCGTACTTTTATTTATTTCTATTATATAAATCAATATTGATACTATTAATGAAAATAAAACTGACTACATTTAGTTTGATAGTAAGTTAGATCTGTAAAAAATGAGAAACCTGTGAGTTTGACATTCCATACAATAAAAATCTATTCAAATTATTATATAAACTAAATTAATGAGTTTTGAACCTATCAGTTACAGTAATTTTATTTACTGCTTATTTTTGGTTTTAGATTTAATTATTTATATTTCAGAACTTAATCGAAAAGAAGTAGATGTTATTGCGATTCCATCTAAAAATCAGGTTATTGTGCATGAACCTAAAAACAAAGTCGATTTGACAAAATATTTAGAAAATCAGCATTTCAGATTTGATTATGCCTTTGATGAAACTTGTAATAACGAAACAGTTTATAAGTGAGTCAACAAAATATTTTTCATTCTTTATTATATGTTAAAAAGTTTTATAAAATAACAAATACCTATTTAATAAAAATATAAAATTTTGAACTAGATTTTCTGCAAGACCTCTTGTGAAAACTGTATTTGATGGTGGTATGGCTACCTGTTTTGCTTATGGACAAACTGGTAGTGGTAAGACTTACACCATGGGTGGAGATTTTCATGGCGAAATACAAGACTTCAAAATAGGCATTTATGCAATGGCAGCTAAAGATTTTTTCCAGTTTTTAAAGTCTCGTAATTACTCACCATTAAATTTGGTTGTTACTGCGAGTTTTTTCGAAATCTACGGTGGCAAGGTAATTAAAAATTATAATTATTTATTTTTTGTTGTCATAAATGTTTATTTTTTCAGGTATTTGACTTGCTGAGTGATAAAGCTAAGTTAAGGGTACTAGAAGATGGTATGCAAAAGGTACAAGTAGTTGGTCTTACTGAAAAAGTGGTTACTTCAGTAGAAGAAGTATTAAAATTAATAAATGATGGTACCAATGCCAGGTAAACAGATTTTTTCATCAATAATTATTTAATAATATTTATTGTTATGGTATACAAATTTTTGTTTTATTATTATTAATTTTTTTTTCAGAACTTCTGGCCAAACATCAGCAAATAGTAATTCATCAAGATCGCATGCTTTTTTCCAAATTGTACTGCGTATACCTGGTCTAAACCAAATACATGGAAAATTTTCATTAATAGATTTAGCTGGAAATGAGAGAGGTGTTGACACAGCATCATCTAATCGACAAACACGTAAAATATTTTCTAATAATTTGTTTATTCCTTTGTATAATAACAGTATACAATTGTATTTATTTGTTATAGGAATGGAAGGCTCTGAAATAAATAGATCTCTTCTTGCATTAAAAGAATGCATTCGTGCTCTAGGAAAGAAAGGTTCTCATTTACCTTTCAGATCAAGTATATTAACACAAGTACTTAGAGATTCTTTTGTTGGTGAAAATAGCAAAACATGTATGGTGAGTATTGTGTTGAAAAATCTCAAATATTTTTAACAATATATATGCTATGGCTTTTTATATCATGCATTTTAGATAGCAATGATTAGTCCAGGAATGAGCTCATGCGAGCACTCTCTAAACACGCTCCGTTATGCTGACCGTGTTAAAGAATTGGACGCATCTGATCCTGTAGCTAGTGGTGTGGTTGCTTCTACATATTTTCCCCCCACAAGACATTCTTTAAATATTTAAAAATGTACAGTATATCAGCATAATGAATGATGATTTAGCTGCTCTTATATATTGCTTAATGTAAATATTTATTTTTATTTTTATTAATTAAGTTAATAAATACACCAATTACGGTTATAATATAATTTTTTTTATTTGGAATCAAACTTTATGCTATGAAATATAATTATATAAATTTATATGCTATTATTGAATTTACATGTAGAAATAAATAAATGAATCTGTCGCCTAGAATATTAAGATGTGTTTCAAATTAAAAATTCATCATCAGATAAATCGCAAAGTAAAAAAGTAAAACGTGAATGTATATGAGAAAATAAACGAAAAGTAAGAATATATACAGAAAAAATTATATAAATAAATCATTTTACATAGAAAAAATTTATTTTAATTGGAGAGATTATTTTAAATGAGTTGATTTCAAAATCAAACAAGTTATAACTTAATAAACCACATAAAACTATGAAAATAATCTAATAAAATATTAAAACAAAATAGTATAGTTAAATGATAAACTACAATTATTAACTATATACCTAGTAAAAAAATTAAAAACAAATGATTCAGAAATAGTTTCAGCTGATAAATCTAATGCTATTATTGTCACACTAATAAATTTCATCAAAAAACTTTGGATTTTAAAAATACTCAAAACTTAACATATTATCCAACTATAATTTACAATAAACAAATTAATAAACTAATAACAAATTCGAAAGAAATCATACCTAAAGTCTACAATAAAATATTATTAAAAACTGATTATAAAATAGAGGCTCCACATTTAGATTCATTTATAAAGTTGCACAAACAAGATAATCCGATTTGTCCATTATTTAACTTTAAAACTGCTCCATCTTATAACCTTGCTAAATATTTAGATTCTCTCATTAGATAAAAGTTAAACATGAATACTGAATACTAATACTCCTATAAAAAAAACACTTATAATTTCATTGAACAAATTAATAAAATTAATATTGAGCAAGTTAACAAAATGATTTTCTTGGTGTAAAAACTGTATATACATCTATTCCTAAACACGAAACAGTACATTTAAAAAAAAATAAACATAGTAATAAATTTAATACAATCGAAGTATAAGAAATTATTCAATCAATAAATTTAATTATTAATCAAAACTATTTCCAATATAATAATAAATTATGTTCACAAAAAAAAGGGTTAGTTATGGGTGTGAACCTTTAAATGCTCTTTTAACTGGAATTTGCATGCCAAATTATGAAACCAATAATACTATTAACAACAAAATATACAGTCCATATATAAAAGCATATTATAGTTGATGACATTTTATTTAGAGGTTCAAATAGACAAGTAGAAAATTTAGTTAACTACTTAAATAACAAAATAAATAAAAACATTCAATTTAAACTCGAAATACAAATAAATAATAAATTCAAATTCTTAGATGTTAAAGTTTCCATAGTTAGAAGTAAATTCGATTTTAGTATTTATAGGAAACTTACACAAACTGATGCTATAATACCACGTGATTCTAACCACTTTAATTCTCGAAAAATATCACTGTTTATTCAGTATTCTATAGGTTTGAATGTATTCCATTAAATAAACATAATTATCAACACAAGTTTAATATCATCTATGATATAGAAATAATTTCAATTTAAATACTATTAAAAAAATTCATAAACATATTAAAGAAAAAAAAACACAACTCATCAAATAATTATGAGTTATTACTATTATAAGAGATAACTATTATAGTATGAAATATCAACATAATATATCTAACAAATTCTCTAAAATTCTGAACAAGAATACAGAAATGTAAAAATCGCTTTTAAAACTAATAATAATTTAATCAAACATGTAAATAATAGTACTAATTACTTCACAAAAATCAACCTTATTTTGATAATGCTGGTATATATAAATTTAAATTGCTGAATTTGGATTTTATTCATGTATTAATAATGTAACATGACAATCTAATACTTCTAGTTTGTGCATATCATTTTTCTGTTAAGAGAATATTACTAAATAATATTCATTCATAATTTTTTTTTTTCAATTACAGATCATTTTAGTATTACCTTATCTATTGACTTAAATGAAGGAGATCCTTTTTGTCTATTAATACTAGTAATAATGGTAATATTTCTATTATTTTAAGTTGGAGCAAAGTTGCTGGTAGAAAAGTTGTCCACAGAAAAAAAAATTAACATCTTTGTACAACCATAAGCTTCTTCTCTCCAATCAGAATCTAAAAGATTACCCTTAATTCAAATTAATTATGCTACCTACAAATTAACAAACTTCAATATTCTAATAATAATCATTGATCTTAACCTTATCAATAATATTCAAAACATTTAAAATAAATAAAAAAACAACACACATTATAGTAAAACCAGTAAATCCCTTGCTACACTCAGAATCTAAAATAAGTATAATATATTTACTGATAAATTTTTCTTAATTTTAAAATATATAGGTAGTACTATAGTAAGTATTAAATTGTCAGCAATTAGTTATACTTAGTTTTTAATTTTGAATACCAATATTAAATATGCTTGCAGCCTGCAAGTATAAAAGAAAATTATAGGTAGCATAGATATTAAAATATTTTGAAAATATGCACCCTAAATGATTCATTCAATTATTGTAAAATATTACATTGTATCTTATCTTAATTTTGATACCTATTTATAAAAAAAAAGACATCATTTGTTAGTACTTAATCACAGTGTTGACCTGGCTAGGGTTACAAACACAATTTATACTCCTTTTTTTTTTTATAGGTATTACTTAACATTGAAACAATTAATCAAATTTGTCATGTGTGGGCTCTTACATTGTGAAATAAGGTTTTCAATTTACACAATTTTCACAATTTGAAAACAGTTTTTAAGGTACAGGAGAAAATATGTAGCTTGGATTGTTTACTTGCCAGGCCAATACTATGTGATCATATTATTATATTTGTGCAAACTTCATTAAATTAGTTACAAAAGTTGAACTTTATACCACAATATTTGTTCATATCACAGTTTAAAACAAATGAATCAGTAATTTAACAATATTCATAGATATTAGATTACTAATATAACAAGACATTACATCCCAATGGATAATATCGTTAAGAATCTAACTTTAATAGCAACATAAAACATGAAAAACCAACATATTATTTACTATTATGGTTTTGTTTTTTAATATGATTCTGCAAAAGGCTCATTACGTCATTATCAAATTCTTGTGGTGGCGACTTAGATCCAATAGTCCAAGCATACAAGTCCCATTCATCATGTTCGCTATTGATCAATGCATCATACTTTTGCAACTGGGCACGATCAAATGTATTTAAATACTTGTCTGCAAATGAGGTAAAAATAATACAATTTTCTAATATCCCTCTTTTTCTTGATTGGTATATTAAACGGCTCCTCATTAAATCCATTGAAGAATCTGATGGTGTTTTAATATCAATAATTTGATCATAATTGCGACTTTTGATAGTCAATAAATTAAATTTTTTCTGAAATCAGAAAAAAATAAGGTATTAATTTCTACTTCAATATATATTTAGTATATTATTATTACTTATAATTTAATATTTTCAATGTATAACTAATGAAATTATAAATAATTTGTTGCATACATACATTTTTGTTTTATATGACATGAAAAAGTGATGCAATTATTATTATTTTATTTTGAAACATTGTTTATACTTTTCCCAACTTCATAATAAAATTGTTTAACATTCTTATGCAAGTTATTCTAAAATATTTACTATCTACCATTTTTTTTTTTTATTATTGATTTTAGTTCTGGAACAGAAGTGCATGTATTATTGGTATAAATCTAGTTTGGGTCCTAAGCTCATTTTTAAAATTTTTTTTTTCAAAATGTGTGTTTTTGGCCTTAAATTAAGAATCTAAATAAAAAAAAAGAGGATGAACTTCATTTGAAAGTTATGTGGAAAAACTTCATGAAGTTCGAGTTTCCTGTTTCATGTATTTCTTAGTGAGAATTTAATATTTTCAAACTTTGTTTTCTTCAAAATTTATGTTTTTTAATACTTAATCCATTGGTATAATCAAAACTTACCTATTATACTTACTTTTAAAGTTATTATACATAAACCTTAAAAATAGCATTTTTGGAATTAATCAAAGATGTGGTCGAAAATACATTTTTTAAATTATTATTATGATTTGTATTTAATGATATTTTGATAACAAAGTTTTTTTTATTTAAGTCTGAATAAGTTGATCTGGCTTAATTTTCCCTATTTCTATATTCTACGAGACGTGATTTTGCACAACAAATCAAGCATTATTTTTGATTAAAACAATCCGAGCGAGTGAGTGATCCTGCCAGGTTTTTAGGTGCACCCAAAATTCTTTATGGACAATAATTTCAAAAGTAAGTATGATAGGTAAATTTTACTTATATTAATAGATTAAGCATTAAAACACATTTTGAAAAAAAAGATTTGAAAAATGAACTTGAACCCTAAATTAAATTTGTTCCGTATTATTATGTATTCGGTACAATTTACCAATAAAGAAAAATATTTTTATAAACAAACACAATCATTTTGAAATGTCAATATAAGTACCTACTCAAATAATATACAATAAAATATTAAAAAGTTCAATAATTACATAAACTAGTAGATTATATGAAATCAACTTATACAAATTTTACGAATTAATTACTAAATATCAATGAAAGTAAAAAAATTTAAATTATACAAAAATTAATTTAGGGTTCTATTATAATAAGTATACCAATATAATTTATTTATTAAAAAACATATTTTTACTCCATAATACATTTAATATTAAATCCGTAGATATGAATTAAAACGATAATATACAATTTACATACCATTAAAGAATGTCTGCAAACATTAAATATTTTATTCATTGTGACTTTTTCTTAAGTTGATTTTATATTTTTGTTGATTCTTGATTAAAAGTTGTTTTCTTTAATATAAATTAACATATTAATAATGAAGAATTATCTTCTTATCATTATCTGATGAAAAAATGTGTATTATCACTATGTATTAGTATCATAGATATACAAATACTTTTTAGAATAGATATTAATTCTTTAATATCTGTTTTTTAGTCCTTGGACTCAATTTTCACACCATAGATATTAAATAAATTATATTATGTAATAATAATAAATAAATTATCATCTCCTAATACTGTTATCTATTTGTGTTAAGACCTCTATGGTCCCCACATATTAATATTTGACAATGCATAATTCTTTTTTTTTGTTGTAGAAAGGGATATTTACATGTAATTTCATATTACAAATTATCTTTTAAGTAGCTTTAGTTTACCTAATTTTTTAGATATTTAAGTTTTTTTTTCGAAAATTGTTTAATATGAGATTAATATAAGATTTTTATATTCTAAAAAGATACAGACTTACTTGGCATGATGGGTGGACCACTGTTGTATATAAAAGATGGGGAAAGTAGAGGGGAAATTTAATGTATATCTATATGCAAATGATTAACCATTGCTAACAAAAAAACGATTTTGAGCGCAAAATTTGGTCAATAGTATTACTTTATCAACAATACATATGTCATATTATGGTAAAATAAATACATATGTATTACATATTTCCTTTAATATTGTACATATTTTTCTGTTTTTTTCCCATTTATTAGAAAAACTGCTAGGAAAATCAAAAAATGACCTCCCTAGAGTACCTTCAATAGTTTTAATAAACATTTTCAGTAAAGAATATTAGATATAACATAAATTTATTTGATGTACATACAAAGTTAAATTTTTCAATAATATAAACATATTAAAGTGATCTATTTAAGTTTCATTTTTGAACGTAACTCAGCTAATGTAATAAGAATAGCTTCTTCAGTTCTAATAGTTCTAGAACCTTGATTTGGACAAGTATTTAAATAAATATTAAATAAACTTGAAGGGTTTTCTTCGCCAATGTTTGGATCAGCTTCTAATGCAGATTCAAGTCCATGAACTCCTCCAAAACAAATTAAAGCATGTTTAAACTTGCTTAGCTCATCACTATTAACTTCATCTACACTACGGCCTTTATCAGATGTTCCGATTTTTAAATCATATCCACCAGAATATGGACAATTGGTAAATACCTCATTAATCGATTTGGCATTTCTTACTGTATAGCCCCAGTAAATACCAGCTTCTATTTTTGGAGTACTAGGAGCAACGACTATACCATTTTGACGTTTGGAATCGCTCGAATTAGGTATTAGTTTGACAGTAACTCGTACATATGGTTGAAGACATTTTTCAACATGTACATGCTTTCTAAGACCCACATCTACATTGGAGCCTTTACCTTTTTTTGGTGGAAGTGTTGACACCACACCTTCCCTACAAAACAATGTGTCGATTAATAAGGAAAAATATAGCTTCAAATTAAAGTTATTTGAATTATAATTTACCGGAATGGGACATTATCTTCTTGTCTAAAATGATGCGGTGCATCTAGTGGGTTCAATACTCCTGTATATTTTAAAAAATTATGGATCGGAAATAATATTCTTCTTAAGTATTGAGGGCACTCTAAGTATTGTAAAATAACAGCCAATTGTTTACATGTCTTTGAACCACCTTCAGTGTTTTTGTTTGCCACCATTACATTAGTCTGCTCACCCACATCATCAAATACTACAATCTAATGAAAAATTATTTGAAATACTAGATAATAAAATTAGATAGGTAGTGAAAATAAAATTAAAAAAAAAAACAAACCTCATCAATTTTATAAATGCAAGCAGCTCTTGCTATTTGTCCAGCCAGATAAGTTCTGAATTCTGGAGACTGAGTGTTATCTAAAATAGATCCAGGCACAGCTATGGTTACAGTTGGCAGTTCTTTTGCTTTTTTTGTTGCTACTTTTTTGCTGACTTCAGAATTTTCTGTAATTTTAATATTCTTTGTGTTTTCTCCTTCAGAAATGTCCTCCTTTGCTGTATTTATTTCAACATATTTCTTTTGCTTCTTAACTTTTCCTATTGAATTTTTAGTGTCATTCTTATTTCTAACAATTTCTAAATCTAAATGTTTGTTTTTCTTTTTTTTTTTCACTTTTTCAACTTCATCAATCTTACGTTTTTTATCATTTTCTACAGCATTACTAATGTTTTCAATTTCAAGCGATGCCATTATGATTGAACCTCTTAATATTTAACCAAATTAATTTTTTTTTTAAGTAATAAGAACTAGGTATAGACAAGTATACTAAATAGTAAATATTATGACATTAAAGACAGAACTTGGTTTGTCACGTGTGTGGATCTTATCAATATTAATATTTAACATTTGTGATTGTGTGTAATCATATAAACAAAAAATAGTGTTCCGTGTTGAAAATCTACAATGTGTAGTTTTACAACACTATTAAGTATCAATTGATGTAAATAATCATTAACATACAAACAAAGACTAGCAATATTAATTATATTAATTTAAATAGTTTTGTAATCAGTATGATTATTATATGAATTCATAAAATCATAATCGTATTTTATTTTATGGAATTAAGTAATTATACCGATTGTAACTACTTATTTTCAAATATTAGGTTATCAAAGTTCAAGCTATAATGGAATTTTACTGATAATAATACAATATATGCCGGGTTTAGCGGTTACATATCTAGAGCCAAAAAACCTAGAGGCCAATTTCAGATTTTATTGACTCAACACGTGTCTGTAAACTATTTTTTTGTGTAGTTAATCGGTAATCCACATTCGTAATAACCAAAATCGTACATTTTGTTAAGTTTTTTAAATCATGGCGGCTACTGATAATTTAGGTAAATTTAATTAAATAATATGCATTTAAAGTATGTACATACAATGTACAATTTTCAATAACTGAAATAAATTATCTAGATCCCTAAAATTGTATTAAATAACCTAGTGTAATCACTAAATTTTAAATTTAATTAAGTACATAAAAATGTCTGTGATTTTTGAATGTTTAAAATAATTAATGAGTAATAATTATTTTATTCAGATATTTTAGATATACTTGGTTGTGTATAAGTGATCTGAAATACACATTTTTACATACCTAAAATATGCCATACACTTATACCTTTTTAAATTTATATTAAATTGTCTTGTAATAAGTTTATAAATTTATTCATAGGTTTCATTTTTTTTTCAGCTCTTATTAGTGTGTCAGATAAAACTGGCCTATTGGATTTGGCAAAAAGTTTAGTTGAAGCTGGTTTCAAACTACTAGCTAGTGGAGGAACTGCATCTTTTATAAAGAACGATGCAAAATTACCAGTTATATGTGTTGAAGAATTTACCGGTGCTCCAGAAATACTTGGTGGACGTGTGAAAACTCTTCATCCAGCAATTCACGGAGGTAAATATTATAATTTATTATACTTACTGTAAATTTATCTTTTAAGTTTTGAATAATGATATTTCGGTTTCTTCTAGGAATTCTTGCTCGTTTGACACTTGCTGACCAAAGTGATTTGCAAAAACACAACTACAGCTTGATTAAAATTGTAGTGTGTAATTTGTATCCATTTGAAAAGGTCATTTCAAAACCTGATACTAATATAAGTGATGCTGTAGAAAATATTGATATTGGAGGTGTAACATTATTAAGAGCTGCTGCTAAAAACCATGAACGTGTTACTGTTCTTTGCAATCCTATTGATTATGCAGAAATAGTAAAAGAAATATTATTGAACAAAGATACATCTCTAGAAACGCGAAAAAAATTAGCGCTTAAGGCATTTACACACACGGCTACATATGACGATTGTATATCAGATTATTTCCGTAAAAAATTCTCTAGTGGTGAAAGCCAAATGAATTTAAGGTATGGCATGAATCCACATCAATGTCCAGCACAACTTTTTACTACTGAATCAAAATTGCCTTTAAAAGGTAATGTATTTTATATTTAATAAGTATAAATATTAGTTGGAAATTATATATTTATGTTATTTATTTATTTGTTTAGTTTAGGTGAATCAATAATTTAAATTCATTATGTAAATGATTTTTAGGGCTTAGGCAACTATATACTATTTTTTAAGTAAAATATTTAAAATATTAATATTTAACCTAGTGTTTTTTGCATGGTGCTAAGACTACACTAAAAATTAACACAAAAATGTATTCATTCAAATTTAATTTTCTTTTTATAATAATAATATATTAAAGCAACCAAATTTACAGAATAAAGTAAAAATAGTAACAAAGTAACATAAAATTGCAAACTTATCCTACAGGCAAAATTTGTGTCGGATGAGTTGAGTTCATAAATTAAATAAAATTAATAAAATCAAACAAACAACATAAAACTTAAATACAGAATCAAAATAGTTTACTATTTTATACGAAATACATGATTTTTATAATGTTTAAAATTACTAAAAGAAAAGACATTTACGTAATAATAAAATTCCTATAATTTCCAAATTTGGTTTTATTAAAAGGTAAATTAAGTTTATTATTGATTTTTAATCTTGTATTATAAGCATGCAATGGTTGATAATTACTAATAGTAGGTATAATTTTAAACATTTATAAGAAAGTTTGATATTCATATTTCAAATTAAAAGTTCAAATATTAAGATCAGAATATAATAAAATAGTTGAATATAATCTAGATTTATTTAAAATAATTTTAATTAAAGAATTAATAGTAATATTTAAGACATTTAATATGGCTAAAATAAGTACTACCCCATACCAATGAACCATATAAATAGACAGATTGTGCTAAAGCTAAAAATACGACTTAAAGATTTTAAATCTAATATATTAAATAGTATTTTAAATTTATAAAATAATTTTCTAATTATATTATTTATTGAATAGATGTGTTCTATAAATTTAAGCCTATGATCAAAAATTCCGCCTAGGTATTTCACACTATAAACTCACACTATAAATTAATATATTTGCAAGGTACATTTAAATATTTACATCTATAAGAATGTGTACAAATGGAAAGTTAGTACTAAAATTATAAATGCTATTATTGTTGCAAATATTAAAAACAACATATTTAGATTTACTTAAATTTAACTGAAAGTTACTATTATAACACCATTGCTTGATTAAATCAAGACAAAAATTTGCTTCCTTTATATAGATCATTATAATTATTATTTTTTAGTAGCACAACTGTATCATTAGTGTAACAAATAATATCAGCATTAAGGTTAAGGTTTAAAAAGCCATTTATATAAATAATAAATAATATTGAACTAAGAACAATACTTTGTGGCACTAAAAAACTATTTATACGAATATCGCTAAGAATACTTTCTAAACAAACTAGTTGAGGCCTATTAGAAATAAAAGATTTAATTAAATTTAGAGCATTACCTCCTATGCCACATAAATCCAGTTTTTTAGTTACAAATTAGATTAGATTATATTTCATCAAAAATACTTTTACCAAAATTAGAGTAATAATAATTAAACTCATTTACTATTTCATGTCTGTTATTCATAGTAATATTGGAATCATTTCTAGTCAGAAAGTTAATGAGAGGTTCAACCCTCTTAGTACTGCATGAAGCTTTGTTTATTAAATTCCATGTAGTTTTCATATTGTTATGGGGTAAAGAAATTAAATTACTATAATATAAACAAGAACTTTTTTTATAAGAAAGTTCAACAGATTTCTGTATTTTTTGTAGTGTTGTTTGAGTTTTAAATCAAAAGGTGCTTTAAGTTTTTGTTAGTATAATTTTTGTCTATTTTTAATTGAAATAAAAAAAAAAAAATACTATTAGATATAATAGATATTTTAGTAGTACTAGTAATTAGATCAGCTATTATAAGGTTACATTTCTCTACTAATATGTCAACATTATTCCAATCATATAAGGAAATTAAAGTATTTAACAAATTAAAGTTAATAATTTGTATCATGATATTCCTATTAGATTCGTTTTTTTTTTTTCTTTAAATAATGTTCTTTTTAATAAAAAGTGCTAAACTAAAATGATCCTTAATATCAGTTTCAATTACAAAAGAATTAGCATTTGAAATATTTATATTTCTTTAAAAATATTATCAATACAAGACATTGAACTATCAGACACCTTAGTGTAACAGTTAATACATGATAAAAAAAATGCAAGAATATTTAAATAATTAGAGGAATCACTAGAATTTCCAAGTATATCAATATTCACATCACCACAAATAATCACTTTGTCATTATAAGAAAGATTAGCCAAATAAATATCCATGCCTATTAAAAAATCATCAATAATACAAGGTGATCTATAAATTCCAATTATTTTGTTAATATCCGAATTAAATTTGAAATTATTTACAATAGAATCGCAAGCCAGTAAAATATTTATAATATAAAACAGTTTTAGTAGAATGCTCATCTTCATAATTAAAAACATTAGTTTTCTTTTGAGTACTAAAGTTTTGGGAGGAAGAACAAGAATCACACATCCATCTATATTTTTGTGTGCCTAATTTATTAAAATTAGAAGTGTTATCAAATTGAGTACTCAAAGGATGAAAATGCAGTTTGCATCCAGAACATGAAATTTATTTTGTTGGAGACACCATTTTCTTACAAACCACACAAGGCATTATAGAAATAGAATAAAAGTAAACGATAGGTAAACAATAAACACGATTAGATAAGATAACGTACTGACAGCAACTAAACGCGACCGATCATCATGAACAATTGAGTAGAACTGCAATCAACTTAGATAGTTAAAATCAATTATTATTTAAATATATGTAAATAACAAAAACAAATCTAGACCATAAAAATGTATTTTCATACAATTATAGTGCTATACTATTATTTTGTAATACAATTTATATTATTGTTATTATTACAATTAATACTTATTAAAATTGTAGTTATCAATGGTTCACCGGGGTACATTAATTTATGCGATGCCTTCAATAGCTGGCAGTTGGTTAAAGAACTTAAAGAAGTAACTGGTCTTCCAGCAGCTACTTCTTTTAAACATGTCAGTCCTGCTGGAGCAGCCTTAGGTGTACCATTAAATGAAATTGAAGTAAAATAAAATAATGTTTGACATTAATTTGTATTTTTTATAATTAATTTAAAACATTATAATTAGGCTTCATTATGTATGGTAAGTGATTTACTTGAAATTATGACTCCACTTGGATCTGCATATGCTCGTGCCAGAGGTGCTGATCGTATGTCATCATATGGAGATTTTATTGCTTTATCAGACACTTGTGATTTAGTTACAGCTAAAATAATTTCCAGAGAAGTAAGTTAATTAATAATCTGTTATATTATAATTTCATTTACTTAATTAAAATATATTGAATGATTTTTAAGGTTTCTGATGGTATAATTGCTCCTGGATATACTGATGAAGCTTTAAATTTGCTCAAGAAAAAAAAAGGAGGAAATTACTGTGTCTTACAAATAGATGCCAACTATACACCTAACTCTGTTGAGCGTAAAGTTTTGTTTGGCATGACGTTAGAACAGAAACGGAATAATGGAAAAATTGATGAGAATCTTTTTACTAATATTGTAACTAAAAGACAAGATGTAAGTTGGTTATTATTTTATTTTAGTTGTTCACAGATTTGTTAAGAAATCATTGACACAATGATTATACATATAATCTGTATTAGATGACAGAAGCAGCTAAACGTGATTTGATACTTGCTACTGTAACATTAAAATACACCCAGAGTAATTCAGTCTGTTATGCTTTCAATGGTCAAGCCATAGGAATCGGAGCTGGACAACAGTCAAGAATACACTGCACTAGACTAGCTGGTGATAAAGCAGATAATTGGCAAGTCAAATTTATTACTACATTTGGTTGAATAATATTAATTTGATTGATTTACAGGTGGCTTAGGCAACATCCATATGTTTTGGAAATGAAATTTAAAAAGTCTGTCAAAAGAGCTCAAATAGCAAATGCCATTGATGACTACATTGGTAATACAATTGGACATGGACTTTCTCGAACTCGGTGGGAAAGTTTATTTGAAGTAATTCCTGCAGAGTTAACACTTGAAGAAAGACGTATCTGGTCCACCAAATTAAAAGGAGTTGTGTTGTCATCTGATGCATTTTTCCCCTTTAGTGACAATATTGAAAGGGCTGTACAGGTGTGTTTAACAACAATATAGATATTTTTGTTTGTATTAAAATTAAAATATGTGAATGTTTAATAATGTAATTTTATATATTATTTCAGAGTGGAGTTGAATATATAGCCTGTCCATCAGGTTCAACAAATGATCAAGACGTAATCAACTACTGTGATGATCAAAACATTGTGTTAACTCATACCACTTTAAGATTATTCCACCATTAATCCAATAAACTCATATTCTTAGATTTATATTTCATTCAATCTGTTATAATATTCAATATATACATGAATTAATCAAACAAATTCAACTTAAATTAAAATATTTTTTTAAAAGTTAATATGTGAATAAAATTATTTAACATTTCATTTTAAAATAAATACGCTTAAATCTCAATTACTCCAAAAAAAAAAATGTTTTAATATATCAATAGTTATTTTATTATTTGATTTAAAGAACTGTATAAAACATTTGATTTAATTCTTTCTCTTCTTATCAGGAGTGATCAATCTATCATAAAATACTCCTTATTTTGAAAAGTATTAACTTTTTCCAGAATTCATTTTTTAGAACATTAAGGAAATAAACTGCTCTACAATTATATATTTATGTTATTTTTTGTCACCCTTATTTTTGAGGGGTAAAACCACTACCTACTTTTGATTTTCAAATGGTAACCTGTATTAAAAATTCCATAAATAAACGAAGTATTAGTTAAAATTAATTTTTAATTTTTGTCAAACCGTTGATGAGATATTCCACTTTTAAGTTTAGCTTTGGGGGAGTGTAGTGGTGCATTATTAACATGTTGCACCACGTATAAATGATCAAAATTTCAACACCATAATTTATATTAACTAATACTTTACCTCTATTTATGGAATTTTTAATATAAGTTGCCATTTGAAAATCAAAAGTAAGTAGTGGTTTTACACCCAAAAATAAGGGTAACAAAAAAATAACATTAATATAAAATTGTAGAGCAACTTGTTTCTTAAATATTCTGGAAAACCAATTCCAGAAAAAGTAAATACTTTCTAAGATGTGAGTGTCTTATGGTAGATTGATCATCACCTTGTATAGAGAATGTTCAAATGAAAATTTATAACATTATCTAATAAACGACGGTTTTATTTTTCTAGAAGATAATGATTAAAAACATATGTTTATCATGAATGCTTGTTCTATAAATGTTGGTAATTTAAGATTACTATGTAATTTGCCAGCAAATGATTTTCAAATAAACCATGTCCTACATTGCAGTTGTTAATTTATGTGTTTTTTGGACGTAATCAAAAATTTTAAATATGAAATAAACAAAATCTAGGTAGGTTTTGATATATGTATCAAACGTTTAAAATAATATCATTATGCACATGAATTTTTCACAAGTTGTTTAAAAATTTGATAAATTTTTTTAAAATGAATTAAATTTTGTAGAAAATTGTATGAAACTTTGTGCAACTATTTTAACAGTATACATAAAATGGTTGTTTTTTTTTTCTTCTACTTTGTTCATAGTAATTATATCTGAAAAAGATATCCTAGGATAATGGGACAGGTGCAGCCACTGTTACGTATAACTTAATGTATGCCTATAAGCAACAATAATTGATTCTGAGCAGAGTTCAGTTGATAGTGATGCTTTATAAACAATATATGTAATTTTATAGTAAACTATACAAGCTTTATATATTTTCTTTAATAATATTAATATTTTTTTAATGTTGTACCGATTTTTCCCTGTTTTCCTGTTTTATCTTGGTTTTTCACATTTGCTGGGAAAAATGAGAAAATCGAAAAATTACCTTAAAGTACCTCCCCACATCAATTTGCTTTCAGAAAAGGTGCTACACTTAGAAATCTGAGCAAGTTTTCTGGTAGAAGTTGTTAACAGAAAAAAAAAATAGGCATCTTTATAAAACCTTAAGCTTTGCTTCAATCAGAATCTAAATTAACCAAAATAATATAACTATTTTAACTTGTGCCATTTCTCATGAAAATATACACAATTTTAATATTGGAAAAATAAATGGAATTAAAACTAATTTTAATGAACTTATAGTTAATAATAAAAAAAAAAATGCAATAACAATTTATTTTTACAATAATATAAAACATAGGTAAGCTTTTTGAATTGAATTTTCTTTTTTTATCACAATTTTTTTCTTAGTAAATACAACTTAATATAATAATTATTATTGTGATGTGATATCATATCACTACACAATATTTTAATTATAGGTTATTATAAAAATAGAACTGTAGCTATGAATAATACAATTCAAATTTTTTTTCAATAAATTAATAAGATTTGGATTCTTATTAGAACAAGTCTGATGAATTTGTGACTATCTTGTTGATTTATTGAAAATCACATTTTAATTAAAATAATTATTACAACTCTGTCAATTGATACATGTTGCCAAATTATTATTTACTTTGTTCAAAATCATCTACATAAATCACTTACCGAGTCTCGTGTACATTGTGAACAATCAATTATATTGGTTAAAATTGGTTCATCTAAAAATAATTTATTATTAACCTAACATCAAAATTATTGACACTTAACTTTTATAATAATATATATTATACCTTATTTAGGATCTTTAAGGGATATAGTGCATTTTGAGGACTAGTTTTCTAACCAGTTTAAGATTTGTAGTTGTAATATTATTTGAATTACAACTATAATAAATTTAAACATAATAATAATTGTTAATCATAGAATTTATAAATTCTTATTCCATTTATCATTTTGTATGCATTATTAATTTACTAGTCGTTTATTTTTTGAATTTAAATTAATTGTAGAATTTTCCGAGCTAGTTTCAGAACCTATTAGGTAGAATTTAAAGTTTTAAGTTAATGCTAACAAACCATTGTATTCATAATCCCACAAATATAAGTAACAATGTTACATTTGACAATATGATTTTGTAGTTATGAAATTCAAAAAAAAATGTTATAATTCATGAATAATACAAGATAGTTCTAATTATTATACTTTATTAACAAAAATTACTTTTATATTGTAAACCGTTTCAATATAAAATATCACTATAGTTTAAATTTAATGACAAAAAGTATAATATAAAAAAATAAAACATTCATAATCTAATTAATTAAAAAAATGTTCACAATTTTTATAAAAATGAAAACTCTCCTACAAATTACAATCATTATAATATTTTGCATTTTTAATGCGCTCCTAAAAACTAACAACTTTGGACTTCGGTATCCCGATTTTTTAAATTAGACAGATGGCAACCCTGTTACTTAAAAATGGTCGAACGTTGAACCAATAGCCATTTTTTAAATGTACTGCACTTTCCTCACCACCATTCAATAGTGTTGGTGAACAATAATGAGTAGGAAAGAAGGCGATAATTAGGATTAACCATGGATGAAATACTTTTAAATTTTAAATTTTCCATGAAATTGATTGTTATTATTTCCCATAGAGTAATATTATTCTATATACATTATTTCCACTGTAATAGATGATAAACATGATAAACTGATAAATAATAACAATTTTAATAATGTAAATTAAAATATTCAATCATTCTTTCCATGACTGGACCTAACTAGCACTATTTCTCACTCAATATAGGTTCCGCGTTTCCTTCTCTAAGCACAGTTCATTCATTAATATGTTTACGGATGAACCACGATTAAAGATATATATATAAAATATATCTTTTAGTCGAACCCAAGGTGGATTAATAAGGTGTAAACAACTGACTTATCAGTTGGTTGAAAACATTACTGCAGTTAAAATTGCCGCTAGGTTCGCTACCTACCCTATTAATCCTCGTTTTGTCGAACATAGTCTAAAAATTAAAGTAGTCAGATAAGACCATAGAATATAGATAAGACATCTATTCTTTTCGCTCCTTTTTTCATTAATAGCAATTAGAAAATATTACAGATAATTTGTTTAAAGTTTATATTTGTGGTATTAGTTTTATTTAATATTTAACATTTGTTTAGTTTTTAAATTTCATTTTAATATGTTTTTTTAGATAGTAAATTGTTTTATTATTTACAGTTTTTTTTACAGTAGTGTAAAGATTATTTATACATTTAAAGACAAAGATCTCTAATGATATTCTGTTTAAAAACATTTCCATTATTATAGTTATTAAATTAATTTTTAACGAACTCGTGTGTCTATAAATTTAATTACTATGTCATAAAAATACAAAAAAATTATGAATCAATTTGTTAAAGATACTTTAAATTTGGATTTTCCATTTAGGGAAGCACAAGTGGATTTGTTGTGTAATTTACTTGTAAATGTTAGCACATTTAATCCATTTACATACATGTCTATTTAAGTAAATAATATAAATAAATATTGTGTTATTTATGTGTAGAATCAATCTGTTTTACCGCCATGTTTATTTATACATGGTCCACCATCTTCTGGCAAGACATGTTTAGTTACTCGTTTGTTACATTTAATTGGTGATTCAATTAAATCATCAATTGTGAATTCTGTCAGCTGTTATACAAATCGAATACTTTTTGAACTTATTTTACATGATTTATTAGGTAATTAAATATAATATTACTACTAACAGGTTTAACTGTGTTTAATATATTATATGTGTATATATATGTTTATAGAAGATACAGAACTTAACAACACAAGGTGTGACCATTTTGTGCAGTTTTTAAATGTTTTAAAACAAGCTAGAATTCAAAATGAACGAGTCATTATTGTTTTGGATAAATGCGAGATGTTGGAATACAACCAAATACATGTACTATCAAAACTACAAGAATTAATTAAAAGTTATGAACTTTGTGTTATATTTATAAGCCAAGTGTCACCGACTATATTTGATGAAGACATTGATTTTATACCAGTAATATTTGAACAATATAATAGTGGTAATTTTTTTTTACTACTTTTTATTAAATAATATGATGTATTTAGAGATGCTAAGAGGGGATGGGATAGTTGCCACACAGTACCAAAATTGTGATATTTGTAATTTGTACTATTTATAATAAATATTGTATTTTTAAGGAAAAATATTACTTAGCTATTTATTTTTGAATTTGAAGAATTTGATTGATAGGTACTGTAAATCTATGATTCAATAATAGGGAAAATTAAATTAAAAATAAATTTATCCTGGGAAGAATTAGAAAAAGGAGCTAGAACATAAAATTTAACATCGTCCTAGGGTGCTTAAATCCCTAGCTACACATTATTTCATATTAATAAGAAAAATATTGATAAATAATAATTTATTATTTTCTATAAAAATTATTTTGTTTTGTTTAGTTGAAATAAATGAAATTCTATCAAAGGAAAAACCTAAGAAATGGAGTAAGGAGGTCTACAACAATTTTCTAACTGTTTTTTGTGGATCTTTTATTGGCAACTGTCGAGATTTAGTAGAATTAAAACATTTGGTAAGTATACAAAATATGAGTTACTCATTACGTAATATATTTTCAATTGTTTTATTATATAGGCTAACCTTCTATTTACTAAGTATGTAGAGCCAATAAAAGATGGACAGTGTACTGAGCTAAACCAAAATTTACTATTCAGAAAAATAAGCCCAACTATTCAATTATTGTTGAATAATGTTTACCTGGCTACTAGGTATATACATTTTATTTTTATTTTTTTTATATACTTACCACTAGGTTAATATTATAAAATGTCTGTTATTATGAAAAATCTAAAAGATTAACGAATTGTTAAATGAAAATGACAATGATGATTTAAGAATGTTTTGCACAAGAAAAGCAAGTAAAAAATTTTTGAATAATTAAAAAAGAATGTTGTACAAATTTGTTGAGATTTTAGTGTGAAAAAATATACAGATGTCTCACGAAAATATACACATTGTAATATCTCCAAAGATAAAAGAGATAATCAAATTCTGATTTTTTTTTTTTTTTAAGGATAAGGACTACAAATATTTATATTTGAATTAAATTTGTGTTTTAGTAAAAAAATAACTTTGTTTTATTATTTTTGAAAACATTTGAATGGAGCCATTTTATAAAGTTTAATTCATCTGAAAACTTTGATGTATCAACTTTTTATTTTCATTGAATTCATGATTTTCAATAATTTCTTTAAGTTCAGTGAAAAATGTGTGCAGACAATTGTCCATAATGATAATAATCAATTATTGAATGTGATTATAGCTTACTACATAATTGTAGGTACTTACTTTTCTCTGAATTTATTTTTTGTTTTTAAATCACAAATTAAATTAAAATAAAAAGTTGATATGCTAAAATGTGCAGAAGAATTATTCTATTTTAATTATTCTAATTATCTATTAAATGCTCTCTTCAACTTTTCGAATAAAATTAATTAATTTTTTAGTGTTTTACCAAAACATAAACATTTAAATCAAATATAAATATTTTTAGTTCTTATCCTTGTGAGTAATATAAAAAAAATTAGAATTTGATTATCTTTATTATCTCTGGATACATTACAATGAATATATCTTCGTTAAACAGTATAATGAAGTTGGACTATGAATTCAGTGTTTTTATTTTTAGCGATATAAATGGTAGGAAATAAATTAAAATTGATCATACAAAATCACTTAAAATAAAATATAAAATTATTATTTCAGTTTAGAAAATATGGAAAGCTTGAATGAAGATAAAGTTAAATTTGAAAAGATGGCTCTGGATTTACCATACTATGCTAAATATTTTTTAATTGCTGCGTATATTGCATCATTCAATTCACCTAAGTACGATAGACAATTGTTTGTTAAGGTTTCAAACAAAAAACGAAAAATTAAGCCACCAAAAAAATTAGAAATTTCTACTATTGAACTGGTTGGACCTAAAATATTTTCATTGGACAGATTATTAGCAATATTTTATGCTATTATTGAAGAAAATACAAACATGACAGCAAATCTTTTAGCCCAAGTATAGAATATATCTTATTGATTAAAACGGATTTTTTTATTCTTTTTAAACAATTTTTATCATATATTATGTTCATTATTTATTTGTTTATACTAATCACAATTTTTTCAATTTGAAAATAAGTATATACTTTTGGAATTTTTATGTTTGATTCATTACTAGATTAATACTTTGACTGATTTGGGACTTTTAATACGTTTGGGTGATGGAAAATTGGACAGTACTAAATACAAATGCAGTGTTGGTTTCGAATGTGTTAATAATATTGGAAAGTAAGTAACAAAGGAAATAAAAGTATCATTTGTTTCTTATTTTTTTTTTATTGTTATTATTTCAGGACAGTGAAGTTCAATATAGAAAAGTATCTTATAGATAAATAAGCATTATTTATATATATGCAACAGAATATTTTGTTAAAAATAAATTATGCAATTGTTTTTTAAAAATACTTAAAAATAAAAATTGTTGAGAATTTTTTGCAAAACTAAGAGTTTTTTAGCTGACATCTTTTTTAATGACTAAGGCATATATACTTTATTAGTCTTTTTGGTGTAATGCAAAAAAAGTATAAGATAATATTGACATAATTTTTACATTTGATTTGTTTTATTATAATAAGATACAATATTTATTGTATAGAAAATTTAAAAAAAAATTAGTTCAGTAGCAACTGTAAGTTTTTTTGCCTTGATCCACAGATTTAATTTTTCACCTACTCACCTTTATCCACCCTACCACACCTTGTCCACTATCTTGAATTTTGTCCAGTTTCCTTTGAAGTTATTAATGGACTTTATTTCCAGTCTAAAATTCTTTCAATGACTTGTTTTTTAAAAACATAATCACTTTTGTTATATTTCTGAACACCCAGGCACCGACCTGTTGTGAATTATGTGATTTAAATACACTTCACACCACTGGTTTAGCTGTCAATCCATAAAAAAAATTATAAAAATGTAATTATTCAAAAAAATCGGGGAAAAAAGACAATGTTTGTACTTTTAATTTTTCTTCCCGCCAACCATTAATTTTCTAACCAGGAAAGTTACTGAAGTTAGGAATAAGTTGAATTAAGTTTTTCAGAAAAAATATACACGTATAATCAATATTAAAAAATTGTTCTATATAAGATATCAGTAAAAATAATAATATACATTCTTTAGTATTATAAAAAGTATAAAATACTATTGCTATTATTATAAAACTAGTAATATAATTAATAATACTTAATATCTCTAATTGTGATATGATAAATAAATGTTTTTTTTTCCGTGGATAATTTTTCCTGTAGCTTTTTTTTTCTACACTTTAAAAATATGCAATTTTGAATTCATTATAATGAATTTATGTAGAAAAGACAAATCACCTAAACTTACACTTATAAGAATTACAGCTTTCCTCGAAAATATTGTCCTATTTTAACATTTAAAGATAAAATTTTCTAAACATGGTTTTTACAGAATTTGTTTCTTGAACAAGTTCAATTTACACTATTATAAATACTTATGATAAGAGTAGATAATTATAAAATCCTGGATCATACAAATCTGGTATCTCGAAGTGTTCATATTTTTACGGTTTTACAAACTATCACACTAATGACATTGGAATAGTGGTAAATAATTGAAATTAATTTTGTTATTATCAACTTATGAATTTTCGTTTCTTGTTTAGAAAATTGACAAATGCCTACATCTAAATACAAGTCATTAAATGACAAAGACAAAATTACCACGTCCATCAGAATTCTGTGCACCTGTTGATATGAACATTTTTTTTTCGTAGATATTCAGGGTAGCGTCTATGGACAGCGAGCACAAACGACTTATCTGAAGTTATAAACGCGATTAATGGTTACGGTTAGGTATTGTATGAACTGCGGTCTGATTGCAGGTTGTTTATGGAATAAAAAAAAAGTATTCAACGACAACAAATATATGCTAGCGGCTTTAGAAATTCATTGTCCGCCACCCGATCGTACACGCGCCCCAACAAACGTCAACGGAGGTTAGCACAAAAGGCTTTTTCCAAAGCCCTAAGAAGTCGGTGGACAGACCTTTGGGTCCGACCACGAGCGTCCGTCCGGTCCGGTAAGTAAAATATTTTGGCCATCCTCGGAACTTGTTCTCTGTGCTCGTCTGTTTGTCATAGATTTTGTTATCGGTCAGCGATTCGTATGCAAAATAAAATTGCGGCGACATTGGTTTTCAAAATGGCCACGATTGATTGATTTCCGTCTGAAACAAAATATTTTAAGAACCGCCAAGGGTATCGCAAAATGTGGACTTCGCAGCCACAAGTTTCTTTAGTTTGGACTTTTGCGTATCGTTGAAAAATACGACAAAATTTCTGTAATTTTTCCTCAGAAGTTACTTGATGATGGTAGGAGAACACTAGTTCTGCGAAATGTTTACGCAAATGAATTTTTCACAAAAATGGAAATAGTTATTTGGTGTAATATTACTTGAGATGATCATTAAAAATTTTCCCGGTTTCGTTGATGAAACAAATTATTGACATTGACATGGTTAGGAAAAAAACCGCCACAGTGACAATATAACACCGTTATCATTTTCAACTAAAACGCCTTTAAGGTAATAGACGCCATTTGGATCAATTTTGTAACCTTTATACTTTACTTTAAGTCAATGTTCTTAAATTAAATGCTAACCTGTAGTGCTGAGGTGTCATTAAAGTTTAATTGATTATCATAATAGTCTTCAATATTTTATTTACTATTTAGTTTGATAGGCAGTTATTGTATTATGATAAAATATCCAGTACATAAGGTCAAAATTGCTAGTCGTTACTATTGACAATTTTTCAAAATAAGGGTAATGGAAATGTTAATTCTTACGCACCTATAAATATTTTCTTGTGTTTTTGGCTCAATTACATTTGTTATGAATTCGATAAAACCATATTTATTAAAATAGTTATTTATGTTATTTGTCAACATGACTTATTAATTTTTAATCTTATATATTTTAGAGTTTATAAATACCTTCACGTAAAATGGCATCTGCTTTAGAGGAAAGAGAAGGACAAAGTTCTAGATGTTTCATATGCAATGTAAAAGTTACTACACGATCTTCATATAATGTATATTGTACATTTATGCCTCAAAGGGAAGTGTTATTAATGGATGTTATGTCTAAAATACTTAAGAAAGTACTTAATCCTTCTAATATGAGAAGCTCTGTATTATGTCGTAGGTAAGTATTATGACACTGTTTATAGTTGCTATACGTAATATTAAATTATATTAATTTTCATAAGACATCTTACAAAAATTAATTTTGTTTGTTTTAGGTGTTTTACGCTTTTTGATGAGTTAGAACAGATATCAACACGCTTTAAAAAGCTTCAAACTGATATAATTAAACGATATTCATCGACTTGTATAGAATACAAAGATGAAGCTTTTGTAAGTGTAGTTAATAACATATCTCCAAAAAAATTGATTGAACTTCCACTTATTAAAAATGAAACCTTAAATAACGAAGAAGAAAGTGTGGAAAAATCATATAATACACTTAATGAGGTAAATATTAAGATCAATTTTTATATAATTACTTTTTTGAAGTAGGGTGAAGTCATCATTTACGACTGTTAGGTTAAGAATTTTTTCTATTCTATTTAATTTTAATTTATCTACAGTTATTAAGTTAACAATGTATAAGTTTTATACATTTATCAATACTAAGTAAGAATTTAAAAGTCATTAAACATAAAATGAAAAATTTGTATCAGTATTTTAAAATTGCATTTTGTCTGTCATCTGTGTTATTAACTGTTTTTATAATAATTGATATCACCCAGTAAATTAATTAATGTAGATAATTGCAACAATAACCATATGGCTTATCAAATTACAAAATTATTTTACATTATTTACAAATAAAATAAAAATGAGTGACTATATTAGTAAACATTAAACATACTCAATAAGTTTAGTTCAGTTATTTTATTTATTAATTAACTAATTTAATACATTTAGAGTTTTCCCTTTTATTTTTTTGAATATCAAAGTTGGAAAAATTGGGACTGTGTTCAATTTTATTGCTTTGAAATTAACTAATCAATCGACAGTATTTTAAACGGTTGTATTATAAAGTTTTTTTTTCCATAAATGCTTAAAATAGTTTATTATTCAACTTTTATATTAGTTAATTACCTATTTAAAACAATTTTTAGAATTTATTTAATCTGATAGGGCTTTCTAGAGCTATAAACTAATTATTACAAAATATTGAAGACATGGTTAAAATGCACCAGAAATACTAGCATTACTCTATGGTATCCTATCAGTTCACCATGTTGATTAATAACAATGATTTTACCCCAACTTGGCTGCTACTTTTATTATACAAAAAAAAAAAATATATTTTTATTTTTAAGATTTTTTTTCAATTAATTAAAATTTAATTTAATTAATATAGATTACCAATGTAATAAAAAAATATGCAAAATATCTATTATAAAAAAAAAAAAAAAAAAAAAAAAATGTGTTTAGGTCGCTGTAAATAATATCATACAATTTTCTATTTGTTAATATAAATATATTTAAATATTTACAAACAATATACAAATTGTTATAATTTATGAAGGAATATATTTTTATTAACTCACCATAATTGTCAGTAAACTATTTATTCTTACTATTTTCAATAATATTAGATGGTAGAAAGCATGATAAGACTTTAGACTTATCAGAATCAATATACAAATATCCGATTTATTAGCATGTGACAAATGTACAGACAGTCTAATAAACATGATACATTTATAAGGGTTCTGTATTTGACATTTAAACTCTAAAAAAACCTTCAAAAATATTTAAATAGCTTAACCTATTTTACTATATAATATGTTATAATTATAACTATGTCTGTTAATATTTAATAATTTAAATATTATTGTATCATGTTACTAGGTTGTTGAAGCAATTATAATGAATATACAAGCTGAGGAAAATATGGATGACAAAATGAATATAATAAAGTGTACTTCTGAAAATTCTGAAAATGAAAAATCATCTATTGATAAAAAAATTATTAAACATATTGAAGAAGCAGTAGTCAGCACAGAGGTCTTAACATTTCCTAAAATTGTTGAACAAGCATTATCTGAATCAAGTACGGATTAATAGTTAATTTAATAACAATTATAATTTTTTTAAATTTAAACTTATTTTTAAGAATCAGAAAAATGTAGTGAAGATGTCAGTTTTCAATGTGAGCATTGTAATGAATCCTTTCGGGGGGCACCAGATTTAAAAAATCATGTTACAATACATCATTCCAAGGAGTTTTTTTGTTCATCTTGTGAGAAAACCTATTCAACTAAACAATTACTAAACAATCATTTAGCTGAAGAACATAAAACTCTCAGTAAACAGATAAATGATCATGTTGGTTCCACTAATCCAATTAAAAGTCAGTATAATGTATAAAATTAAGTTATTCTTAAGTTTTAGAAAAAAAAATTATGAAGCTTTTTATTTGTATTTATAGACGGTGATGATAATAAAACTACCCCTAAAGGTACTTCAGATTCTAATATTGAAGTTACTGCTGATAATACAAATGATTCCTCTGAAAATGTGGTAATTGATGTGAGACCTGATTTTTCAATTGACAATAGTATATATTTGGAAGAAGTTGTACAAGGAGAAAATGAAGACGACGATTTTGAATGGAAAGAAGTAGAACAAATAAATTATAATGAAGAAAATATTATTGGGGATAATAGTTCAAGTGCTGTTGATGAAACAATGACTCCTTCTTCAGGATCTGAAAAATCTAATAAAAATCAAATAAAAAAAGGTAGAAAAAAAAGAGATAATTCACGTGTTGGTGAACGTGCTTGTTTACCTGCTATACATAGTTGTGCACTTTGTGGTAAAAAGTGGAGGACTCTCACAGAGTTAAAATCACACATTCAATCCCACAGTTCTATTCGACCATATGTTTGTGAGGTATTTTATATGCTATATTACATTTTAATCATTTTATTTCACTTCTAAATATTTTTACTTTAGATATGTGGTCAAGCGTATAAAATGAAAAAAGCTTTAGATGTGCACATTGGGATGCATAATGGCATACATCCTTTTACTTGTGAATATTGCAATAAGTCTTTTACACAAAAAGTGGGTTTACAGAAACATATACCCATTCATACTGGGTATACCAGGTTTCAATGTGACTTGTGTGGTAAAAGATTTATTCATCAAAAAAGTTTTCACATACACACTATGACTCACACTGGTGAAAAACATGTCAAATGTACAGAATGTGGTCTGGCTGTTTTGTCTCAATCACACCTTAAGCGACATCTTAGAGTCCACACTGGAGAGAGGCCATATGCATGTCCAATATGTGGTAAACGTTTTGCAGAAAAATATAATATGAATGCTCATGTACATATACATGACAATAGCCCCGGAAACGGGCCAAAGAGAAATAGAAATCACATGCAAGTGTATAACAATAATTTAATGATAAATAGTTATTAATTTTATATTTTTTTACTAGATGTCAGTTGTGTGGCATGAGTTATGATCGTAAACATAAGCTTGAATATCATTTAGCTTCAACTCATAATAAAATTGATAGTAAACTTCCTCAAGATCAGGAAACAGTGCATCTACAACAAAACTTCCAAGAGGTAAGAAATTATATTTTATTTTTATTTTTTTAATATTTAAAAGTTAGAGAAACTATATATATGTATTGAAATTGTATAGATTCTGATAAATTTATAACAAATTAGAATAATTGTATTCATATTTTTTTCTTATTTAGTAAATTATATTATAATACATATGCTAAACAAATAATTAATGAACTTTTTCTAAAATTTGATATTATAGAAAAAAAAAGAACAAAATATTGTGCTTCAGTAGATATTAGTTAAGCTAAATACCCATTGTAACAATAAACATTAATTTATTATACAGAACTCCCAGGGTCACCAAATTATCACTGTTGACAATGGTGCTATTGAACACAGCGGTAGTACTGCGATGATAACGGTCAGTGGTGTTAAAGTTCCGATTACCATAGAGGGTGATCCAATTGTGGTTACTTCTTTACCACAACAATCCCAAACCAATAGCCTAGTACCATTGAATATACCACCTGGATCTATTCTTACCTACACGTCATCAAGCTCGAATAATAGTGCACAACCAGTGGTAGACAGCACCCAAAATGCTTATATGCCACAAAGTCCTGTAACAATAGAATTGTCATAAAATGCTATAATATAAATTAAAATGGCCAAATTACTGGTGGGCTACTTCTACAGTGTACTAATCAATACTAAGTACATAATTATGATATTATATTAATTTGAATCTATGGTTTTGTATAAAATTGTTCTTTAAACTTATTCTCACTCTTATTGTCAACAGTTTGGAGCAATAGTAGATACAGATTATATTATTAATAGTAATACGTACATTTTTACGCTTAAGTTCATTGGATAATTTTTTTTATTTTTATTTGACCCCTATTTTATAGATGTGAGTAATATAATTATATAAATACTAATTTTATAAATATGTAGTATTTACAAATTCTTATATTAATCATGAGAAATATGATTGTGAAATTCAAATTTATACTTTTCAACTATTGTTTCTATACAATATTTTATTGAGCTTAATATTAATTTCCGTAGTGTTATGGTCGTTTGTCGGAGTTGTAGTGTGCGCGGTTGAAAAGAAGCCTTTGAGGCCGTGTCAGTATTAATAAATACAAATTATTTTTATTTCAATGAATAATAAACTTATTATGATGAAATATAAATAATTTGAAAAGGTTTATAAAAACACAATTCAAAAAATAGAGAATTTATTTCAAAAATGAATTATGTTTAATAAAAATAAGTTACAAATAAAAAGTTTAATCTATGTTGATAATTCTTTATTTTTAACTTAAAATTTGATTTCTTTTTTTTTACTTAAGTTTGAAATAATTAAATAACACTTACGAATTATTAGTTATTTAAAAAAAATTATCAAATTAATAAATAGACTATTATAAAAATAGAAAATAATATAAGTAAATAATAAATATCCCAATTTTAGAAATGAATGTGTTTTAGGTTTTTTGTGTTTATACTTTTAACCTCACACCTATTATTAATAGTTATATGTTACTGTGTTATTATTTAAGTTTTTTATAAAAACATTTTGAATCTAATTTATAAAAGAATAATTCAAATTGAGCTATTAAAATGAAATTAATTTTTGTTGTGTATAATTTTTTTTTTTAAACTTAATACAATAAATTTGATTATTTAATTTTATATTATTTTGATTTATTTTCAGCAAATTATTTTGAAACTATGTTCATTGTTATTTTCATTACTTTTTAAAAAAAATTCTAATTATTGATTATTATATTTTATTGATTTATTATCTTTTTTTTTCTTGAGTAGAAATTGATAAAACTTATTTTGTATGAATGTATTATTGTTATTAAATATTATATGAAAAAGAAAAATCAATAACATAATTTTAACATATCTTTTTCTTAGTGTATCCTCATGTATCTCATGTATTCATGAAGAATATAATATTACAAATAATTATTGTATTTTAACTTTCAATTATTTAAATGTGGCCATTTATTTTATAATTTATATTATATTCAAAATATTGAAAAAAACATTTTTGACTGATTTTTATTTATAGACATTAAGATAAACTCAATTTTTAAAAAAAAAAATATTTAACATTTTTTCTTATTTATGATGGTACTTATTATTTATATATTATATTATGTACAATATGTAGAATAAGTGCCGTTGGGTATTAAAAATATGATGGATTTATTATTATTATGTATTAGAAATGCTTTTTACTATTTTTGTTTATTTTTTTTTTTAACAGAAACTAATTTTGTAGATACAGTTGAAATATTATTTTCTAAATATATGTTTTACTAGAGTTAGGATTATTACTAACTAAACATATTTTTCGAATTTCATATGTATGCATTTTTTTTTTATTAAATATATTTTGATACAAATTTGTAGTATTTAGTTTACATGCTCGTCAGTATTGTTTATGACATTATATTCCTTATTACTAAATATTTCTCGTATTTTGTTATAGATAATCAATTAAAAGAAACTTGAACACTATACATCTTTTCGTTAGTAATTACCTATAAATAGTTTTGATTAAAATGTTAATTCATATACCTAATGTAAAGAAATACATTACCTGTATAATAAATATTTCAAACTTTTTTTACAATAGTTTAAGCAATTATAAATTGTTTTTCAATCATAATAAGAATTTCTTTGCGATTTTAAATAATTATTTCTTTAATTTTCATAATTTATGGTTTTCATACCCAGGTTTTTGTAATTTATTTAAAAAGTTTGAGATTATACGACATTACAATAACAGATTCAGATAACCTAAATATACATTAGTCTAAAATCTAAATTCAATACTTTGTCATCTGTATTGTCACCTTAGAATTATTTAGATATAAGATTGTAACTTCAGTTTCCAAATTTTAAAACCATGATTACTGTTAATGATCTGATAACATTATCATGTTATTGTGATTAATGGTATCAGTACAATAACTGAATGTTGGTTTAATCATATATGTATATATATATTATATTTAAATCGTGTGTTGTTGGGTTTAATTTTTATAATTTTATTGTTCAGTTTTAACATGGTAAAGTAAAATATATGAGTTATTTGTAATTACTAATTAACATTTATGACTTTTTATACATGTTGCTGTAGTTGATACACAAAAATTGTAAATTTCTTCCTGCAGTTATGATGAAAGCGGTCATACTATATCGTCTAAGATCTATTAGTGGTATACAACACGCGAGATTAAAGTCAACAATTTATGCATTGTCTTCGGGTAAATAAATTTCTATTGATTTGTAATTTTATTCTGATTTAAATATAGTAAAATATAAATTATGTGTAGCGTAAACTAACATTTTATATTTCACGGTTATTAATTAATATTTTAAAAATTGAAGGGCTGACTGTAACAACTGGATATGTCAACTTTTACTAAATGTTCAGTTGACAAAAAAAAAACGTTTTAAAATAAAATTCTATAATGTAGTACTAAGTAATAAAAAATGTTTAAACCCATAAATACACACAATATAGTTTTTTTAGATGATTTTATATTATTTTTTTAATCAATACATGTTGGATATATTCCTTTTCTTAACCATTATATTTACTTTTGTAGAAAAAACTATATAGTAATTTATAATGATTCTATTCTATATCTGTTTTGTCATTATAATTATTTTATATTATCAAACAATTTTATTTCATTATCAATGGGCAATATTTCCAATACAGTGCAACCATTTAAAAAATTTAAAAAAAATAAAAATGTAATATTTATATCAACTTGTAGTGACTTTTCTTCTGTATATTTAACCCCGAAAAAGTAGACATAGCCGGTTGTTGCAGTCAGATCTTCAATTGTAGTATGTATGCAATGGCAACTGATTCATTTTATTATGGAAAAAATTATAAATCAAATATTCAAAATTATCTAGTGAAAATTTGTATTGTTTTATTAAAATAGCATAATATACTACCTACTAATTTTTATTAAATACAAATTTACCCAGCAACTGATTTAAAGTGTTGTATTGAAACATCCAAAAGAAAGCCCTCACTGGTATATAAAATTAAATTATTGTGTACCTAATTGTATAATATAGCTTGTTTTGAATGTGCATAGGATGAAATTAGATGTATTTGTTCATAAATTGTGAACTATATAATTATTATTTTAGGCTTCGGAAAATGTGGTGTAGCTGTAATTAGAGTGTCAGGACCACGTGCTTCTGATGCTATACTTAATATGACTTGTCTCAAATATTTACCAAAACCAAGAATAGCCTGTTTAAATAAAATTATTGATCCCTTAACTAAGGAACAATTGGATAATGGATTGATATTATGGTTTCCAGGTAAATCTACATTAATATTTAATATTGTACAACGGCACAACCATTGGGAATATTTTGGACACGCTCCTCCATGCGTGTTTAAGCTATAAAAATTTATTAACCTGTGTATTTTTAAATAACCAAAACATTTAACATTCCTCTTAAAAAAATCCTGGTTGTGCCTCTGAAATTGTACACTTCAATATTGATTAATATTACTTAACCATAAAAAATGTTGTCATTTTGTAATATATTAGGTCCCAAAAGCTTTACTGGTGAAAATAGTTGCGAGTTTCAGGTACATGGGGGCAGAGCGGTCGTTACTTCTGTTCTTCATGGATTATCTAAATTATGTGATTTTCGACCAGCCGATCCTGGTAAAATTTATGATTTCAAATTGATGTATAATAGAATGTTCTTAATTCTACTCTGTAAATACCTAAGAGTGTATATTTTTTTTTTGATTTTAGGGGAATTCACTAAACGCTCGTTTTATAATAACAAAATGGATTTAACTGAAGTTGAAGGTTTGGCAGATCTCATAGAAGCTGATACAGAGTTTCAAAGGAAACAAGCATTAATGCAGTTAGAAGGTTCTTTAAAACATCTTTATAGTTCCTGGAGACAAATTCTTTTAGAAGTATGTTATTTATATTGGTCCCCTATAGCACTTATAACATATTGTTATTTCTAAAATTGTAGAATTTGGCTAATGTTGAAGCTTATATAGATTTCAGTGAAACAGATAACATAGATATTTTTGTACTGGAGAATGTCAAAACAAATTTAGAAAAACTCTCTAAAGAAATTAAGGTATGTTTTATCCCTTTAGAACTTTCATAAATCATCAATATAATTGGTCACCTTTATAGACACATTTATTAGACAACAGGTCAGGTGAGCTTTTACGCGATGGAGTTAAAGTAGCAATTATAGGAGCACCGAATACAGGAAAGAGTAGTCTTTTAAACGCTCTGTGTATGTAAACAAGGTTTCAGTATTTATTTAAATTAAATAATAATATATTATTAATTTAGGTAGTAGAGAAGCTGCCATTGTAACAGAGTTGCCCGGGACAACCAGAGATCCAATTCAGGTTTCCCTAGATGTGTCTGGATATTCTGTACTTTTGGTTGATACTGCAGGAATTCGTTCTCAATCAACAGATTTGATTGAAGAATTGGGAATTCAGAAATCCAAAGATAAAGCTCAAGAAGCTGATATGGTAATTTTAGTCGTTGATGCTCAATATCTTCTTGATGTAAACAATATAGATTTATGGCTACAAGAATATACACATAATATGAAAGTAGAGTGCAATAATTATTTAGTATATGTGAATAAGATTGATATTATTCCTAAAGACCAAGTCTTCAGACTAGAAAAAATATCTCAAGTTTCCAACTGGACTATATGTTTTGGTTCTTGCAAAGCTGATAGAGGTTTGGCGGATATGATGGAAATATTTAGAAACAATTTGCAAAAATTGTTAGTAGTATATTATATATTACAATTTTAATTTATGTTTTACTGTGTTGTTTTGTTTTTACTTAGATGTGGAAATCCAAATTTTGAAAATCCTCGGTGCACTCAAGCAAGGCATAGATATTGTCTTACAGAAGCTTTGAATAATATTAAAAAATATCTTGAAATATCTAAATTAGATAATAATATTGATATTGCTGCACAACCTTTACGTAAAGCAACAGTATACGTTGGAAAAATCACTGGACACATATCTACTGAAGAAATGCTAAACATTATTTTTTCGAAATTCTGTATAGGTAAATGAATTATTAATTCAGTATCCTGAATGAGGACCGCAATCATGTATATATAACTGACATTTTACTATAGTCAAAAATTTTTCTCTTATAAATAAATACATTTTTTCTGAGGTCAAATTTTAAATTTATTTTTATTTAGACAATATTGCTTACATTTTACTTTTATTAAGTTTTCATATATTCGAATATTTTTCTTTCTATCTTCTAGTCTGTGAACTTGTTTTACCCTAGTAAACTTGTTCCAATTTTTACATGTAGCACCTTTTCTGAAACCTCAAGATTGTGCTCTAAACACTTTAACACTCTAAAACATTTAAATTTTTTAAATAATAGCACTTAAGCGAGAAAAAACATAGAAAAACATACAATTTCATTATTTTATAAAAACATTGAAGTTTTCTACCAGGAAAAATTATTTTATCGAAAAATCACAAAATACCTTTTTGTTGCATTTTGATTTACTTTCTTATGGTATCAATTTTTTTGCTGCAATTTGGTTATAAATACACATGGAGACTTAAAATTCAGTAATAATACTTATACTGAACATACCTAGAAGTGGTAAAATTTTCAAAATCATTAGATGACTTTTTTTTTTTATTAGCGTTTTGAAATCAAATTTAAATGAAAATCGAAAAAAAATAATGGCATTTCAAATTATGTATTACCAAACTACGCTCAGAATCATCTTTCGTCAAGCAATGATTTATTGTTGCTCACATATATAAATGAAACAACCTTATGTATCCTACTTTTCCAACTTCTCAGCTACAACAGTGGCTACTTCTATCACCAGTATCAGTTCTTTTTTTTATCCATTTCCAATATTGCTCACAAGTTTAAAATATCTATCAATGTATTATGTCTATTAAACATTATATCATTTTTTAACTGTAGAGAATATGTGATTACTTGTTTTAGCATTGTGTTAATATCAAACTATAGTTTAAAAAAACAAACGTTTTTAAATAATAAAAAAACACAAATTTATTTTAAACAATAAATAATGACAACATTTTTTATTAGAAGATAGTAAATAGTCAGCAGACAGATACAAAAAGAAGTCTGAATAACATTGAATAGGTACTTATCAATGACCTAAAAACATCAATTAATAATAAAATGTAAAAAAAAAAAAAAAAAAAATCTAGCAACAGTTATTTTTATATTATTGGTAATATAAAAATAGCCTAGGGCAGGTGGAATATACACATTATGTATATGAATAATCCTAAAATCTGAACATAAATATTATGATTCTGAGTAGACCTCAGAAAATTAAAATATTACACTATTTATTTCTTTTTGTTATTTTCAGTTTTTTTTGAGATTTTCAAAGTAGATAAAATTGAAAATGTTGAGAAAAAAATTACTAAGAGTTCATTATTTGTTCTAAATTTTCATCAATTCCTACATAGGAGAAATGTCAGCTTGAGCTGTTCACGAATATCAGTGGTGATTATTGATATTAAAGTATGAAAATATATATAGAGCTTAAGCACAGTATGTTATAGACCTAATATTAAAAACTAAATTAAAATATAGGTGGAGCTTGAGATGGTTAAGCCCCCCTTTATTTACATCTTGTGGTAATGCATAGCTATTGAATTATAACACTTCAAAGATAATAATTGATTAATTTTCTATTAGGTAAATATAGGAACGTTGTTGTCAATCCAATTTGTAGTCTTATACTTCAATTTTGTATTTTCTTATTAAGATAATATTTTTGTTATTGAGTACATGAGCTGCAACTTTTATGGTGACATATTTTAATAAATTTGAATTGTTCGTTCAAATAGCGCTTGTTCAACATGTTTCTGGCGATAAGGTTTTGACACATACAATGCTTCTAAAAATACTCTTTGGCCAGTAGTTATATTTTCAATCGGTCTGAACCACAAAACGAATCCGAAAATAGAGTCGTCTGTAAGGAATATAAATATTTAAATTATAATCTAATTCACTTTATTAGATATTATAGAAAAAAATATATGTGTACCTACCTTCTTTTCTAGTTTTTGCAATAAAACATTGGAAACTCGGTTTTGGAGATTCAAATCCATCTCTTAAAAATGCTAAAACAATAATTATTAAATTAGTGGTAATTGTTTAATTTCCTAACACTTATACATTATATCCTGCAGATATATTTATTTTATGTAGAATGTACCTTAATATGTTTCACTAAAACTTTTTTTTTATTGTAAAATTAGGACCCACACAATAGATCAGCTCCGGGCCGCTAATTTCATTAATCCGGTTCTGAGATCTAAACTTGTGGTTAAAATTATTTACTTTTCTTTAATTTATGAAAATGTATTATCTAAATATTTTAAATCTTCAGGAATTTAGTAGGCATTGAAAAGTTGGTACAACCACAGTTAACAGTATATTTACTTGGAAGTCAACAAAAAGAGCATTAATATAAGAAAGTTTTGAATAGTCAGTATAAGAAAGTATTATGCTATAATAAATCATTTGAGTCAAATAGAATACAATTTTATACTTAGACATTTCATAACTAATCAAATTTTAATCCGAGTACGTATATGAATGCCTACATAATATAAAAGTTCTATGATTATGAAAAAATTACATTTATATATTAATTGTTTATGAATTACTTACTTTCTTTGTTTAGTTGTCTGTTAGATGGTATTCCATATTCAGAATAGTATTCCTAGAAAAAAAAAAATACATAAATAACAAATTTATTACACATTATATAATTTTATATGATAGTTCAAGTAAAAAGTTAGGTAATCTTTAAGTTTACGTGTGCCCATAATAAACTACACCTGCCTAAAATTTAGTAGATTTATTTTATATGTTCAACTCTTGTTTTTTGTCTAGTATTATAAGTACACCTACTTGACAAGCGATAAGATTCTAAAACATTTATTTTACAGACTTAAATTTAAGTATCGATCGAGTTAATAAATCAAAAAAAAAAAGATCCGATATTGGAGACGGGTGCAGCTACTTTTATAGGTGAGAATTTGGGAAGGTGAATACCTAAGATAATTCATAGTTTGAAGTGCCGTAATTCTTTTTGCAATTTTAATTTAAATTTGATTTCAAAACATTAATAAAAAAAAGTCATCTGATGATTTTGAAAATTTTACCACGTCCAGGTAAGTCTAATATACGTCTAGGCAAGTCCAATATAAGTATTATTACCAAATTTCAATTTTTATGTGTATTTATAACCTAATTACAGCAAAAAAACTGATACCGTATGAAAGTAAATCAAAAGGTATCTTGTGATTTTTCGATTAAATAATTTTTTCTGCTAGAAAACGTCAGTGTTTTTATGAAATAGTGAAATCGTACGTTTTCCTACGTATTTTCACATTTAGTGTTTTTATTTAGAAAAATGGCGTCGAAAATCAAAAAATGACCCGTTTAAAGTACAATTTAGACAACTTGAGGTTTCAGAAAAGGTGCTACGCGTACAAATCGTAACAAGTTTAATAGGGAAAAACGTGTTCACAGACTAGATGAAAGAAAGAGAAAAAATTAACATCCAAGTAAAACCAATAGCTTCCTTGCTACGTCCGTAGTCTAAAATAAACTACTTCAAAATCCTACCTAATCTACATTGGTGCTTAATAACCGTTGCAGTAAATATTAAAACACGGGTATACCTAATTGAAAATGTTGTTATATTATTAGATTGCAGGTATATCATAATTTATAAATACCCACCCTACAGGGTGTAGGACATGTATAATTATTGTATTGTACCTACTAACCTACTGTTAAAACAATTGTCTTAGTTGTATACACGTAGATACGCATTTGAAAATCGATGTCGCGTGGAGCCTATAATAATATGCACGACGACGACTTCGGACTTAATAAACCTTAATTTTTGATAATGTGTGTTGAATTATTAAAAAACTGACAAAACGCAAGAATATAAACCAATCAAGGTACCTACCCATTTTGTTTTTAAAAGCACTCGCCAGTTACATATAAAAAATGTATTTGTTTGTAAACAGTAATCGCTGTTTAAAATGCAATATTTTCTTTTTCATAAAACTCTGGGTAAGTAGTTTTTTTTTATACTTTTGTAACAGTTTGATGTTTTTATTGCATTATGAATCTCTAAAAATAAACGAATAGACCTGGCTACACGATAGATAGGAGGTAGGTTAGGTAGGTATTCTGTTGCGACGGCGACGTGTAGCGCGAAACAAAACTAATATTTATAGGTAAAGGGGCGGGTAGAACAATTTCGGGCCCTCGCGATGTAACATTTGTTCGTCTTAGTAAAAACACCGATTAAAAATATAACGAAAAAAGCCGTCGGATCCGCGCGCGATTTTTGATATTTAATACGCGTGAAGTTTCTACGCGAATGATTAATATTAAAATGCCTATCGAAAACAACCGCGTAACTAATGCCAGCGCCGGACGGGGGGAATGCGTCGTCGGCCGTCGGGCCACCGAGCCACACGACGCATTTCACCGAAATTATACAATTTGATCGCATCATTATTCGTATTGACGACGAATTCAGCCGAAAAACAAACGGGCGGACAGTAATAATTTCGAGCGGTCCATTATCTCGATAGCTCGCCGGTTCAATCCGGGCCCGCACGTTGTTTGTTAATTTCTTTTTTTTTTTCACGGTAATCGGCCACGGGCCATACACGTGTATACTAGTATTATTTTTTATAATAACAATTGATAATAATATAAGAGTATTATTAAATCAATCCGAAATAGGTACGGTATATTATAATATAAGAAAAAATGTTTTTTTTTTTCATACACAAGCGATAGAAATTATTCGCACTCGATCGAACACGCGCGTTATTAAATCCGCATGTTTTGCATCGATCTGTGTAAACTGTTTATCTTCTCTCGAGCGGTTTATCTGCTTTCGGACGGTTATTTAGACAACTGCCTGTGTGCGTGTACCGTCTACTGAAAATTGCGACACTTTTAACGATCATCTTTCATCGAGTTTTATCGCAAGGGTTTATTAATATAATTTCTTTCCGTGTCTATAAAGGGCACAGATTTTTCATCCCGCTTGGGTTTTCATGTTTATACGTAGACTAGATCGTATTACACGTATACATAGGTTAGGTATATCTATAGTCTTTTTAGTACACACGTTCACCAACATCCAAAACGGTACGATAATCTAGTTGCCTACAACGAACAACGGTTTGCGTGGTGTCATTTTCGCTTTTATCTCTATCGCAGTACGTAAATATTGAGTTGTTCAGCTGCAGGGTCGAGCCGCGTGTGCCGAAGGCCTCGCCGTTCTTTATCAACGCGCATATGATCACGTAAAATGTTTTCGCGCAATACCTATAGATCATACGGAAACGGGGCCTCGGTTAAAATTGGATACACGGATACAAAACTAAACTCGTATAATACCGAACACAAAACGGTCAAAGCGTAGGTTACCTGCTATAGTAGTAAGTAGTTTCGATTTGAAATGATTTTTTTTTTTTCACACTACATTTTAAAGTAATATTTTTCGATAGTTTTAGATTTAATAGCAAGCATGGCTAAATAAACGGTTTGAATAGCACTAAATAATTCAGCGGCCCCGAGTTTAAAATTAGCGCCTTCCAAATAAACCCGATCAGGTTTTCCATAACGATGATAAAATATGTTATCCGTGTATTTCATGTAGTACACGAACAGAATAAAATATAGGTTTTCTACGGACAATGCATGTGTGCATGAAAACGGAAAATTAATGTTAAAATAATCGTGACGAATTTGTACGCGCACAAAATTGCAAGGTGTAGTTAACTATTGTAAGATTCACGTAAATGGGATTGTGGGGGGCATAGCACCCACGGGTCTTTTGACTTGAAGTGTTCATAATTTTGGCGCCCCCAGAATTGGTGGTCAAATTGCGCCAATGACTAAATTACCAATATTATTTATAAACATTAAAATTATGCGCAATATTACTGTACGTATACAAGTAATTATATTTAGGTATTTTTTTAATTTTTTTATCTGCACAGTTATCGCTAAACCGATTTTGCGTTTGCGTTCCGATTTAGATTTATAAGTGCGTTCGCAGTTATTTAAAAAATTAATAGGATTGTGTATTTTTCAACGAATGCGCGCCACGAATGATCGAATCCACGAACGAATAATATTTCCAAACGGGCCGTATAGGCATTTTTATCGAATTATTTCTACCGACGAAATTGTACGAAATAATCATAAAATTAATACAATAAATAAATAAATAAATATGTAAGCGTTTCTCATTACTTGTACTAATTCGTAAACCTGATCGCAGTCTTCGACCACGGCCGGACAGATGAAAAAGTTGATTTGTGGAACGTCTTCAACCAACGATTCCATGGCGCACGGTTTGTTCATCGGGCTCATATTGTGTCGTTTTGAGAGAACGGACAAAATTCGAATGTGTACCGGAACCGCGTGTGTCCGTCAAGCTCGCCGGCCGCAGCGTAAATGAAACGTCGGGCGTCGACGCGAGACAATTTATATTTTTTCCCGCGATATTTATTTTAAAGACGATTATATCGGAATATAATATGTGTATACACAAATATAAAGTGTGTATAAATATACACACACACATACATATATATCGTATAATATAGTGCAACAGTAGGTATAACGAGTTATTATCAAGAGTTCACGGAGATTAAAACGCGGGACGGTCGTGTAATTATGCACGCCGGCCGCGGTATACAGAACGGTAGTAAAAGTGATGCCGGCGCGGAAGTGCACCGTTCGTTTCGACGGCCGAACGATGTTCGTATGGGTACGGTAAGGGACGGATACGGGAATCAGCTAGATGGTTGCGGGGCGCGGTTACGTGTTAAAAGGGTATTTGGCATTTGCGATTTCATGATCAAGTGCCGTTTTCGAAACTGTTACGTATGACGTGGTAAAAATGCCGAGAAAAGATGACTTCAACACCCGTAATAGCCCGAACCCCTGCCCCCGGCCCGGTCCGTTTTATCCGTCCCCGTTGATCCCCATCGCCCGGTTTATAATGTTTTCGAGTATTTCTTACGCGGATAACGATTCGTTTTACAAGACGATTTACAAGTTTATTTATATTTTTTTTCCTAGATAAGTAAATATACTGTGTAATGTTATGTACAGGTACCGATTTATCGCCGAGATTTAGTACCTACTCGAGCGTCATTGCGTTTTTAATTCGTGTGTATATTTATGATGCATCATAATGTTATATTGTACTCGTATACATATAGTTACCGATAAAATAATATTTAAATTTTTTGTACAAACGGCGATAATAATATTATGTTATACATTTTCATCGTCGATTTTCACATTCCGCATATTATGTAAAGTTATAAATAAACTATTAAATTGTGAATCACGTGTAAATCACAATACCGAAATACGTAAAGAATACCGAGAAGAGAAAAATTAATATAATAGTTTTTTTTTTTTTTCTAATCATAATATTCGTTACACGCGTGTTTTAATAAACAAATTGCCCGTTAATATTTTTCATAAAATAGAAACCTACTTTTTTGAATTTTCCTACCGTGGCAAGTAGGACGGTATATAATATATATAATTTTTTTTTTTCTATCAATTTTAAGATTGATTCTTCAATATTGGTTTTTCCGTCACTTTTACCATGTTCTATAGGCCGTTGGCCAATTTTAATATCAAATTTTGACGAAAATTGCTTGAGTAAAAAATTCTGTGGAACAAATTTCATTTTTCAATATTTTTTTTTTGTTTAGAACATATTATGTATAATGCCGATTTAAGAACGATGGTGAAGTTAGAATTGAGCGGACTGATTTAGTTTCGAAATTATAGCTTTTGTATTATAACTTGAAGTTTTGATATTATATGTTATGTTAAATAACTATATTGTCCCTCTTAAAGCATATTTGTCGTGATCCAATGGTTACTTATACCTATTACCATTCTGGTGGTTCCGAGTTCAAACCAGTGTTTCGTTATGTTATGTGTTATGTTAAATGATAAAATGTCGGAAAAACGGAAAATGTACGAAATGTTGTTATTAGTAAAACAATATTATGGCTTTTTTTTTTGTGTACAATTTTTGTACCAGCTATTTCTATCCGATTTAAAATGGTAGCACTTTTTCTGAAAATAAATCTGATTGGGAAGGTACTTTAGGGAGGTAGTTTTTATATTTTCCCAGAAGATTTCCTAATAAATGGGAAAAATCGTGATTAACGGAGAAAAAACCGGGAAATACGAGAAAATCGGTAGAATATTAAAGAAATATTATTAAAGAAAATGTATAATGCCTATTTAATTATTTTACTATAATATAACATAATATATATTATTAACAAAGTATCAATATCAACTGAATTGCGCTCAGAATTGTTTTTTCGTTATCAATGGTTTATTTTTGCTTTAATATACATTGAATCACCTATAACAGTGGCTACACCCGTTTCCATCATCCTAGGAAGTTTTTTTCCTCGTTTCTTTTTTCACTGTCTTTTTATTCTATACTCCATTTAAGACTATGTTTATACATATCTACTGTTAGCTATATAAAATTACTTTAATTTTCCGTTGAGTTTTTCCATGTACAGGTGTTTATTAAGTGTGTCGTTCATTTTTTTTTCAGCATATTGGTTAGTCTACTTCCTCGTTTTTTGCAATTACTAAACAATAATCGACAAAACATTACATTTGTACGGACATTCCATACATCGTTATTCTTGTAATCCTCTCTTCCTTCACTTCATTCAACGCTTATTCTGTGTATAAATTGAATAGATCTACGAAAGCAATAAAGAGAGTTGTCTCAAGCAGTTTAGCCTCTTTCCATTGACTGTTTAACAATTGAGTTTTCAAACGATGTTTCGATTAATTTCAATAGCAACTAATGACTATCGATTTCAAATATCGGATTGGGTAGGTATGGGTTTTATGTCAGTAAAAATATCGAATATCGGAAGTCATATCGGCTCACCACTAAATGTAATAAATCAACAAGTAGTAGATACCTTACCTATAACACATACTAATTAATTATGATAATATTCAATGGATATTTAAAAAAATATATATATTTATATAGGGATATGCCTGTATTAACATGTCTCCCTATTAATCTAATTTATTTTAGTACCTATACATTTTCTTTAGAGTTCTTATTTAAATAAATATCCATTCTACACTCGAATATTCTCTTATGTATTTTTTTTTCTTTCATCTTTCTTGTAAAATCACAATTGAATTTAAACTGTCCGGGGTTTATTTATGTTAATAATACTTAGGTATTAGTTTGTTGTATCGAAACACGCGTTTATAAGAACACGATTAAATGTATACAAAAAGTAAACACTTACGCAGTCGATATGTGGTGTAAGTATTCAGTAGGTACTTATAAGACTACAAAATAATGCATTCGACGATAAACTTTTGTTTTTATCTTTGTAACCTAACGAATAACATTTCGATCAAGGTAATTTACTTATTAATTTTTATTTGTTCTGCCATTTCAAATATTTTCGAAAACATAAAATATTTATATAGGTAGGTATACTCAACAGATGTACAGGTTGTCTCTGTCTGTCTATAAATTCATCATTATTAATAACGAATTAAAATGTTTTGTAGATTACCGGGCGTATGCGGAACTATCATCATAGGATGAATGATGTTTTAATCTCTACCGTACTAATGTAATACGAATAATTAATAATATTAATTATTAGTCACTCGTCATTGTAGAGTGAAGTTTACCCGAGTAGGCGAGCTACTTGTTTGTTCGAACGTAATTAGACAAAACCGTTATCACTATAACATTCCGATCTTTTTTTCGACCATTTTTATTCAACCTAATTTTTTTTTCAAATAAATAGGTACCTGCATACATAAACGTTAGATACCTAATAATATTTTATGATCAGTGACGTAATATTTGATTTGCGGGCAATTCAAATTATCTAATATATACCCACCCCTAAAAAAAATTACCTATAACTCACTGATTTGCGGAGAACTAATACTTTATTCTATTGCGTGTTTAGTGTACCAAAATTAAAATGTTATCATAATATGTTACACAATAAAAAACTTGTCGAATTGTTCACTTACAATTATTGGCCTTCACGGACTCCTGACAATTGTCCATTTCAACCCATGCTCACCACGCAATTGTATAATAATGATCTAAGACTCAAAAGCAATCATTGATATTAGATGACTAATTTAAATAAACGAATTATTAATATAATTAATACGGTCTAATAATAACAATAATAATAGGTTACTATAAATACTACATAATAATAACAATTATAAATATTATAATTAATCAATTTGAATCACATTTCGCAAAACATTAGGTATAATACCTATACACTGACCTACACAGAGTGTAATTGGACTATTTGACATTTTTACATGTAACTACCGTCTACAATATAAAAATGTCAAATAGTCCTGTTACACCTTGTATGTAATGACTAACCGTTTATGCCGTTTGTGGTACTTCAAAAAGTGGTACTTCATATACTATGAAATCCACAAACAATTCTATCGACAGTAATATAAATGTGTATGCTTGAATTTTGAATATTGAATACGAAAATTCAATTTTTTTTAAACTGATTCATGCAGTTTCTTCTTTGGTAACAACGGATAAAACAAAAACATCGACTTACTATCAATTTGTTTTTGTCTATGGCTAACCTGTACCAAAATTTATTTCTAATTTAATGTTCACAAGGGACTCAGCTTTATGTATGATGTAGGTATATGTATGGTATAAAAAAGTTTATTAGGATCATTGTACAGAAATAACTTATTGATAACATACCCATAACCAAAAGCTTACGAGTAATATTGACGGAACAAACGCTGACCTGAAACCAGTGACCTCATATAGTCACGGTAGACTTATAGGCGTGACGGAGAGACGGAGTAATACATTGGAAATAATGTGCCGTTCTATTTAATAATAACTTGTCGATGGACCTACAACTATACCATAGTGTTAATTAGTTATGTAGTAACTGATAATAAAATAATTTTATGCAAGAACATTTTTATTCAATTTACGAATGTTTTTTTAGGGAATTGATGACGAAAACCTATTCTAAATTTTCTCAATTTTTATAAAATTTGAAATTGTTTTATATTTTAATGACCACCTATCAATGATAATACTTTTTCCCTAATCAAACTGTCCGATACCCATTTGAAAAATTTTCAAAAATACAATTCAAATTTTTTTACGATTTCTACTAGAATAATTTAATTTTTATTTCCAACATATCCTAATGGAGAACCTAAAGAAACATAATTTTCGAAATTGAAATCCGTCAAATGCAATTCCTACACAGTTATTTCTAGCTTCTGAAATATACATCGTCACTAATCTCTTTAACGAAATAAAACGACACAATATTCAAAACTTAATAAAAATAACTACAGGTATCGGGTTATTTTTATTCTAACCTATTATTATAGGTACTTTTATTATATTGTAATAACATTACCACACAGATATTTCAGTATTGCATTATGCTGCACTTTAAAATCCGTATA